TGCGTAGTGAGGGCATGATGCTCATCTACTTAGCGGATGGCGGCGGGAGTGGATCTGGGCCGGTTTGTCTGTGTGATAGTCGGGTGTAAGGTTAGGTGTGAGGGAGGATTGTCGAGAATACATGTAGGGCTGAGGATGAATGATATTAAAAATAATCACAATGATAGACAGTGGCTGTGTAGGCGGCAGTCCACGTCCACGGGCTGATGACTGGGGTCCGGGGTCTTGGCCAACGGCTGATTTCCCGTGTGCACACAAAGAATATATTAAATACTGAAATACTGTAAATACTGGGATATCTCAGGAACAACGTGTATACAATAACGTAGAATCCCCTAGATAGATCAAACCTTTATAATATATATATATATAGATCTATGGATATCTTATCGCATTCTCCACGGTCCCGGGGGTGGCGTGCTGCATTAGACCCTGCATGTCATAGGGCGCCTTGGGCGGACTCAGCCTTTGCCCTGACCTCGGGAATAAAGTGGCCAGCGTTTACTTTCAAGTACATATTACATAGCTCTAGGGTGGTCCCAGTCACATAGATTCAAAAGACACTCTTCAGGAGGGAGCTCTTTGTATCATACTCTGATCAATGTGTTCTACGATGAAACTGGCCCGGACAGATTCATATGCCAGACATCAACCGGTGGGCATTTCCAGACCCAATTCGGTTGAGAACATGTCTTGAAACCACGTGCCTCCGATTATAGAGTAAGAATCAAAATGGTATTGCAAGGTCTAACTCGGCGGATGCAAATAGCCCTTATAGTTTTGTACACAATGCCGAATGCAGTGAGCTACTGAGCCCGTTTACAGGGCCTTGGACGCCATGATGCCTGGGAACCGTTAGCACTATCCTATGTAAAGGTCAATTGGTAGATAACTCACGCTCAACATCAGCAACGCTCTGCTGGAGGATCTGCTGGAGAACCTTGGGGCTCTCGAGCTCCTTCTGGATCTTGGCAATGACGGACTCGGCAAGCTCACGCTGCTGGCGCTGCTTGACCTGGTTCTCGTAACGCACCCACGAGTCGAGGACCTGCTTGGCCTCGGCAGCGAGGGCAGTGCGCTGCTGGAGCTCGTAGGCCTGGGACTCGAGCTGGGCGGTTTCCTGCAAACGGATTGTCAACAACCGACCCCAAGTATCAAGGTACGCGACCGAGTATTCATACCTTGGAAACAGCGAAGAGCTGCTTGGTGACCTCAACAACGCCAGACATCTGGGAGACGTTGTCGATACGCTGCTGGACAGCGTTGGTGTGGTCGGCACGGGCAGCGTTCAGGATGTCCTTGTGCTTCTGGACCTGACCCTCGGCCCACTCGCGGTAGGCGGGACCACCGTACTTGCCAACAGCGGTGAAGACAGACAGCAGACAGAAAGCAGCGACAGTCTCCTCGTTCATAACGTACAGCTCGTTGCTGATGGCGGCAATGGACAGACCGGCGGCGGCAGACAGGGTAGCGGTCTTGGTGACCAGGGAGTTGCCGGGGATGGCGTTCAGGATTGACTGCGCCTTCTTGGCGGGCTCCTCGGCGGGAACGTTGGAGGCCTGACGAGAGGAGGTCAGGTTGGCAGTGACGGCAGGGACACCACGGGCGGGAAGGGCCGGCCGAAGTCGGGATGCGCCTAGGGTGAGTTAGTAACTGAAGGCATCGAGTCGATCAGACGGTCGAGGTTCGTGAAAAGCGTACCAATGGCGCTCTTAGCAAGACGCGAAGCCATTGTTGCAGATGGAAGAATCTTGGTCAATGGGGTGGGTGAACGGAATTGAGGAGACTTGAGGTTCGGGATGGCTAGGAGGTGAAGACGCTAGCCGTTTCGGGCGGTGGTTCCGTTCCTCGGAAAAACCAGCATCCGAGATGGTCCAAACGATAAAAAAAAGTTGCAGATAACCTCGTTCACTGTACATTACAAGACGCTAGCTCAAAATGCCTGCACTTGTTACGGATTCAAGCTCGAAGAAGCGCAAGAGCGGCAAGAATGCCAGCGCTCCATCCTCCAAGCGCCGCGCTGTCGCCGAGGACAATTTCGCCGAGAAACTTTCTACTATTCAAGAGCTAGAGAATCAAATTGCGGAGTCACGGAAGGGCTATAACAATATTGCGACCCTACTATCCATGCTCAATGTCGAGCAATCCGCCAAAAAACCTGAGATGGCTGTGGCCGTCTCTCTTTGCCGTGTGTTCAGTCGATTGATCGCCGGAGGAAATTTGACCGAGTCAAGCCGTGCCGCTGAGAACGAGAAAATCGTCGTGGCATGGTTGAAGGAGCGTTGCCTTGATTACCAGAATGCCCTTGTAGCTATCATGCGTGAGGCAGATGCTTCCTCCCAGGTATGTATATTCTGATCTGGCGTGGGTTACTATTACTGACGATCTCTAGATTGCGGCTCTGACACTGAGCATGCGCATTGTCAAGGAACGTCTCGCCCATATCCCGGGTGCGGAGAATAATGTTTGGTCGACGGGTTTCTTCAAGGATATCTTTGCGGCCATCATCGAGGCCAATAACGGCCAGGATCTGCAGACTGAAGCCGTTGCCAAGTTCGTGAAGGAGTATGAGGATGTGAGATACTACACTTTCACACAGATGGCGTATGTATATATATTTCCTGCTGTCGAGTGTTGCGGCTAACATATATCAGTGACTATGCCTCTACGAAACGATCCCCTGAAGTCCTCGAAATCCTGATTAAGATCCTTGAAACCTGCGATGAGGTGCCTGGACCGGAACACAAGTTCGAAAACTTCTACGCGAAACGAGACACCAAGAATAAGCGCTTAGTTTCGGCAAACTCCCACAGGAAGCAGGCACAGGAGGCGTGGTTGGCCATTCTACGAAACAATCTCTCGCAATCGCAACGGAAAAGCCTGCTGCGTATGATGGTGCACAACATTGAGCCGTGGTTCAACCGACCGGAGCTTCTGATGGACTTCTTGACGGACTCATACAATGTCGGTGGTGCGACATCGCTCCTCGCACTGTCTGGTCTCTTCTACCTGATCCAGGAAAAGAACCTGGACTACCCTCAGTTCTACTCCAAGTTGTACTCGCTCCTGGATTCCGAGCTGCTGCACTCTAAGCACAGATCACGATTCTTCCGACTGCTGAACACCTTCTTGTCCTCAACCCATCTTCCGTCCACATTGGTGGCCAGCTTCATCAAGCGTCTCGCTCGTCTTGCATTGAATGCCCCTCCCTCCGCCATTGTGGTGATCGTTCCGTTCATGTACAACTTCTTTAAGAACCACCCCACGACTACATTCATGATGCACCGATCTATCCGTGATAAGGACGAACTCGCACAAGTGGAAAAAGAAGGCATGGATGATCCGTTCGATCCAAATGAGTCCGACCCCAACATGACCAACGCCATTGAGAGCAGTCTTTGGGAGATCGAGACCCTTCAATCTCACTTCCACCCCAACGTTGCGGCCATTGCACGGATCATTTCCGAGCAGTTCACAAAGCAAGCATACAGTCTGGAAGATTTCCTTGATCACACATATGCGGGCATGGTAACTGCCGATCTTGGAGTGGAAGAGAGAAATCTCAAGAAGATTCCGGTCGTCGAGTACCAGATTCCCAAACGTATCTTCACAGATCGTCTACTAGAGGAAGATGGTGGTGTGGACTCTGGTCCAGGGTGTTTCATGCGGGATTTGTGGGAGTTCTGAGGGTTCTATATCAGCGTATACCAATTCAATTTGTTTGACAATAAAGTCTCAAGGGTTTAGACATTGCGGGGTATAGTCGTAGTTCCCTGCCTGGAATAGAAATGATCGTGTACCAACAGATCCCTTGCTGCAGGTCTAACCCTAGAAGTCCCAACTGTAAAAGTAAACATTGGACATGGGCCTCCGCAGTATAGCTACAAACAGCCTCAATTAGCAAATCAAAGGGAGCCAATGTATTTGACATGTCTTGGAGCCCATTACTGCTCTGTAATCACCATAGATAAAGCAAAAATAGGGCTGAGACGGAACCATGTTGTCCCTGCTTACATTGTATGTTTGATATATATATTCTCGCAACACTCGGTCGTATACATTCTTTCAACTCGACTCAACTTACTCTATATTTCGTGCCATTATTATCATTGCCAGTATTATTTTCTATGCATATAAGCTTATGTCATTGAACTCTATTGATATAGCCAAGTCATTGAGTTAGAAGGCTGGGGAAATATTCGGTATTCCTCGTGCCGTATGGGTGGCGATCAAGCTACCCCAGCCTCCAGACAAACAACTAAACCATGTGGCCCCCTTGGTATGAGATCTATGGTAGGGTACGGCTATGGTAGGGCAAGGCCCCGGAAATGCTTGATGGGCGATAAGAGGTGATCATAGAGCCCTATACTCCATAGATTGATCCCCACCACAACAAACCGGAAAGGGATAGCATTCCAGCATTTCCTGGAAAGTCATGTTATTGGGCGACCATACTTCGGCCTTCTCATTTATAACTTGTAGGCGCTTCGTTGTATGGGCTAACCACTCTCATGGGCTGTTAGCCACTATGAGGAAAATGAAGCCTCGTCGCAGCCACCCAGGCATTACGCTCAAACGTACTGAATCAGAGCAACCTCTCGTACACTTGCCATGAAACTCGGTAAATCCCTCGCAGGCATAGTTTTGAATTAACCTTTTCTCGGGAATTTACAATGTTAGCTAGCAGGCATTCTCCACACAAGGGAGACTACATGCTTTATTAGGTAACAAGGTATAGATGCTTCACTATTAGGGCCATCGGAATGCAACATTCTCCCATAATGCCCTTGGGTCTCAGCGTTAGAATACCAACAGGCGGCTTTCATTCTCATTTCTGTGGGCCTGGGAAAGCCCCAGGCAATTTTTGCCGTCAGATAAGAATCGCGATGCGCCACCGAAGTTGTTAGAGTTATATCGCGTTCTCCATCACCAGCTCACCTAGTTTTTTCTGATATCACCTCACTTTCTTTAAACCCAAACTGTCTTTGACTTTCTTTACAATGCATTTCTCTCAGAGTCTTATTGCTGTAACGGCTTCCCTCGTGTCCCTTGGTCTCGCCGCCGACCCTCTATCCTTCACTTCCTGGCCCAAGGACCCCCTCGAACCTGGCAAGCCGGTTACCCTTACATGGACTGGTGCCGACCCTGATCTGGTAATACGAATATCCTTTGATGCCAAATGATAACAAAACTGACTCTTTTTTAGCCTGTGACCATCCTCCTTCGCACCGGTTCCTCCGGTGCCCTGCAAGATGTCAAGCCTATCACTACTAGCAGCAAGGGCGGCTCCTTCACCTGGACGCCCGACAGCGATGTCAAGAGCGGCGATACCTATGCCTTCCAGATCACGCAGAAAGACCAGACTAACTATACCGCTCTGCTGAAGTCAGCTGGCAAGCCCGCCGCTGACCCTGAAGCGGATGATACCACCGAGACTGGCACTGCTGCTTCTACTGCTGAAGCCACTGGCACCACCACCGGAGCCACCACCGGAACTACCACTGGTACTACTACCGGCACTACCGACACTACTTCTGCCCATAGCACCTCGGCCACTGGTACGACAGAGGCAACGCAAACGACCCAGACCACAACGTCCAGCACTACTAGCAAGGCCCTCATTAGCTCTTCTGCTAGCGCATCTGGCACCCCTTCCAGCTCAGCCGTTGCCAGCTCAACCGATAGCCTGAAAGCTACCCGCACTGACGATGTCAATGGCAAAGAAGCGTCTTCCACCGCAACCTCGGAAACCGGTGGTGCTTCTATCCCGCAATCCTCTGTACAATTGGTAATGGGAATCGTCGGTCTGCTCGCCTACCTTGTCTAGGTTATTCATCTGTTCTGGCGTTGTTGGTCTTAATTTCTTTTGGACTCGGTGTTTTGGTGGAGTTATGGAAAAGTGGTATAACTTCCTGTATATAGAATACCCCTGGATATCATTGATATATAGGTGGCCTGAGGCGTTGAGGAAGTAATCAATTATATTCAGCATATTCACTTCATCTGAAATGCATACATTCATATGCATCGTCAAACAAAAACACCAAAACGCGAAGAAAAAGCAAAGAAAAAAGAAAACAAGACCTGTCGTTCCCCGCTAGCGTCGTGGCGTTCCTGACAGACGCGGAGTTGGAACACAAAGAACCAAAGATCGACTGATCTTCCACAACTTCACCTTTTCTTACCGCTACTTCATTGTTTTGGAATCTTCTACAAGATCATTTTGTTTTAGTTTTTGATGATCTTTGGACTATTGCATGAGACAGCGCCTTTATTGATCAGAGGCCTCCCTTGCGATGCTTAGATGAATAAGCGGAATCATAAGACAACGACCTCACATCTAGCTCAATTGGCTTCTAATACTGGTATGAGCCTTTCCCTTCACAGGTCTACTGGTTTTTGCTCCCATCTTGTTCTTCCCATCCGGTTCCTCATGACAGGCGCGGGCGGTCACCATGGGGGGCTTCAAACGGGTCATGAAGCGTCTCAGCCCTAGCAAAAATCTTATACCGATTGCTGCTGACCCCCCTATCCGTGCAGACGCGCCACAAGTCAATCTCCCGCATGTGGACACGCAATTGAATATGCACCAGCATAACGGATTTCTCGATGAATCAGCCCCCGAAGGGCAGAATGGTTGGTGATTCCGCTCCTACTCCCCCTCTCAACTTCTAAAAACTTACAATCCGCGCACTCCAGGCTACAATCGAGCCTGCTCGTCTCCTTCGAACCCTTCGAACCCCTCCGTGAACCCCGCCGAAACGAACAATAGCGATGCCCCCACATCTGAATGGTCAGCCGTTGGCCATGCAGCGGCGACAGGGAAATCCGGACGTGTTATCCACAATCTCCAGGAGGAAATAGCACGTCTAACGCGCGAATGCACACTCTACAAGTCTCGTGCGGAGGAGTACCAAAGAACCAACGAGGCCTACAAGATTCAGCAACAAAACATGAACGAGCGCCTACGGAACCTCGAGCAAGTCAACGAGACCAACCTCAACTCAATTGCACGGAAAGATCGGAAGCTGGAGGAGCTAAGAACGGAGCTCCAGCACGAGCGCAGTAAGCGGCAGGACGCAGAAATGGACGCAAACCAGACCAACCATACTATGCGCGAGGAGCGCGAGAATCACAATCGCGAACAAGCCCGGTCACTAGAGATCGCTAAGCACCACGAGACACAGTACGAGGTGCTATCTAGCGCGACAAAACGCGACAAGGCAGAGTTTGCAAAACGGATCAATGCCATTTGGGCCGAGTTCGCGACTATTGCCAACGCGCAGAAAACACATATACATTCCACCGAGCGGCTAGAGGTTCTTGCGGATCAGAAGAATAGGGAATTTGACACCCTCAAGGAATCTTACGAGAACCTGCTCGCTCGGCACTCCGCGTATAAGGAAATGAAGGATAACGACTTCCGCGAGACGATTGAGTCGGCCAGGTCCAACAACGATACAATCGCCGGTGTCCTTGCTCAGGTCAAGGAGACTGAGACAGAAATGAAGTGGGCGATCCGGCTTAATGAGAGTCGGAAACCCAGTGATTGATTTGAGCTTTGTCTTTTCATCGTCGGCTGTTTGTGTCAACCTCCGGCATCAAACATGCGAATTGTCTACCACCACGCCCATCTTCTTCTCTGTGCTCTCTACTCAGCTCCCCCAAAACATACCGCCAAATTAACGCCACGACCGCCTTCTAAAACATTATTTCGTCCCGATTTCACCGTTTCCACTCGATCCTATGTCTCAACAACCCACCCCCTGCCAACCCACTCTTCATTTCCCATAGATCATTCTTGGCCGGTGCATGGCGTTTCATTTCCCTTTGCAGCAGATACCCGTGGCAGAGCTCAATTCCGTCGTGTTACCCTTCGATTTTTGTATTCTTGTTTCTATTCTTACCTTCACCTGCATTTTTACCTCCTTTTCCCGTTGTACTGTTACCCCCTGTTAGATATGACGCTTGACGACCTGCATATTTTTACCTGGATATGATTACACCGTGATGAACATGGTGGCGAGTCTTGTTTCTTGGTTCATGTTCAGAAGACCATTAAAGAGAGTGGCTACATATTTCCTTTTTGCCTAGATGTTGTGGGTGGTCATTATGCAACTCCGAAATCTATACACTTTCGACTTTTGCTTGATTTGTTCTATATGTACTCCCCATCTTCTATGAATTATTGTAATCCAACCTCATTGTCTTGGATATAAGATAGCACCGCGCGCTCACATTCTCCATCGCTTGCTGCTGACTTCTAAGCCGATAGACACAAGAGACCCTAGTTGTTCCTTCCACTCGTGGAGGTTTGAACATCGTCCCTGCTATAACAGGAGACTTATCTCATTTGACTCTTTTATTTCACCTCTACTTCCTCTTTCTTGTCCTCTCTTTCTCCACTTCCACCTTCATCTTCATCTCATATGCAATGTTAACTACAGCGTGCTTCATCAAATCGATTGTGTAGGTGCTGTTCACCTAGTCCTTCTGTAATCGATTTGCTTTCACCAGTCTCTTACTTAGTCGATTCTCTCTATCCCCGAGTCAATCAACCCACCTCTTGCCCAATTGCTTTCTTCATACATGTTTCAAACCAATTCACGTCCTCAAATCGATTGATAGCTCAAAAGGCTCCGTCTCCAATCCATTTGCATCCGCCCCACCGTCTCTAATCGGTTCCCCCCGGCCTGGTTGATGTCCAACTCCAATTCATTTGCGTCTATCACCACTCAAGTCCGCATCGTCACACCTGGCCACTCATAGCTCCCTAAAATACAATACAAGATGGCTGACAGCCGGACGCTTTATTTGAGTTCAATGTGGTCACTGGAGGACCAAGGGGTAAGTTTATATCCTAACATCCGCGTTCTTATAATGGCCGAGACTGACCAGACTCGATATAGATTTTAGAATTCCGAGACAAGCTCAAGTATGACATGTTATGTACACTTACATTGATAAAAACTGACTCTTTTATAGGAAGCTGAATCCTGGTGCTTCGATCAAGGTCCAATATCAACCTGATAAACATGTGAGTTCGTTTTTTACTATCTATAATGATGGCTCTGCTAATCCAACCCAGTTCCTGGTTGTCACTGGTCAGTTCGATGATGAATTCGATGTCGAAATTACATCGCTGCTTGCAACTTATATCGAAGAGCACCGCAATGATGATCTACTTGAGGTATGTTGCAATGCCTCCTCGGCATGCAAATTATATTGTACTAATTTCTCTTCTACTCAAGATGCCGAGAGTTCGACAACTTCCGATCTCGACCTACTTCGATCCAAATCCCCTTCTTAGCTACGCAAGCGATGCGCAGCCAGGGGTGGAAACTCTAGTGGAGGAAGTTATGCCGACACAGCCCACTAGCGATGGACCCGTTGTCAAGTTTTGGTATCCCTCGCAGGTGGGAATTGGTCCTATCTCTCATGACTCGGGCCCTCTCTTACGTCGAATTTCCGAAATGACAGGAACACAAATTACAGTACAGGGAGCCCGTGGGCTCCATATTTCTGCACAACAGATGGACAACATCGAGGAGGCAATGGATATACTCGACTCCCTTGAAGAGTGCTTGGTATAGTCCTAATTCCTTTTTTTCCCAAGTTTTGTATTTTAATATATATTTTCTAGGACCTCATTGAGAACCCAAACCGAGGGCCGATCATACTTGCTCCAAAACGAGAAAACGCTACCTTTCGCGTCATGACATATGCACAGATCAGTGCCACTGCCTTGTGGCGTATTTTAATCGACCGAAATGCCTCTCTTCGTCTCCAAAAGATAATGACTCTGGTGGTTTGTGAATTCGACGAGCTCGCTAACGAATTCCGTCCACTCCGCAAACTTCGACAGCCGCCGCAAGTGGCCCTGAAGGAAGCGAACATAACTCGGGATTGGGAGGACTATCATTTTCCAGAGATAGGCCCGAAACATGACCCCCCTCCTAGCAGAGATTGATCGGCATCTCCCACCTAAAAGTGAGACCTCTCCCGAGAGGAGCGATGCTCAGCACCCGTATCTGTCTACTGGGAAGGCAAAAGATGTCGACAAATGGATCTCGCGGGGTGTCTGTAAACGGCCTTTGGCAACGGACAGTCGCACAAAAACACTACTACGAGATGAGCCCAGCTCCCCTGAGATTGTTGAGCCCAGGCCTCCACCTGAGTCCAGCGTTTCTGCGCCACGGGACCAGAGACAGTCCGGCCCGCTCAAGCCCAATCCTGCAGGCGTCAAAAGACGTGTGGTTATGCGACCAGATGGAACTGTAGTGCCCTCTAGCCAACTTCGGCAAGAGAAGCCAACAGCCACCCCTCGTGGCCCAATTACCTCCCTGTTTAGCAGACTCAGCTATAGGGAGCGAATGAGGGAGCAACAGGTAGCCGGTTCGTCTGTCTCAGCCCCTCAACAAAGAGCCGCCAGTCTTGTTGGCAGCGCGGCTGACTCCACTCCTCCCAATGCAGGTTCTAAGCAATCGGAAACAAGGTCTAAGGCAACCTGTTCTGTGGCCTCTACCTATCCTGCCTCTACCCAGGAACCGAAATCACTTGCCACCCGGCGTCTCCCAGTTCTGTCCACTCATCCGGGTACAACGCTCAAACAGCCAGAAGACAAGTCAGATGCAGCTGATTTGGCTATCCCCTCAGCGAACAAAGAAGAGAAGCCGACTAAGACTCTGTACCAACCAATTCACTCTAGTTCTCCAAGAGTCGACAGGTCTCAGCCTCTCGGCATACTCTACGCAGTGGATTCACAGGTGAATACAACACAAGGGCGAAGTGTCGATTCAGTTATGGGGGAGATAAGGCTAATTCTTGAGACGGCTGGGACCTCGAAGGAAACTCGAATGGAGGAAGCTTCCAGCAAGCCAAAAATAAAAGATCAAAAACACTCAAGCACCACATCCACTCAGCTGGATCTCAACAAAGAGGACACAGAAGACATCAGCCCCCTCATTGATCTTGGTTGCGAAGTGAAGAGCCTGGATAGTGATTTCAAACACATTGCTGCATTCAATCCGCCAGCTACAATCCCATCAAACGGCCCGGAGCAGTTTATCGATGTTCAACATGACCAATTCCAGTATGGCGAGGCTACCACTTTTACTCAAACTGATGATATTTTCGATACGCCCAATATCGATGATACAACTACGCAGCCTCGGCTAACTCAGAGCATCTCTCCTTGTCCTGAGTCAACCCAAGATTCGATGATTCTCCGGGAAACAACTCCAGCCTTTGCTACTAGCGAGCCTGCTCAATTAGGGCTTGCTACAGATGTGCCATTGCCTGATTCAGAGGCTTCTGGCTCTTTTAATGAGAATGACCTGTCTGAAGACGAACGGAAACCTGAAAAGGCTCCTAAATTCCGCAGCAAGGCCGATGAAGTAGCATTAGAATATCTGCTCCAGCAGATCAAGGACAATCCTGCCCCAGAAATTCCTAGCATTGAGGAAATTTCGATGCCCCTTGATGCTAGCCTACTTGATCCTACGCCTCAAGCTCTGCCATCTACCTCGCGTCACATTGCTCCAAATGGCAGTATTCAGCAAAGCCAAACCTCTGGTTGGGGGTTTGAGGAAGTGCCGTTTCTTCACCCAGATCTCATTGATATCTCGCCTCAGATGCCTTCTCCTCGCTCGAGTATTGTCTCTTCGCAACAATCCGACGCCAAACGCGAGGAGCAAGATACGGAAACAGAAGTTGGCGAAAATCTGGCTGCGACAGATGAGACTCAGACAAGAGAATTCCGCGAGACAATGTTCCATCAGCAGCCTCCCGACGGGACTTTTCATTGGGTGGATGAGGAGACCAAAGTAGTGAAAAGGGCAAAGACTGAAGTCCACACTGCTAATACCCGGGGGCGAAAGGGAAACACTGAAACCAATGCAGAGAACAAAGGAAAGGTTCAAGTCCCCATCATAAATTTCTGGTGCCGAAGAACAGTATCTAAATCAACACAAGCACAGCGACTAAAAAGCATTGCTTTCCCCACAAAGGCGGTTGTGAAGTCACCAAAAGAAAAGAAGCTCGCTCATGACTCAACAGAGTCTCTGTTTCGCTTCCTTCAACCCATTCTTGATGCAGTCCGCAGCTTTCCCGGAACATTGAGTCTTCAATTCCAGTTCGGTCTTATGTTCATGCCCAGTCTGCCAGCTTCAACAAAAGAACGGGAGATGAGCTACAGGGAGGTTCACCAGCTGTTCTTCTCTAAGAACAACTTGACACCGCCTCCAACCTCGTTCTTTGAGCGCTTGACTTCGTCTCCTGTGGACATCGACTACCTCATCGATTTGGAGACCGACCAATCTCGTCTGTTCGACCAAAAGTACAGCCACCGAGGCGTAAAGTACGAGTTCTGGTGCCGCGTCGGTCCGAACAGAACCATTGTTATCTCGGTTAATGAATATGGGAATGCTATGATTCGGTATCCTGAGGTCTCCCTAGGCACGGTGCACTTGAGTTTTCCCTCGCAAGTCTGGGATGCAGCTGCTAGGGTACAAGGTTTTATCGAATACATTACGGGTGCTGACCCGGAGCTTGACGAAGCTGCACGAACAATGGCGAAAAGCATCAGGGTAGAACCAAACAGCAAACATCTCCGTATGCTCGTCCATCTTCCGCCTGCTTCAAAGATCAAAATCGAAAAGGTATTCATGGAGCGGTGGAGCCGTCACTCTTACCGCTCGGAAAGGAGTAAGGACTTGTTTCTCCAAATCAGCGAAACCCAAGAACTCCTTGCCACCCCTTCTATCCTCGATCCAGGTATCATGGTTTTGCAAAACGCCCCGCATGAGAAAATGGTCAAGGATGGAAAACAGTGGTGGCAGGCCTCCATTGTCAGCAGCAAAGTGGACGACATCATGAAATCAAATTCCTTCCTTGAACCCGGTGATCGCAATGAGTCCTGGTGTGCGACAGATCTCCTCGGTGCAGATATTACGCACACCGTTCCCTCTACTGCGAACCAGGAGCTGAGTACCCTCGGAGCTGAAGTCGGTTATTCGGGAATTGGAGCAATGTTCCAACTTGCCAAAACTGTCGTGCAGAAAATCGATGCTGTCGGCTACTGGAACAGAGGTCCTGCCAGTCTTGAGAGGCGTACTAACACATCGAATGACCGCAGTCAGGGTGGTACCGGTACGGTCAAGGGCTCATCTGCTTACCTGGGAAAGCAATTAGTGCCTTGGGCTCCGCCGGCTGGGATCAAGGAAAAGCACAAGTGGTGACGGGATAGATATGATGAAGATGAATCTTGGGATTGAGGTCGAAATGGAACAGATGTAGTCTTGTCGGTCGTTTGATTCTTCGGATCTTTATAGGTTCATGGATGTGCCCGGGCGACAGGAAGTGGCATTTAACATAACACGAAAATAAAAAAAATAGTGTTTGAGGCTTTAAGAATTGCCCCGTGGTTAATGGTGCTGCGTAGTTTGGCCCTTTAGTAGATATAAATGTTTATCTTATGAATATTCTAGTCCGTTCTATGAACTCGGTTGAAAGCTGATGTAGAGCAAAGCAACCAAGACTGTTATAAGATTACCCAGATATAGTCAAATTGATTTCTTTCTTGAATTGAAAGAGCTTGACACGTACTCATTGCAAGGTAGAGCAGGGACTACTAGATGCACATACGTAGTATCATATATGGACACCAAGATGGTAATACCAAACTCTCTATCTTTCAATTCAACCATATTCCTCCATTCCTTACAACTACGTTCGACAATTTTGCTTGTTCATATTCGACTAATTTGTACTAGTAGCCAATATGTCGGGTCTTTAACCAAGCTTGTCGTGTGTTACGGCGATTTTGCGAGGTCTCAACTCGAACGGCCACAGCGCCTCAGCGAATCGACTGCCATTGCTCTTAATGGATTACATTGAGTAAAAAGGAGACACTTCATTGCTTGAATATATCACTATCAATATAGTAAATCGACCCTTCCCGTCAGACTATTTCAACGTCTCCACCACTTCAAGACTGCGTCCCCTTCTGGTTTGACTATCCATTCCTCATCAGAGGCGTTGTCATTGGCTCCTGCTGCTAGTAATGCCTGCACCACCTCAGTGTGACCTCCTCTTTCTGCTTCTTGGAGAGCTGTTCGTCCACTAGAACTAGCAGGTGCGTTGACGTCTGCTTTCGCTGCTAGCAATGCCTGCACCACCTCAGTGTGACCTCCTCCTGCTGCTGCTTGGAGAGCTCTTCGTCCTCTATATTTAGCAGGAGATGCGTTGACTTCTGCTTTTGCCGCTAGGAGGGTCTGTACCACATCGAGGTGACCTCGCTCCGCTGCCGCTTGGAGAGCTGTTCGGCCATAATCTTTAGCAGGAGATGCGTTGATGTCTGCTTTTGCTGCTAGAAGGGTCCGTACCACATCGAGGTGACCCCCTTTTGCTGCTGCTTGGAGAGCTGTTTGACCGTAAGTCTCAGCAGGAGATGCGTTAACGTCTGCTTTTGCTGCTAGAAGTTTCTGTACCACGTCGAGGTGACCTCCCCCTGCTGCCGCCTGGAGAGCTGTTTGGCCGTAAGTCTCAGCAGGAGATGCGTTAACATCTGCTTTTGCTGTTAGAAGTGTCTGTACCACGTCGAGGTGACCTCCCCCTGCTGCCGCCTGGAGAGCTGTTTGACCGTAAGTCTCAGTAGGAGATGCGTTAACGTCTGCTTTTGCTGCTAGAAGTGTCTGTACCACGTCGAGGTGACCTTGCTCCGCTGCCGCCTGGAGAGCTGTTTGACCGTAAGTCTCAGCAGGAGATGCGTTGATGTCTGCTTTTGCTGCTAGAAGTGTCTGTACCACGTCGAGGTGACCTCCCCCTGCTGCCGCCTGGAGAGCTGTTTGGCCATTTACTTGAGCAGGAGATACGTTGACGTCTGCTTTTGCTACTAGAAGTATCTGTACCACGTGAAGGTGGCCTCGCTCCGCTGCCGCCTGGAGAGCTGTTCGGCCATTTGATTGAGTAGGAGATGCGTTAACGTCTGCTTTTGCTGCTAGAAGTGTCTGTACCACATCGAGATGACCCCCTTCTGCTGCCGCTTGGAGAGCTGTTCGGCCATTTGATTGAGCAGGAGATACGTTGACGTCTGCTTTTGCTGCTAGAAGTGTCTGTACCACATCGAGGTGACCCCCTTTTGCTGCTGCTTGGAGAGCTGTTTGACCGTAAGTCTCAGCAGGAGATGCGTTAACGTCTGCTTTTGCTGCTAGAAGTGTCTGTACCACGTCGAGGTGACCTCTCCCTGCTGCCGCCTGGAGAGCTGTTTGGCCGTAAGTCTCAGCAGGAGATGCGTTAACGTCTGCTTTTGCTGCTAGAAGTGTCTGCACCACGTCGAGATGGCCTTGCTCCGCTGCCGCTTGGAGAGCTGTTCGGCCATTTACTTGAGCAGGAGATACGTTGACGTCTGCTTTTGCCGCTAGAAGTATCTGTACCACGTGAAGGTGGCCTCGCTCCGCTGCCGCCTGGAGAGCTGTTCGGCCATTTGATTGAGTAGGAGATGCGTTAACGTCTGCTTTTGCTACTAGAAGTGTCTGTACCACGTCGAGGTGGCCTTGCCCCGCTGCCGCCTGGAGAGCTGTTCGGCCATAATCTTTAGCAGGAGATGCGTTGATGTCTGCTTTTGCTGCTAGAAGTGTCCGTACCACATCGAGATGACCCCCTTCTGCAGCCGCTTGGAGAGCTGTTCGGCCATTTACTTGAGCATTGACTTCAGCCCCCGCTTGGAGCAACATTGTTAGGGAACGAATACACCCATTTAGCACAGCATATGACAATCCATTATTCAAAACATCATTGGTACTGCTAAGGCGAAGAATTGCCTCAGTATATCGATAACGATTGTAGATGTCGACGTCGCGAAGGATTTTAACCCTCACATTTTCAGACAAAACGTGGGACTGATGGCTTGCATAGTATAAAAGTAATGCATAATGCCTATGGGTCAATAACCATTGGATAGCCGCTGGTATATCATTTCCCTTCTTGTAGGTCTGCTGCTCTGACTCCCACGGTCTGTGTGAAGCAACATCATCACCTTCTATGCACCGGCAAAACAAACGCCACATGGTACTGTTCATATCTGGAGTAAAATCAGCCAGATGTTGGTGCCAGTAAGCCTTGGCGTAGTTGAGAAACTGGAACCCTTGCTTATGGAGTTCTAGCCCCAGCTGGGAAGAAGTCGCATCTCCCAGTATATCCTGCGCCTTTCTCTCTACCTCTCGAGTGCTGAAATTCTGTAGCTGGCGATGGCCGGAAAGAAGTCTTTGGGGTATCTGACTGGTGGCTCTGATGAAAGGACGGGTGGGTAGAGGACTGGTACCGAGCTGAATGGGCATGATAGGAATACTGGAACCATTGTGAACTTTCGATAACTGACGCTTGAAGTCGGTGAAATCCAGATATATCATGCAAAGAAACCCAAAATCCCGGTTGACGCTTGCAATCTCGAACAGCGCTGTGTGTTGACCATTCATGGTAAAAAGATGTTCTTTCACACTACGATGAACATAGTGTATAGTGTCTTCCTCTTCATCAACGAATGTTAATCCGCAACAACTATTGACAACCCTATTCATGTCGTTGGGAACCTTCCCACGGTCAAAGGCCTTCTGTTCGAGGGAAAGACTAAGGGCCTCTCGATACTCCATGACTGATAATGGCCGTTTCACTATCCCACAATATTGTAGGAGTTTCATTGCCTGGCCAGCCGCCCTTCCCTCTCGAACACGACGAAGCTTTCGATCATAGAGCTCAGCCAAGCTGTGTGGAAGATGATTCAGTGTTTCCAGAATATCGTGATCACAATTCTGTACACAAAGCTCTTCAATACAAAGAGCTGCCCAAAGGAACCTGTGTTTTTTCGAGTCTGTTAGTACTGTATCTAAAGCTGCCTAGTCATATATCTTAATATTAATATATACGCGGCATTAACACTTACATTCCGTCAGAATTGTCCCGTAATGTGCTGTATATCTTCTTGAAAATTGTTGAATCCCCAAGAATCAAAACCTTATCGTCCAAACACTTTTCCAAAGTCTGGGTAAGATAGTGATCCATGTCCGACTTGACCTTTTCCTCATTCACCATGATTCTGTACTGTGGTACAGTCGAATTGAACCGTTTTTCAAGACCAGGTCGGCCCGCGCAGAGGATTTTGAAACCAATGCACTTGCTGCAGAGTTTAACCATAGCCTGTTCCACTGCTCGAACCTGATTTATATCACATTCGTCTAGTCCGTCCAGGGCAACATAGTACTTCTTACCCTCATCAGCCCCCATATGAGATAGCAAGAACTGAACAACTTCAGTCGTGGTAAGATCCCGGGTGGTCTCCTGTAAAGAGAGTAGAGTTTCATATTCGCTTTGTTCAATCTGAGGATCGAGAATTTGACGAGCAAGACTTCCAAGAATGCTCCTTGCAGATAAAGTTGCTTGATTGTCAACACGACAGAAGTAGTAGCATACGATCTCATTTCTCTTGCGGGCCGTATGTAATCGTAACTGATCCACCACATTAGACATGATCACTGTCTTTCCCATGCCTATGGTGCCTAAACACCAGAGTATCGCAGATTGCGGATCCATTTTCCACTTATCAAAGACCAACTCTTTGTGAAACCACTCAGCCGTGGCTGGGACCCGTTGCTTCATGATCTGTCTCAAAGGACGGTCATGGTCGATAGGAGAAAGGTTGTTTCGAATGATTGTCTTCAACTTCTCCATTTCACTTTTTTTCAATTTCATTCGCCTCTCGTTTGCCTCTGCTTGTTGTTTCAGTGATTTTTGGAAGAAGCTTCGGGCCAAAGGTCGGAATGTTGAATTCTGTTGACTTTCATATTCTAGCAGCTTTTTTGCTTCTTTGTCTGCTTGCTTTGATGCGAGTGACACCTCTAGGTCGATCTTATGTGTAGCTTCATTTAGCAGATCAAGGAATGGCTTGAACTCGGATTCAAAGGGATTTAGTATCGACGAAAGAGTTTGCTTAAGGGCGGTTCGACGGGAGACTTCGATGATCTTGACACACAGATTGATGGTGATAGCGTAGAAATCACAAAGGGCACGTTGGAGACCAATGCAGTCGGGATAGAGTGGGCCGAATTTTTGATATGTCGGAGAGAATTTGCCGATGCGCATGATCATACTTGTGACTTTGTCAAAGTAGGAGGCCACATTGCTCGCCGTCAATATAGCAGTCTTTACACCTCCCCAGACGAGGGCGGCGATTATCGGATTAGAGCTAACGAATGTTTCCACGACGCCAGTGAACTGTTGTGTTGCCTCTAAGAAGGTACATAGCCGTGGAGCCACGCACCTCCTCGTTGTACTGCTATTTCTAGCATCGATTTCTGCAACAAACTCTATGACACTCGCGATATCTGGTGTCGCGGTGCTTTTTTGATAGTCTCGTTTTTGGTCCTCTGTCAGGATATTCTCAAAATTCTTCAATGCTGCATTGAGGGTTTGTGTAGGGTCTGCCCCCTGCGCTTCTGCTCTTGGGAGCAATTGAAGAGCCATCGGACTTTTCCCGATACACAAGTTAATTGTTGGTCGAAAGTAATTCACAGAAGTTTGTATGGATTCCCATAGACTCTATCGTTGCACAGCCTCTGTGAAGGGTCATGGGCGGGATTAGTGTCGTTTTGACAAGAGCTGAGCCTCGCTCACAGCCCTGCGGTCATATAGACCAATTAGGGTCGGCCACATCAGTGATCGTCACGTGTGAAGCCAGCCCTGGAGTACACTTACTGAAGCCATCCTCAATCTAGAAATACCATGTAGAGTGCATGCTGGAGAATTTGAACATTCGTTTTGCTACTACCAACGAGGGAGCCCGGGAACCCCTAAGTCCGCCAACAGTAGTCTATGCACAGTGTATGGTAATAAACAACCTCTAAACTTAATGCGAGTATATTCTTCCCTTTAACCCAAGTGTAATCATTCTTCCTCTTCCGGCGCATCATCCACACCACGTAGCCAAGCGGCTCTAGCATCTACCGCCGCCTTGCGCACATCACGCTTAGGATCATCAAGAACCGCCCGCAAGGACCTCAGAACCTGAGTCTTGACAGGCAAGAGAGGCGAGATACCCGGCGGCGCACGCGCGTTAGCTGCAGCACCGGGCACCTGGTGGGTAGCGAGGAGATTGAGACATCTCAAAGCATCCGCGCGGAGACGTGGGCTATTAACAGCACCAGGGCCGATGTTTGTAGCTGTTGTTTTGAGAAGTCTCGTGACAAGACTCTGGATGTGGCCGCACTTGTCGATAACTACGACGCCGTTATCACGGATAATCACGGCGAGAGTATCGAGTGTTGCTGTGCGGACGGCGACAGAGTCGGCGGTTTGGAGATCGAGGGATTGTAGGAGGAGGGGGAGCAGGGTGGGGAGTTCTGGCATGACCAGGGCTGTGGGGATTGTGGAGAGGATACCCGCGAGGGCAGTTAGGTGGGCCGGCTTGATGTGTTCGGGCGCTTTGGGGGCGGCGGTGGAGTCATCTGTGCCGGCGATGTTCACTTCGCGGATGCGAGATGAGATCAGGGGGATGACTGTGGTGAAGAGGCGCTGTCTGCAGAGGAGGCGGATTGTAGCGCCATTGGTTGCAGAGAGGATGTCATCTTCACCGAGGATTATGGAGAAGCCCTGTGCTGCTGTCGCGCTAGTTTGCTGGTCTGGGGAGGAGAGGAGGGCGAGGAGGGAGGTCAGGATGTGGGTGGTTGAGGGGGCTAGGCGGAGGACCAAGGCTTTGGATAGCCAGAAGATGGTGCGGATGGTTGCAGGGTTAAGGCTCTTTGATTCTGTGTCCTGGCCTTGGAGGAGAGAATCAAAGAGTTTCTCGGCGATTGGTAGATCCTGCTTGGACAGGAATTTGTTGACAAGCAAGGCCAGGTGACGCAGGTAGGCTTGGTGTGTTGCTGGCTCGGTACTCGAGACTGCACGATGAGTCAGATCCAACAGCAAACCCGACATGTCTGGGTTGGTGTGGGGGATTTTGTTGCCGCAGTCCTTGGAAATTCCCGCGAGCAGGTATGTTGAGATAATGATTGTACGTTCTTGATCCGCATTTGTAGTCTGTGTGAACGGAATGGGCACAAAATCTTCAACTGCAGAGAAGAGACTGTAGACATTTTCGGCAACTTGTTCCTGTTTCTGAATGGAAACAGATCGCACAAGGAGATTGCAAAGTCGACCCAAGGTGTCAAGCACAGTAGGATCATTGAGAATCCGGTTCTTTGCCTTGCCAGATGTTGATGCTGCGACATCGCGAGAAAGTCCAACCACAACCTTATCGAAGTACAAATCTACACTCTGGTCTTGTTCCATGTTTCTCTGCTGCATAACATAGAGCAAAGTAGTGAGAATTGCACGTGGGTAAGCAACTGACCCGGGTTGCTCCTTTTGCAGCAGAATGGACAGTTTGCTAAACAGACGACGGAAAAGCGTCTCAAAAATGTCCCTCTCGACACTAATCTGAGCAAGGGTCTCGAGTGTCGGCAGATACAGGGCATCCGAGCCTTCATCTTCCTCTGGCAGAGTTGCCACAAACGCAGGGAAAGTGATATCCACAATCAGGCGGGGCTTGTGCTTGGAAATCTCAGCAAGGGCAGCAATTGCTTCTTTCTTGAGATCATCCCGGCCTACAGATTCTTCCTTGAGAAGGATTTCGTCGAGGTATTGCACGAAAAGCCCAATCTCATTCTCCTGGAAGAAATGACGCAAAGTCGACAGACGCAAGAAGCCCTTCAACGCAGTCACCCGGAAGGAAACCTCTTCCTTAGCCGCACCCATCAATGCCTGTCCAAAGAGGTCCGAGAATTGGTCTTTGAATTCCAGTAGCGGGTTTTCGATAGCGGCCTCACCACCTCGGGTGGTCCACTGTCCAAATACGGCTGTAGCAGATTCGAACAAGACATTCAAAGTTTCGAGAAGTGCCCTTTGTTTGACAATTCCGTCCGCTTCTTGGTAAAGTGTGAAGATCGGAGGTACGACTGTTTGTACCACAAGGATAAAGGAAACAGGCGAAGCAGCAGAGACGCAACTGAGGATCGACTGAGCCGGCTTGGCCTTCTTGTTTTGAGGCTCCTGAAGTTGTTCGTTGCACTCCTTGGTGATTGGCTGAAGGTACTTCGCAAGAGGCAATTCTTGTGACACTTCAGTAACTCCTTCAGATAGTCGTTGGGCGATTGCTTGCAGAGCCTCGAGGGATGTTTCAGATAAGAACTCTTCCTGGGCATTGAGAATCTCAAACTTGAGGACTTCCCATATGGTGATGGAAAACTTGGACACTGTGTTGGGGTCGTATGAATGGATACATGCGATCAATGTACTAAGCGCATCTTTCTATAAATTTGTTAGATGGTTTCGATATGACAGTTTATTAAATAATCTTACCTTTACATTGGGAGAAGTAGAGTCAAGCTTATCCAATAAGGCGGGGATAGCGTGGGGTGCAAAATGCCTTGTCGAAGAGATACATTCTTGAAGACGACCCTTCAGATCCTGTGCAGTGATTCCATAGGGGTCATTGGGCGGAGGTCGGAATGTGATTGGGAAGTAGTTATATACCGAGTCGAAGAGGGTCTGTCCAGTGTTAGCGGAATCCATGACTAGAAAAAAGAACATTATACATACCTCAATGTGATTCGAGATGTCCCATTCTACCATAACCACTTTCAGGATCGAGAAAACAATCATCAAATTCCTGGGGTCTTTCTCTCCCGTCATGATATCAACAACACCCAGAAGCGAGATATCTCCCATATCACGCATAGCTCCGCGGTGGTTTGACATCAAGTCATTGAGCAATTGATAGACGTGGAACCGCTGTGTTTGAGACCGAGATTGGAGATCTTGGAAGTTGGAGAAAAGCCTATATCAATAAATCAGCACTAGTCATCATCGAGTTAAACTTTATCCCCGGTGAACACAGGGATGTCGCATGCAACCGAAAGGTATAGCACCTACGCTTGTGCTACTTGGGTAGCCAAAAACTTGTTAAACCGATCCAGACCCTGTAAGGCCTGCAACCCATCAACGGCACCACCATCCTCAATTCTATCACAGAAGAATGTAGTCAAGACTTGGATCTGTTGTCTCGAGAGGTATTTCGGCGAGAGAGCTTGGATAATGGCCGTAAGATAAGAAATCGCCTTTCCACGTAAAATCGGGTCTTCGTCGTTGATATATTCACCGAGAGATTGGACGGTATCAATCAGAGTCGCCTTCTTGGTCTCAACATCTATATTCACTCCCGTTAGTAATGCAACGATTTGAAGTGGTCTCAGGTGCGGGGCGAATTGGCATACCGTGCGCGATTCCCTCCGCAATGCGCTTGGCTTCTTCTTTGTCGTGGTCCACGACCAGCATAAAGGTCTGTAGAGCCGACATGATACCAATCGAATCAATTAGGAGCGCCAGACGTGTAGATTGCGGGGGCAAGACCAAGATCGCATCGGCCAATTTCTTGTGGCCGAATACCCTTATCGATAAGGGTCAGGTGATTCTGTTATCTCTCTCTCTCTCTCTTCACATCACGTGCCAAGACCTGTTGCGTCATGGATGTAGTGAGACCTGCTTCTCTGTCCGGCGTCATTGGCAGCAAGATGGCTCCAACCCGCAGCATGGGATTTAACCGACTAACAACATCTATTCTATTTACATTTCTTCTCGCTAGCTCAACATCCGCACTCTGGGGCCTATCATATCCCTTTCCCTCACGTCAACAGCCACTAGCTCTCGAGCACAAAGAGCATCGATCAATAATGGATAAGATACTCCCTGGTATTGTCCAGCCACAGAAGACGGCTCCGGACGAGGATGCGAACTCAAAATACAGCGGTAGCCCTATCATCTCAGATGTCCTTCCCAAGACCAAGGGCATCAATATCTTTGCGCGGTTGACCCGAGACTTTGAGCCAGTCGCCAACCGTCTTAACGATGCATCCAAAAACATTACAGTTCTAGCACCACGCAACAGTGCAATTCAAGCTCTTCCGCGAAAGCCCTGGGAAAATCCCGAGGACTACAAGAAGTTCGGAGAGGTAAATGCATATGAGGGGCAGGATGGTCAAGACCGGGCAAAGCGGAATCTGCAGCGATTCGTGGAGGCTCATCTCATCCCTGCTAGTCCCTGGAGAGTTGGGGAAGAGATCGAAACGCTTGCAGGAGAGAAGTTGAAATGGACGAAGGAGGGTGATAAGATCTTTGTAGGTTTTGTCCTCTCCGAGTCGTTCGTATCATAACTGACTGTCTATAGATCCAACCTGGCAATATTGAAGTTGATTCAATTGCGGAGAAGGTCCATAATGGGGAAGTCTGGATCTTGAATGATGTTATTAATTACCGTCAACAGTGATTGGTTATGATTTACTACGATTTATGAATATTGTGCAATATGAACCATTCAAGAACACTCAAGTAAATTACGTAGATCCACAAGATTGCGGCTTATTTAAAAACATGGCACATTCTATTCTTTATGCTATCCAAAGCCAGCGATGACCTCAAGACAGGTATATACACCAACACTAGACATCACATGCAACATCAAACGGAGATTAGATCCCCGCAGGAGCAAAGTTTTGCAGGATTCTCTCTTCCACTCCATCGAGAATACAGAAGTGCTCCATCACTTCCAAGTTCTCCGCTTCGTTCAGATACAGCTTGTCGGGGTCTTGGCCGGGCTGGAGCGGGTTGACCATTGCGGCAGGGTTAGCCATACCCATCTGCTGGGCCATTTGGTTGGCAGCTATAGATTATTAGTGACGGTTCTAATGAGCAAGGGTCAGATAGATGCATACAGTTATCACTGCCGAGGATGAATCCAAAAACGGACTGAAGGCCCATCAAGTTGAGGAAGTACCACGAAAGACTGGAGACCCATTGTACGTCAAGGTCGCGAGTCATGACACCAGACTGCAGCATAGACTTGAACCGGATGGTAAGCGGGAAGGGCAATTTCACTGCAAAATTTGTAAGCTAGTTGCTCATGTCCATTTATATCAAAATGCAACATACAGATAACAAAGCCAGAGAAGAAGGCGTTGATCCAGCTCATGATCAAGGTTTGCGGGATCATCATCATCATGTTTCCCTTAAGCATTCCCATCATAGCTTCCATGCCCGCGGGGTCGGTCATGGGGTTCGCGGGCGGTTGGCCACGGTTGTTGGGGTCCTTCAAAAATGCGCCGTTGCGGAATCCAGTAACCATGTAGTTCTTGCGCATCTCGAAGGACTCGCGGTCGAGCACGGAGCAGGCATTGTTGCGGAGATTCACGCCGCGGAGAAGAGCAAGGCGCTCGCGAGACTCGGCAAGAGTGGATGGCGATTTGGGGGCGTGTTCATCAGGACCGTGGCATAGTGGCGAAGGATTCCGGTCAGGATCTATTCAAGAGGGGTTAGCTTCACTCCGTAAAGGCATCGCAGGTATTTGAGCTTCAAGCGCCAGGTGTATATCATACCATAACAATTGAAATAGGAAAGAGAATCCAATAGCTATAAGCAAATGGTCAGTCTAACTTCCGCTTGATCGAATTATGTTCTCTCACAATAGCGCCGGATCCCTAAGGATGGTCTGCTCAGCCCCTTGAATTGCCATATTGAGGCAGAATAAGTATCAAAGAAGTGCCTCCTTTGAACCCAAACAAAAAATCAGTGGTGGCTGCAGGTGGGGGATGGAAAGTTGAAGGGGCCGCGAAGGTGAGGTTGCCAGGCGGAGAGGGATGTCATTGGTCCGCGTTAGCTCCAGCTTTCTCCAAAGGGCCACGCCGCATCTTTGTCCTGCGATAAACAACAGTCCTGTCTTGACCACTGAATACCGAACCACGCTCGATCTTTTGGATTTTGAAGGGCTCTTTACTCACATCTATTCTCAAATCTGTCATGGCTTCCACCAAGGTGCCGGTCTACTCGACCAATGGTCCGTAATCCCGATCTACTCTATACAGCAACAACACTAACAGTTGAGCAATAGATCTCAAGTCTACAAGCGACGATGCTCTCCTTCCTTACCTCACCAACCTTCCTGCGCCATACGCTTTCACTCCAGACTACTCGAAAACAAACATTCGCTTCCTGCTTGGATATAGCGCCGTCGCAATCGCAGGGTTTACTTTCTACGCAGACCGTACGCTTGGCTGGGAAGCAACTACCTCGCCCTGGATTATCGCCGCAGTAGGGACATACTTTGTCTTGAACAGCATTCTGACATACTGGATTTGGGCTGTTGAGGCTGGCGAGGTATACTCCGGAAAGAGAAAGACTGGAGAGACGGTATGTCATTGGTCTTCAACTCTTTCAAATTTCTAGTTTATGGCAGGTTACTAACAGAACTTATTTATAGATATCTGTCTCATCATCAGCCAAAAAGTTCTCCAAGATTTACAAGCTCCATGTCACATATAAGTCTGCCACTGGGAAAGTTCTCCAGGACAAGCGGTGCGAGGCGCCCTTCACAACTTGGTTCTCGGCAGACGGTGTATTCCACCCCGAACCTTTCCGTCGCTGGGTGGCCAGCGAGATTGATGTTTTGAGATTGGCGGCGAAGGAGAATGAAAAGAAGTCGGGCTAAAATGGAAGGTTACCTATCAATTACTATCAGAGGTTATGTTTTCGGGGCTATTGCAAAATGCAAAGCTAGTTCATTCTCTAAAAGAGATTAGGAAGAGTACATTGGAGTTACATTTTCAAATGAGCAGGCGAGATATCAGTTTCCTATGCTTTGGTTTCCATTTGGCTAGTTAATCAGGCGCATCCCAACAGTGTGCGTGACTCTTTCGATATTGTCCGGCAGTGAACCCAATTTCGTATGCAGTATCTAGACGTCACTCGATATGTGAGCAACCCTACCCTAGGTCAGGGCCCCTTAGCTTGATCTATTAGAATAGGATGTCCTACCTAGGGCTATTGAGCTCACATGGACTTCTACTTTCCTGGAAGGAGCCCTGGAGCTCAACTGCACTTTCCAAACTTGAAGATTTCAAGTTGACTCGAGCCTTTCAAGTTCAGAGCTTTGAGGCTTAATAGGCTTGGAAGCCAAGGTTGAACTTGGAACAGCTTTGTCTTTTGATCTGCTCCCATCACATATCACCTTACTGCTCAACTGCTCTTAAAAGTATATGGTTTTACTATCAGTTAAGTCCATGTTGTCAATACCTCTTCACATATACCTCTCGCAGCCTTGAAAAACTCCAATATGGGGTGCAAAACATCTGTCCCAGTTGGGCCACAGGGTAAGCTCTCATCCCACTGAAATATACTGTATGAATGAGCGGCTGAACTAACAATCAGACCATTTCAGTTCTCCCAATAATAACAGTAGCCCTTGTGTGGGTTTCCCAACAGAAGGTTGAGGCCCTTGTCAATGCCACCGAAAGATCACACGACGGGAACCAGGCATGAGATTCACTACAATGCCAACAACGACAGATGCAGCAACCACGCTGCCCACTGATGAGCCCGAAGAAACAGAAGTTGAGGCCACTGCTGAGCAAACCCGACAGGGTCAAATCTACCATATCCAGACAAAGGCACTTGACGGTCCGGTTAATTATACCAGCCAAATACGCCTCATCATCCTACCATCCGAGTACCAATTCTTAGGGACCAGGGGCCATGACGTAGCAGCCGGTCTCCAATTCGTGGCCCGTCACGCTGTGGTCATTGCCTTGGATCTCGAGCCTTTTCTTCCTCGAAGACTTCTCCGGAAGATCTACGGTGGTGAAGATGCTGCAACGTCGGCGACAAAGTCACTAGGGCATGTGTTGGCTGCGGTGGATCAGTTTGCCTTTTGGGAGAGTAGCTTGGAGGAACTCGTCCTCTGGTGTCTGTCACTTCTGAGACAATACTGGTGTTCAATTGCATGTGTTGCGGTGCTTATCCTCATACTTATCCTAGTGATTGTTTTGTCTTAATATAGAATTTTCTACCAGGATGTTAGGTCCGTTTGTCTGCATGGTGGTGTTTATTCATGTCAAAGTGGACTCAATAGTTCTTTACGCTTTATAATGCTTTGGCAGTTGTCAGTCCCAGATGTTCCCGGGACAATCTGATATTATATTAATATCACCCTCCGAGCCCAGCTAGGGGGTTTGCTATTGGAGTATTATGCAACATCAGAGTGCTCAAATAATAACCTATAATAATGCACAAGCAACAGTCTTTGTTGTGGAAGAATAGACAATGTCAACAGAGCCACTATAAGTTCCAAATGTGGAATGCGGCTGGGAGATATCTAAGGACAGGAAACAAAAGAAGAAGCATGAAGTTTCAGAGTATATCGAAATGGCTAATAACAAACAGAATATCTATAATTTTTTACGGAATGGCCAGCTCGGGGCGTAGCCATCGGGATCGAAATTTCAATCAGAGATGAGCAACCTATGATGATGCCTCAAGGGTGCCAGGGCGTTCAGTGGCCTCAGCGGGCTTGACATCATCCATTCGCTTGTTCTGGATGAGTCTCTGTAATTTGACTTGTTAGATGATGTTTTAAAGAACCACTGAGCATGTAAATAAAGTATAAAGAAACATACCAGCAAGTTCCGCAACAGAACAACAATAGTGACCTTTCCAATAGAGGGAACGAAGAGCGAGGCCTTGTCTCGGACCTCGTGGGGGAAGTTCTATATCAAAATAGTCAGCAACCACAACCTCTTCACCAGACTCGAATGCGCAAAAAAACATACCTTCTCGCTAGAGAAGTTGACACAAACAGCACCCTCACGCAGAAGGCTAGTATCGAACTTGTACTTCTCACTGGGCACGCCAGTAATAACGACATCACAAAGTGGTACAACATCCTTCAAAGTCTTGCCCTCAAGATCAACAATCTCATGCGTCTTTTTCTGCAATCCCTCACCACGAGTAAACTTCTGCACACCAGTAATATCAACCGAGTAAACACAGGCGCCATCATTAGCGAGCAAAGCAGCAAGCGGACGACCAACAACTTCAGAGCGGTTCACGACGCAAATCGTGTGTCCGAAGAGACGGTTTCCGTAAGGCAGGATGGTGTTGTAGATGTTGAGGTACTCGAGAATCTTGATGTTGGCGAGCGGGGTGCAAGGCAGGATGGACTTCTGGCGCTTGGCTTCGCCGTCCAGGAAGCGGATGTTCTGGTACATGTTGAAGATGTAGCGGTGGCTCAGGCCCTCAACGTCTTTGGTTACATCGACTATCTGCTGCAGGTACTGGTCCTGGCGAGTGCCGAAGATGGGGTAGTAGACGATTATGCCGTCGACGTTGTTGTCGGTGTTTGCGTTCAGGATGGCTTGTTCGATGTCGTCGCGGGACACTTGGCGCATGGAGTACTTGAAACCACTGAGGAAGGCATTATGTTAGTAGGTTCTTTTAATAGGAGTGTTTGCTGTGCTTTTGGACTCGTTTGGTTGGCTTTTCTTGTGTTTTGTGGTTTTTTTTTTGGCCGAGGGGTATGTATGAATCATACTAGTTACCCCCACCATCCAGCCCACCAAAGAGACAATTGGAGCCATTGAAGCCGGATAATGTCAAAATAATGTAGAGACTCACTTCTCCTCGCAGGTCTTCTGCGTCATCTGCGCATAGGTCAGTGCGGCAGGGTCATTATTGGCCAACAGGCCGACCAAGTGAGGCGGCTTCTCGAGAGTCTTGAGGCCCTCGTGAACTTCGGTGAGGAGGCGGTTGGCAACGTTCTTGCTCAACATCACCTTGCAGGAGGAGGGGGCTTATCGGTAGGGGCAGACATGACGGCGTTAAGACGATAATAACAATATAATCAATAACAGAGAGAATGGTGAAGGTCCTCGGACGCGGGGGACTTGGTGATCTCCGGGAAAATCTTGATCGCTTATCGATAACAGTCGGATGCCGGTTTCGGCCTCTACTGCCGAGTCGTGTCTTTTGGATGATATAGGAGGTACAAAATAGCCATGAGAATCTAGAGAGAAACGGAGGCTTATAATTATTGTTCTTAGTCATAGACATATATATAAATTGGAGTTTTTGTTCGATTGAGGCATACCTCTCACCCTCTTCATCCGACATGTGCGAATACATCCCTTTGTAGTCGTGCAAAACAATGCTACAAAGTTACAAAGCTACAAAGCTACAGTCTAGAGTCTACAATTACAGTATAAAGGATTGAACAAAAGAAAATAATTGCGGTCCAACATGGAGAGCATAAGGAGACCAGACGGAATTAGAACGGTCGTCCACCCATCTCGCGCCCCGATGCGCGGATAAAATCTAAACGTACAGGATATAATCACATTTTGGCAGACCATAGTCATTTTAGTTCTCGCTCGAACAGCACTACGGGAAATCCTTGGTCCGCCCCCCAGGATCATGCAGATAATTACATCGCTACATCCAGGGGCAGACTGGGATATCCTGCCAGGCACCGGCACCAAGAAGAACAGAAAAACAATGGGCTCAAAATTGTACAGGCTATCTTGTCTATACACATAGAGTCAAGAAAACAAAGCCGACCACGAAGGATCATCCGAGTTATTTCTTCACTTATGCGTTGAAGGTGGAGTTGAAGGCGGAGATGGTCTTCTTGAGGGTAGCCTCAGTCTCCTTGGAGACCTGGCCCTCCTTCTCGATGGTGGCCTGGATCTCGGGGTGGGAGCTCTTGAGGTGAGCAAGGAGGTCAGTCTCCCAGGTGAGGATCTTGTCGACGGGGATGGTGTCGAGGAGACCGTTAACACCAGCGAAGATCAGGGGAACCATGTCGGTAACGGCCATGGGGGAGTACTGCTTCTGCTTGAGGAGCTCGGTCAGACGCTCACCACGGGCAAGGGTCTGCTTGGTGGAGGCATCGAGATCGGAACCGAACTGGGCGAAGGCAGCGACCTCACGGTACTGAGCCAAGAACAGCTTGAGGGAACCGGCGACCTGCTTCATGGCCTTGACCTGGGCGGCGGAACCGACACGGGACACGGACAGACCGACGTTAATGGCGGGACGGATACCCTTGTAGAACAGCTCGGACTCCAAGAAGATCTGACCGTCGGTGATGGAAATGACGTTGGTGGGAATGTAAGCGGACACATCACCACCCTGGGTCTCAATGACGGGGAGGGCAGTCAAGGAACCAGCACCGTGGGTCTTGTTCATCTTGGCGGCACGCTCGAGGAGACGAGAGTGCAGGTAGAAGACATCACCGGGGTAAGCCTCACGTCCGGGGGGACGGCGGAGGAGCAGAGACATCTGACGGTAGGCAACGGCCTGCTTGGACAGATCATCGTAGATGATGACGGCGTGGCGGGCGTTGTCACGGAACCACTCACCCATGGCACAGCCAGTGAAGGGAGCAATGTACTGCAGGGGAGCGGCCTCAGAGGCGGTGGCAGCGATGATGACAGAGTACTTCATGGCGTCCTGCTCCTCAAGGGTCTTGACGAGCTGAGCGACGGTGGAACGCTTCTGACCAACGGCAACGTAGATACAGTAGAGCTTCTCCTCCTCGGTGGCGGTCTTGCTGTTGTTCCAACGCTTCTGGTTGAGCATGGTGTCGAGAGCGACAGCGGTCTTACCGGTCTGACGATCACCAATGATCAACTCACGCTGACCACGGCCAATGGGGACCATGGAGTCGACACACTTCATACCAGTCTGCACGGGCTGGTTGACGGACTGACGGGGCAGAATGCCGGGGGCCTTGAGCTGGGCACGGCGCTTCTCCTTGGTGTTAAGGGGACCCTTGCCATCAATGGGGTTACCGAGAGCATCGACGACACGGCCGAGCAGCTCGGGGCCGACGGGGACCTCGACCTAGGGGTGGTGTTAGAAAAGTTGGCAAGGGGTAGATGGATTCAGGGTCCAATATCAGAATGAAGCCAGGGGCTGGGTTGGAGTGCTTACAATCTCGCCGGTACGCTTGACGGTCTCACCCTCCTTGACGAGACGGTCGGAACCGAAAAGCACGACACCGACCTGGCCGGCCTCGAGGTTCATGCACATACCCTTAACGCCGGAGGCGAACCTGAAGATGAGTTAGTTTTCGGGTCTGGATAATGCCAAGACTTTGGGGGTTCACGTACTCGACCAGCTCCTCAGCCTGGACGTTGGACATGCCGTGGACACGGGCGATACCATCACTATTTAAAGCTCAATTAGTTTCTGTATAGGTATTTTGTCGATTGTTGATAAACAATGGCGGATTCGATGGAATTGTAGCCGGGGACCGAATTTTTTTTCGCGCCCCCAGCCGCCTAGGGAGAATTGACGTACCCGACCGACAGAACACGACCGGTCTCAGCGAGACCAGCCTCCTCAGAGACACCACGGATGCGCTGCTCAAGGATGGAGGAGACCTCGGTAGGGGTAGCCTTGGCCTCGGAAGCGTACGAGCGAACGCCGTTGAGAGGACCGGCAGCAGCCGCGCGGACCTGTAATGGACGAAAAACCTGTTAATGACCATCCCAGAGAAGGACAATGCGTTCGAGCCATTGTTGAAGTATCGTTGTCGAGGTATGATGAGGTATGAGCATCGATCGAGCTCAAGATTGAGATGAAGGATGTCGAACTGGCGATGGACGAAGGCGGCTGGGATGGGATAGACTCACCGAGGCGATGCGGCCAGTGGCCGAAACGGCCGCAACGGAGCGGCTGGACGACCGCAGAGCGTTTCTGAACATTGTGAAAGGGGGTTCAGAGGATGGGAGGATGAATTCTCTGAGGGAGAGATGTAATTGGGGAGAGAGAACGGGAGAGGAGAGAGGATTGTGGACGGGAGGGAGAGCTTTGTCGTCGGGGGGAGGATTGGATTCTCAGGACTCGCGCTAAACCGTTTCGGACGCTGGGCCCTCCGAGGTGGCCCTAGTGTGAGGCCACGGTGTATCTTGTTACACTTTTATTATTACTACAATGTTATATTTTGTTATTCAATTGATTTCTATATGATTTCTATAAATTCTCCAGATTTTTTAAAATATTCTACAAGGTCATAATGAGTTACTTTCCATTGACATTGCCGACCGGAAGAGTGTGCCACGGGCCACTGTCCTTCCGTTTTTTTCTCTTCTCGGATCGGCGGAATTCCTAGTCAGGTGAATCGCTTATGTCATGGCTTTCGTCACGGCAACCGAAGACGGGTGCATGTTTGCTTGTAGTTTTGGTTGTTATGTATTTATATTCCTTATTTCCGGGTCTCTCTATACGTGCTAGGGTGATATATGATACTCCCATACAATAAAATCACGAATTGGCCGAAAACCAGCAACGCCTATTCCACCGGAAAGGGATAAATAAGTACATCCCAAATTGGCCAAAAGGCAAGGCAAAATAACACTTGCAAAAAGGATTGAGAAAAACAAGACATAAGCAATCGCTTTGCTAATAACAGAGATATGAATCAACGCGCTCATGAAACCACTCAAGCTTTCGACATCAACCAAGAGAACCCGATAACAACATACGGAGTACGGAGTAGAGCACCCGGTCTTGGCGAACAATATCTCCCCTTGCTGCATGCTGTACGCACATGTCAGCATTTATTGGGCCACCTTACCCTTCCCCTTGCCATTCTCATTCCCCTCCTTCCGGAACTTCAGGATCTCCAGCTCAACGCCCTTCTCAAACCGCTTCTTAAGCTCCGAGCGATATCCGAAGAAGAACAGAACCTCCATCCAGACAAACAGCGGCGCAAGCAGTAAAGCCTGAACAAGGTTATCCAGCAAGGCCGGGGCACGTTTCTCAAACACGCCGTGTCCGATGAACTGCGCCAGCCATGACACAATGTGGATGCCCCCGGCCCAGTAGTTCACGATGCTGCCGTATGTGCTGAGGAAGTAGTTTCCGTAGTATGCAGCTGTAATCACAGCGGGTGCGAGTAGGCCACCAGCTATGGGCTCTAGGAGGACATAAAATGTGGCATAGATGAGGGCGCCGATTGTTCCGGCATTTGCCGGCAGGTATTCGATCTGGATGGCATCCGGGAGAGTAAAGAAGGGCGGACAGTTGCAGGCCTTGGGAGTCACTGTTAGTACCTTTGTACATTGGGGATGTCTTGTTTGGTTGGAAAAAGCCGAGGTTCACATACGAGTACGATGCCGGTAAACAGTAGGACTGGGACGCAGGTGATGTGGATTGCAACGTTGACCTGCGCTGTTAGTAAGTGTGCGCTATTGGTGATGGGGATAAGGCCGCTGTACGGGATTGCTATGGTAGGCTCCATACTACTTCTCAGTCAGTTATCATCGTTCCGGTGGTTCCAAGGTTGGATGTGGATGCTTACGAAGAGCAACTGTTTCTCAAGATTAAGCGCCATCTTGCCGGGTATTCCGGGTAGGAAACAAAAAGATGGGGAATTCTGGAGGAGGAATTTTGCGGGGGATGAGATCAGGTAAGTGGCATCATCTTTTTATCGGAAAGCGTTGAGTGGTCCAATTGATATTCAAGGCACTGGCCCTGGCGTCATGTGGTCGCTGAGGACGTTGGGTCTTGGCATCGTAAACATCGTAACGGCTCCAAACGTGGCGACTACCATACACAGACCTATCAAACCATCTACATTATAGCTTTACTGGGATCTTCTATATTGCGGTTATGGGTTGTCTACACATGGTAGTTATGATTGAGGACCTCCTCCGTCTCTCATTACACTGATCGTTAGCTACATTATATTACTGTAATGTCTAGTATAAAATGTTCCGGTGAGGCTTTGGGCTATATTTCCCTACAGGTTCAGCTGTTTTTCTTGTGCGATCTTCAGTGCTATGGAATAATGATAGTACATATGTATGGCCTTCCAATTTATTAATTTAGAACTCGGTTGCAAGTTGAATGTTGAAATCTAAGATACTTACAACGGATATATATAGCTTCAGGGTATGCATTCTACCTGAAATTGAAACACAATAATCAGTCAAAACCAACCAGACAAGGGTATATATATAGCTTAAAATGGGAGTACAAGACAGCCCGATGGTCCAAATCCAACAAAGTTCATTATTTAACTTCTGTACATGTCGTCAAACATCCATGGTATGCTATAGATCATCCAATCACTCTTCATATAAGAAGCAATCCTCCACCTGGTCAAGGTTAAAGTACCACCAAGCATATTACTGACTACTTATTTCAGAACGTAACCTATCAAAGGAAAAATGAAGTTTCAATGACTTGAAACGTGCAAATATCAAGTCAACTTCCCACCGACCAAGAATCATACCACGTGACTCCACCCACCCAAACTTGGCCCACCAGACCGGAGATGCTCTTACGAAGGGAAAGCTTGCGCCTGCAGCAACTGTATCTGCCTCCTCGTTCAAGATCCAAGGCAGATACAATTTCTGCCACTCCCACGGGTACTCGGATCTCATTTCGCTCATTTCTGGCAGCCACATCTTGTTTGTGCTTTTACCGTTGCAGGTCATGAGCGCGTGGTCGAAAACGCCGTCCCTCGACCTCGATTGACAGCATCACTGTCCTCAAAAGCGACTTGAATCTTTCCACTCTGCACTTCGGCATTAGCGCATTTTCATCCAACCATAACCGCGACGATGTTTTTCCTCAAAGAAGAGACCAAGGTGATCTCGATGCACCCGTCCTATTTCGGACCCAACATGCGAGAGTACCTCATCGGTCGACTCAACGAGGAGGAAGAGGGACGGTGCACAGGTGATCACTTTGTGATCTGTGTCATGGACATGGTCGATATTGGCGAAGGGCGGGTGATGCCTGGAATCGGACAGGCGGAATACACCATCAGATATCGTGCGATCATCTGGAAGCCGTTCCGTGGCGAGACGGTATGCGCTTGGGATCCGAGATTGTCGCCTTTGGGAATTCTTGCTGACTGAGCTTAGGTCGATGCTATTGTTACCTCCGTTAAGCCTACCGGTATCTTCACCCTAGCGGGCCCATTGTCCGTCTTCATTGCGCGAAAGGTATGTTTTTGTTTGCTCTGACCTTGGATCTCTTAAGTTTCACTGCTGACAACTTATCAGAACATCCCCTCCGATATCAAGTGGGAGCCCAACACTGTGCCGCCGCAATACACTGATCATGCCGATCAAGTGATCGAGAAAGGAACCAGTCTGCGATTGAAGATTCTCGGTGTCAAGCCCGACGTGGCAGCTATCAATGCCATTGGCACCATCAAGGAGGATTATCTTGGGTAAGTCATTTGAACTACGCCCAGCACATGACCTTTCTAACGCGGTTTCCTTTAACAGACCTTTGTAACGAGACACGATTGCAACACATACCCACCCTTTTCACCAATACGATAATCTACCATGCTATCTACCGATCCCCGAAGATAGGGCGAATGCTTGGATGGCTTTACTGCCTCACAGGGGAAAAAAGAATTGGCCGGTCAGGAGTTGGAGTTTGACAAGTCCCTACTCGGTACACATGCCATACTTTTTTTTTTTTGACTCGAATGGCTATACTTCAATGAAAGACCGATCATGTCTCCCACCCGAGAGTGCCCGGTTTGGATCGGCATTGCAGCTGAAATGACTTCCGACCCACCAGAGATTGTGTCAACCGCTTGAGGGGCATTTGATTTCTCTGAAATGTACAATTGCATTAATTTGCATGTCTAACCCTTTGCAATCCATGCCCCCTGTAGAGGCTGAAGCCTTTAAAGTGTATGTTGTATTCTCCAGATTCTCCGATGCTCCAGTTGCCGGAGGGACGAGCCAAGCCCCAAGCCTAGGCCCCGTATGGTGAAACACTGGCGTGTTTTCAGATTATTTCAGGGATGTTTTCGATTTGGGATTTCTATGCATTTTCTAGGCTTTCATTATTATTTGACATTGGAATATATATGCAAGGTACCGAGGACTAACTGGTTCTAGCGTTTCCCCTGTTATATTATTTTGGACGTTGTACTCCCGCACTTGGGCCTCGTAGAACGAACCGTTTCCTCTTTCTCTCTTTCTCTTCTCTTCTTAATTGAAAAAATAGTCTTTTTGTAACTTCAATCTCATCTAGCTTGCTTCTAGAGGATTCTAGAGTAGCTATCTTCTCTGGAATATCTTCCTCCTTTCAATCCCCCCCTGTCCCTAGACGGTTGACAATGTCCTACTTCAAGACCGAATACCAGCGGTTCCTGGATAACCCCAGGTCTGCTAAATTGGCCGACGATGTGTCCATGATCTATGTTCCTACCACGACGAAGTTCGAGCAGGCCGACAATGTCATCACTCATGTGTTGAAGAACGCGCAGGTGGTCAAGACGAAATCGAACCAGGTCATCAGCGCCATTGAAGGGTCAGACTCGCTATGCCTAGACATGGAGACAACCCTCGAGTTCACTGAGGGTGGTGGGGTTTATCTCCCCTCGCTCGACGATAATTTCCTGGCCGACCGTGTCGCGACCTTCCCCACGGTAAATTCCCCGACGCGCGTCGCGTTATCGAAAGCTAATGCATCATCCTGCAGGTTCACATTGTCCACTTCGACGCCGATAAATTGATCAAGCAGATCCGCATTTACTGGGATCAGGCCTCATTGCTGAAGCAAGTCGAAGTTATTGGAGCGCGCGGACGCCAATGGCCCATTCGTGATGGAAAAGACCAGCTCCGTCTCCTCAAAACTGCCGAGACGGCGCGTTTGGCACCCTCGCAGCCTGCTTCTCAGAACTCAGAGACCAAGCTCCCCACTCGCTCCTCATCCCCAGGCAAGCGCCGCATCAGAGATCCCTACGCAGCCGAATCCCTCACTGAGCTTCTCTCCCCGAGCAAAGAGACCCCCAAACCTGCATCCAGCAAGAAATACACCCAAGACCCTTACGGAGCCGGTTCATTGAATGAGATTTTGTCCCCCACCAAGAAGGCCCCCACCCCTGTGCCTCCCTTTGCGCCATCGTCTGGGCGACCTGCTACGCGCAACTTCAGCGATATCTTCGTGAAGGATGACCATCTGCCTGACTCCCCCTCGAAGCCCCAGCGCCGGGCTCCCCCAGTCGACGAAGTGGACGAAAAGACAGAGAAAGGACCCGTCGACGAAGACCGTAATTTCTACAAAACCGACCCCAAAAAATACAGCCACTTTGAGATTGGCGGAGAAAATGCTGGGAGCAAAGGGCCCGTCGACGAAGACCGTCATTTCTACAAAACCGCCCCTGGAAAATACAACCATTTCGAGATTGGCGGCGACAACTCGGAGCGCGAGACAAAGGGAGAAGTCAGACAGGCCAACACCAAACACGCAACCCACTGGGACTTCGACGACGTCGAGACCCCCGTGAAGGTCTCACGCGCCCCACGCGGACAAGAACGCCGTCACTTTGGCTTCGGCGATAACGAAGATGGCGATGGATCCCCCCAAGGCAAGCCAAATGTGGTCAAGCCCCGTCGCGACGCAGACCGTCACTTCGAGTTGACTGATGAAGAATCCGAGGATGACGGACGGATCATCAGCTCATTCGGGGGCCGCGGCAAGGGTCTCTACCAAAACCGTCTCTTCGACGACGAGGGCCAGCCCCAAACCTCCGACAAGGAGAACAAGCCTACCCAGAAGCATGATGCGCATAATAAGATGATGGAGTCCCACTGGAATACCTACGACGAGCAGTCCCCCCTGCCGCCTGCGCAAAAACACACCGCGCACAATAAGATGATGGAGTCACACTGGGATAACTATGACGAGCAGTCTCCCGAGCCAGTGAGGAGAAATGCCACCGCGCAGCGCAACCCTCTCGGCCACAACCAGCCCAGCTGGAGCCATGGAGAGAACTAAGTGAGCCTGCGATGGTCTAGGGCTTAGCTTGCTTTGATACCACATATGTATCTTTTGTCAGCGGAGAAATCGTTTAAGCTCCGTCTTCCCGTTTATACGACAAGCAACGGCCGACTCTTTCCGATCACGAGCTATGTATCGATACCCGCATGAAATTTGGACATTGTCCTTGAGACTGCAAAATCACAGAAAAAAACCAAAAAAAACAAAACAAAAAAATAAGAGGCCGATGGCTTCCCCTTTACTTCGCGCTTGGAACTTGCAGTTAGAGTCGAGTGTGGGATGCCTGGCCTGCGTGTACTACCTTCAACCATTTGCCTTCTTGTCTATCTTCTTTTGCCCTTTCTTTTTTCCCTTTCTGTATTTTGCCCTCGGAATTTGACCAGTGTACAAGTTTATTTCCACGAGAGCGGGATTCCCTTATCTGTTAATTTATAGTGTTTGGTTTTGATTCTTCCAGTAAACCCTCTTCTACTTCAAGTAGTGTAGAATAACGTAACTACTACACATCTACTAAGGGATCATAGATGTCATCGTTTGAAGATTGAATTGAGGCTCATAGCTAAGCTACTCCAAATAGTAAACTGGTTAGATATCAGAGTCCGATGTCCAAATATTGAAGCTGACCGAGACAGAATACCCCAAACGACATTGTCCAAAGACCAAAGATTGAGCAAGCGAATGTAAGTAGGTTCTCCAGGTCCAAAATGTGATATCTTTCATTCCTCCACCAAATTGTGTCAATTCCAATTCCACTTCTACCACCAAATAAATTCAATGCAAATCAGGTAGATAGATTTCAAATAGATCCCAAAAAGATACGCAAACGCGCATAATAGATATCCAAATAGATGTCAAACCACAAATTCAACCTAGATGTAGAACATAGTCTCCGCAATATTAGGATGGATCTTAACATCCACCATACGGGACATATCCGCTGTTCCGTCAGTGCCATTGGGACTACCACCAAAATGATCAAGCGAAATAGGGTCGAACAGATCACTCAAGAAGCATCGAGCGCGCGTACAAACCAGATCGGCATAGTACGCCGGCGGACAGACACTAACCGCCTTCGTCGCACGGCCGAACATGTAACACATCTTGTGAGTAAGGTCTTGGAGGACATCAGCCGCGCCGGGGCCGGAGCTGTTAGCCGGGTGACGGGGGTAGAAGATCTCGTCCCAGACGGTGAAGTAGTGGGCCGGACGGGCAGTTCCCTGGAGGGCGGAGTGAGCCTGTAGGAAGAAGTCCCAGTCGCGAGCCTCGGAGATGCCGCGGTCGACGACGGTTCCGGGGATTGGGTTCTCGCGGTTCGAGTCCTGTTCTGTTGTTGGGTAGAAGCGCGTGTTGTGGCGCTTTCCGACGACGACGATGGCAAGACGTGGAAGACCTTTCTTTGTCTGGTCTGCCGGGTAGGTTTTCTTGCATGCTTGTTGGAGGAGGGGGAGTTCCTCGTCGATGACTTTGTTGTATTGGCCCTCTGAGACGCCGTCGCGGTAGACGATGATGTTCTCTGGGAGGGATTTGTTTAGTTTTCGCCAGTGCTGGAGACGTGAGGCGAGGAGGGTTTCTAGGTCGGCGACCATTTCCTGGCGGGCGCCTTGGACGCGGATCTCGGCGGGCCATTGGGCCAGGGTTGTGTCGACCGAGGCGACGATGCCTGCTACGCTGGGGGCTGTGCTGGCGGAGCCTGGCGACGGGTGGGTTACGTCGATTCCGACTAGCATTGTCTTGCCTTCGGAGATTATGCCGAGGTCGGCGGTGCGCAGGGGCTTGGTTGGCACCGCCTAATTTGAGGTTGATTTTCAGGCCGACATTGGCGTTGTACTGGTCGTTGGAGTTGATGAGCTTTTCTGCGAGGACGTTCACGTTGCGGATTCCGTAGCGGACGTCGCAGACTTGCTTGACGCAGTTGTAGATGCCAGTGTCTTTAGTGTGGAAGATACCCAGGATGAAGACTGGGTTGTGCTGTTTTTGCAGATCGAGGACGGCTTGCTGGAGCTCGTTGGCGTCGCTCTTCCCGGTCAGGACAACCCGTTTTCCGGGCTTGTGGGCGTCCACGGCCATTCCCATAGCCTTGAGTGTCTTTCTGAAAGCTTGTAGAGACTTGTCAAGTTGATCTGAGCTTTGGAAAACTGGGCGGGAGCCCTGATGATCAATGTAGAGATAAGTCCAGGATTTCATGGGCGCAGGCTTGGAGAACTGGATTTGGCGCATGTTCCAGCTGCCAAATTGAGTTCTGATTTCCTTGGTCTTGTTCCCGTCTTTGTAGTAGACATTCGGGGCGGGGAGAACGCGTCCAGGAACCGTGATTAGCTCAGTGGAAGAGTTAACACCGAATGCAGACTGTAAAAGGAAGGTTAGATATCTTGACAAGGTTTTTGGAGCGAGGTAATTCTTACTAGAGTGGCATTCAAGGGCTCGCCAAGGCCCAGCACACCCACGCCCTTGGTAACAATCGACTGGGCGTTCTGACCCGGCTTTCGACCCATAACGGAGAAGCGGAGCATACTGGCTGTCTGATCGCCAGAAAGCTTGGATTTAGCTGGCTGGCCAGGCTCGACTTCACAGACCTCAACGGGGACATAGACAGGTCTGTCACGAGACCCGACGTTCACCACTGGATTCTTCGGATTCAAAATCATGTTGTACTCTAATAGGAAAGTTAGCATAATACTAGGAGGAAGGAAGTTGAGGGAAAAGACGAAGGAAAAGTGACGATCAACGGACCCTTTTTGAAGAAGTCCGCAACGGTGATGTAGCGACCTGCTTCCGCAGGACCGGCCTTGGGCACTTTCTTTCCCTTCTTAGCCTTGGGCTCGGGCGCACCGGGCACAGCGACGGGTTTAGGGTTAGATTCAGCTAGGAAAAATTGCACATCTTGGGGGCCAGCGCCGTGGGAGTTAACCTTGGGTGGGTTGGGCGACGAGCGCCCATCACCAAGGCTGGCCAGGCCAAAGATAGCCTTGATGCGAGGCCGGGGCTGGCCGCGACTGTTTTTGCGCGTGATGTGGGTGATACGAACGCGCAGGCTCTTGAGGAACTTCTCCAAACTATAAGTGCTCCTGCTGTTGTAGCCTTGGATCACATTGGCTAAAGGTCCTTCATTGTAACAGGCCAGATATTTGACCTGGACGTTCAGGAGCACACGAGCAGTCGCGGCACGCACACTGACAAAGAATCCACGCAGGACAGATAGGCCACCGCCAAGGTTGAAGGATTCCATGGTATCATGATGCAGACTGTAGTGTCTGTTGGCTCCGACAGAGACGACCTGGTCGTCCGTCTTGGGGTGGTGACCTATGATCATGTTGAGAGCAGCCACAAGCTCAGATTTGGATTCAAGCATGGCACCAGCATTGGTGGATGTCAGGTAGTTAACCAAGTCGGCAGGATTGACCTCACCAGTATACTGGCAGGTAACCTGGTGCACCCGGGGTGGATCGATGTAGTCATCATCTATGTGCTCTTTGTATCTCACATCGAATTTACCCTCGGTCAATTTGACACAGGAGACTAGGGTAGACCGGAAGTCCGACGCAATACTGCTCTTCTGCTGGGGGAAGTGTTCCTCCAACAGCAGACGTACAATGTGTCGGGCCTTCTTCCCAACAGGGGCAGACCGGTCGGCAGAGTCGGCTGCAATGGAAATATGATAGCGGAACAGCCGCTTGTTCGGCAGGGTCAGCGGTAGGTAATTTGCATACAAAGTCACCGGCCTGCCAGCTGTGCCATAACCAGGACGCTCGGGATATTTTGCTTGTCTGGGTGTCTTCTGGCCGCTCACAGTAAGGGCCTTGGCAAGGTCATTTTCAGTTTTAGTAACGGTGGTGTTAGGAGGTGGAATAGGTTCGCCTTGTCTATAAGCAAACAGATCAGATTTGTTTAATGAGTACTCCGTAGCCAAGAGTGAGAGGCAAACCTGAAGATAGGTGGGCCCAAGTTGGTAGGACCTCCACGTCCACCACGGCCACCGCGGAAATCACCACGACCGCGGAAATCACCTCCACCTCGACCACGACCTCGATCACCTCCTCTAAATTCGCCACGACCCCTATCACCACATCGGCCTCGGAAATCACCTCGGAAATCCCTACGATTTCCATCGCCTCTACCGGCTGGGCGGAAGGCTAAATCACCGCGACTTTCCCCGCGACCGCGACCTTGATCGGCACCCCGACCTCGATCACCACGTCCACGATCACCACGTCCACGACCCCGATTGTCACTCATAATAAGGTGATGGATAAAGATGACAATATGAGTTTGAAGATTTTAAAATAAACAAAAGGGAAGATAGTGGAGAAATAGGGGAATGGGGGAATGTACGGCTTATTAAGTATTATGTATCGTTTGTTCTTTATTTGCTGTGCTGGTAACAGGGATATATATAGGGTGATTATAGGGTGGCCAGGGTGACAATTGGATAATTTATTATTTATATGCGTCGAATGTACCTAGGTACGTAGTTGTACAAGCTCTGGAGGCTTCTACCTGGTGTGAATGATATGGCGATAACACTTCCTCATCGTTTCCCATGGTGATTCTCTATCATCTACACAATACCAGGAGGATGTGTCGGGTATTTACTTATTGAAATAGCAATATGGTCATTTTTAGTATCTTTTTCTACCGGTCTTTTTTTAAAAAAAGAAAAAAAAGGCACAAAACCCGTTGTTGTTTGTAACCCATGCGGGCAACCGGTAGATACATGCAGGGATAGGATAGGGGTGTATTTCCAGTTTACTCTTGTGATAGGAAAAGTAAGACTGTGTTTCACTAGTGATGTATATTTCCATTGGCTGCTGTAGTTAACATGAGTTGGGGGGAGGTCGTGTGCAATGATATCCAATGATTCAATCCCGCAGTTCAGCCTTGCCCTAAGAGCGTCAGTTCCGTGTTGCAGCCTAAATGTTGGTGTTGGTTGGTGTCGGTGTTTTGATATTACATGTTATTACAATTGATAGGACATAGTTATTAGTGTCGGCCACGAACTCTTTGTTAATATCAGAATCGTGATGCTCTGCTTAGGACCATAATGCAAGAGAGAAGGAGAAGGAGAAGGAGAAGGAGAAGAAGAAGAAGAAGAAGAAGAAGAAGAAGAAGAAGAAGAAGAAGAAGAAGAAGAAGAAGAAGAAGAAGAAGAAGAAGAAGAAGAAGAAGAAGAAGAAGAAGAAGAAGAAGAAGAAGAAGAAGAAGAAGAAGAAGAAGAAGAAGAAGAAGAAGAAGAAGAAGAAGAAGAAGAAGAAGAAGAAGAAGAAGAAGAAGAAGAAGCTATATTCATGGATGATATGTGACACGCTATACACTCCCCAAACAGGTCAACAAGATGTCTATATATTTGAATATTAGTCCTGCACTGTTTTCCTCTCTTCAATCCAGCATTTGTATGACGACCAGGTGAACCAGCCTACGTCAAGTTCCCACAGCTGACCGGACTTTTCGAACCGAATATCGAAATAGCGCACCACCTCAGGGATGACCTTGGTCATCTCAAGTAGACTGATATTCTTGCCAAGGCAGACACGCGAGCCACCGCCGAACTAAAGCTGCCGTTAGTATTTACGCATAGCAAAATGGATTATCGTTTTCTCGAACCGCAAAATTCAAGGCTGAACTTAGAGCTTTGTTTCCATCATCCCCAATCCATCTTTGAGGACAGAATTCTCGTGGGGAATCAATCAGTTCGGGGTTATAGTGCAGTGCCCACGCACTGATGCCGACTTGTGTCTGAACGGAAAATTTAATATAGACAACACGACCGGTAATGTATAGTATCCTTTTAACATACCTTTTCTGGGAAATGATATCCATTCAGAACAACACCGTTTTTCGGAACTTCTCGTGGTAGCATCTGAGCCACGGCCGGATGCATCCTAAGCGTTTCCTTAATTATTGCCTGTAGATATGGCATCTGCTGCGCCTCTGTGAATCCAGCCGGAGTTGACAACAGTCCTGCGCGTTCGTGCGCATCGATCTCATCTCGGAGCTTCTTGAGGACTATCGGGTTTTGGTATATGTAGTAGAAAGCAGCACTTAGGGTGATGGCCGTAGTGTCAGACCCAGCAATAATGTTCGAACCACATGAACTAAAAATCGATCCTTGATCAACTTTCCCTTTCAGTTCTAGATCCATAAGTTTGGCAAGGAACGGTTCCGACTTTGGATTCTCATTGGGCTCAGAGCCGATCTGACGAAACCGTTGAACTGATTCTGCGATGAACCGGAATAACTCAACATGGGGATCTTTCAATTTAAACAACGCGGCAAGCCTGGTAAGTATAACATGCAAGAAAGGAAAGGGACCAAAGGTCATCTGATGTTCGGTAGCCACTTTAATTTTCTGCAGGAACCCAGTGCGGTCCCTTTCCGTTTCCATCATGTCGAAATTTCTATCCATCTGTGATGTTGTTAGAGTCATATGTTCGTCTTTGAAACTTCCCGAGAAGACAGACCGTAATATAGCTAATGACATCAAAGGCATAGTATTGTAGGAAAACCGGGAGCTGAATGAGCCTTTTCGACTCAGCGAATTCACGGAACTTGCGCATTAGTATAACATTCATCTTCTCAACAGCCCCTTCGTAATTAACCATGGTCGACATGGTGTATAAGCCGACGATTTTCCTCTTTTTTTCGGCATGACTCCGGGCATCTTGCATGTTCAAGATATTCGGCCGATCTGGATGACCGGCTGCTGCGTACCAGTCCGACTTAGCGAATCCTCCAGTTGATGCGTATATGGTCTTCAAAGCTTCTGGGGTGTTGAAACTATAGCGGTTCGGCGCAATGCGTACGACGGGTCCTAATGCATGTAGTCTCTAGTTAGCCGCTAAGGGGTTCAGAATTCGAGAAAGAGCCTTCTGACCATATTTCTCATGTAATCGTATATAGGTCTCATTAAGATCAGTTCTTCGAATAGCATTTAGTTCCCAGAAACTCGAAAAACGAGCCAGGAAAGGGCCCGGGACCTTTCTCAACGGAGAAAAGAAGAGATTATAAACTGCATGATATATGTTCCAGAGTCCAAGAGCAATGGCAAGCCCAATGACTACATGTAATATGTCAAATGGCATGTTGACAGGACGTTTTAGTTTCGTGTGTAAATGTCTTGTGTAAAATTTCCCTCTGCGAAGAGGTTTTCTTGAATGCCGAACAACTCATGTAATTACCTATTCATATGCCTGTGACATACGTTGCGTAGTTTCATTTATAGCTGCGGACTCCGCTCTCCATTTTTATTTCCCCCGCTATTTCAGTTGCTGTATGCTATATCATCTTCAATATTAATTCCTAGATTTCCCATTTGTGGAGTCGAAGCAGCAGCCCTTTGGGCAGCGGAAGTAATCTACTGATTCTTTGCTTGACGTATGATTTTCTTCCGGCTTAGTCTGTTACTTTTATAGAATAACGGGGTTAAGGATAGCTTTGTATACCACTGACTCGGATCCGCTCACTTGGACACCGCTCACTCGGACACCGCTCATCTACAACATGGATGGTACTTACGTGGGCTGCTAGGTGCCTCAAAGAATAACCAATACCCCTCACAGCTCCTAAAGCACCGGCATCAACAATTTAGTATTTGCCGGTTAAGTAGACCAAATACTCATTCCTCCTTTACTCACTCCTCCTTTCTTTTTGAAATTAAAAAAGAGCTTCTGACGGCCAAATAATAGGCAACTGAGCCCCACACTTGATTGGTCTTAAACTACTATTTTCCTGCTAATAAGGGAAGGCCGGGTCTGATGTTGCGATGTTGCTAGTCACCTTACTTGGGCACAACAATATTATAACCCGGAGAATCGAACATGATATAGTCATGTAATTTTATCTTTTCTTTATTGTGATCACAGTAACAAAAAGGTCCTAAGAAACATATGTTGCCAATACTGATTCCATTTATATCATCACCGCAGGCTACCGTTACTATGAGACATACTGTTTCTGCCATGGGAGCGGCTCAGTGGCCGCACGCACAGGTCCAATATCACTCTCTTCTTGTCGTCGCTTTTGCCATGCTGCTATATCTTTGTGGTCGACAAAGTTTCCATGAAGCCCCAGGCGTAACTTGAATGGTAGATGGATAGTGGCAATGGGACCGTCCTTCAAATTTTGGGCATCCAGTATCACAATATCGTTTCGTAAGACATCAAGGTGATTGAGGAACGCGATGATATACCCATCGCCTTCAATGCCGCTATCTTTCGGGATAAAAGTGGGCTCTTGGAAGGTAGCTGTTGGTCCCGCCCAATATATATCCCTCACTTTCTTATCCCAGGTGAAATGACCCAAGCAGTTGAATAAACCTCCTGCGGGTGACCCGCACTTTTCAAAGTCGTACGGCCGACTTGGATCAATCAATGCCTGCCAGAAATGCTGATACTTCTTTGTAACGAATCGGTCATCGATGCGTGAAAATTCGCCATTGACGGTGTTCATGACCTCGGAGGGCGTGACGCGCGTGTCACTCTTCGAATTGGGATCGAATACCCAGCGAACAGTCTCATTCGCTGTTTTGTTTCTCTCTGCCACTGTCCCAGCCATTGTATCCTCTGGGGGAAAGAAGAAGAAAACGTTTCCCGAAGCAACAGAGAGGTCGAAAACGATTTTCCCTTCCTCGTTCTCGTAACATCCTGCTACATGCCCATGGAAACCTGAATTTTCCCATATTAGCTCATTTGAAAAAAAAAAAAAAAAGAAAAAAAAAGGAAATAACAAATTGTGGTCTTACCATTGTCTGCTCGGAGCCATACAATATCTTCCGGCTTTCCGCCTCTTCTTGGTACAATGCCGTAAAGCTGATCCTCATTCGGGTCCCATGCCCAGTGTCGTCCTCCTTTCTTCATCCGATCGAGAGAGGACTTCAGAGGGGTCATAGGTAGAACCAAGTAGTTTTCGGATAACCCGCAATCATGGATCATGCCGCAAAACGGCGCTTTATACCAAGCTTCCTCCGTCTTTTTACCATTAGAATCGATGGTGTATACCACAATGTCGCAAGATCCGTCATTTCCATTCCCGCCAGCTTCATAAGCAAAACAGACCATTTCTCCAGTGACCGGATCGAATTTCGGGTGCGCAGTAAAGGTAGGAGATAGCACTTGGCCGTCAAAGTCATAACGTCCGATTGTTTCCAAGGAAACTGGATCCATTGCGAACGGAGGACCATCTTCCTTTGTGGCCAGGAGGGCTCCTCTCCAGAAGAACACGTTTGTATTGGCTGCTGTCCGGATGACTGCCTTTACAGATGGGTTATCTGTAAATGGATTCCGGTACTTGCCAAATAGCGATTTTCTTTCTGCGCTTTCAGCTTTGTAGCGGTCTGTTTGGACATAGCGGTGCTTGAAGTCCACTCGGCCGTTGGCGATACGAATTGCGCTCACGCTTCCGTCACCATTGAAGTGGATGTCATCGGAGAACATTGGAGGGAAGCGATGGTCTGGCTGTACGCGGTAGAAAGTGCCATCGATATCGGCGGGAATTTCTCCATCTACCTCGCAGTCAAAGACATCGCCTTCCAAACGAGATGGTTTGTTGAAGCCCTGGAATGTTTCGGTATTGGGGAATTTCACTTGTGGAGGGGCTCCATTCATGGAGGTATCGTGGGATAGATTTGCCATGAGTAGGAAAGTAGAACGAACTATGTATTGTATATGGGAGGTGGTAGTGGATGTTAAGATATTTCTGATGTATACCTGATTTTATATACTATGTTGCATAAATTCCTTTCGCTGCTCATTGGTCCGTGTTTTGTCGGGAGCATAGAAGCGATCGCACCATCCTCGGCATCATATTCATGTTGGATGGCACATACACAAAAACAGTCGCTATCATACTACCGAAAGGGCTCGCATGCCCAAGTTAACGTAATCTTTTATGTTATGTTCGGGGATATTCCCGTTTGTGTAATTTGTCAGTTGCGAGGGCCCCTTGGAGGGGCACTTCCGTTGGTTCTAATATGACTCGGTCAATATCTATATAAAACTGTCCTCCCTATACTCACATTAGTGCTTAGATTTTTATTTCTTATTCTACTCTCTACGTCTTGGATTTTCTTCTCCTTTTATTTTCCTCATAGATCAGGATGACGGTTCTCCCACCGACACTCCCGATGAAGCAGAAAGCTGCTATCTACAACTCGCCTGGATCAGTGTCTATCGATATTGTGGAAACTGATATTCCCGAGCCGGGCCCAGACGAGGTTCTGATAAACTTGTACGTTCTCTCCATTGATTGAGTTGAAGTACGCAATATATCCCCATCCCTTTCTACGGCTCACAACCCGTCTACAGAACCCATTCTGGCGTCTGTCACTCCGACCTCGATATTATGACAAACAGTGTTGGTTTAGCCCGGCTTCAAAACACCCAAATTGTCGATTCAACTAACGAGTCGGTTAGTGGGCGGGCCTTCCACCGACCCCACAAGGACAAATTGGTGGCCACGAAGGAGTTGGTCGTGTGGTGAAGCTGGGCTCAGGAACAGGAAGCTCTGGCATAAAGATCGGGGATAGAGTTGGTGTAAAATGGGTCGCAAGCGCTTGTGGAAACTGCGGTGAGATTTTACCTCTAGCGATCTGCATTGAATTTACTGAAACATAAGCAGAACCGTGTCAAAAGCAATCGGACAGCCTTTGCTTTAACCAGAAAGTGTCCGGATATTACACTCCTGGTACTTTCCAACAATATGTCCTGGGTCCTGCAAATTACGTGACCAGGATCCCAGACGAAGTAGAATCTGCTCAGGTCGCACCTCTACTCTGTGCAGGACTTACTGCCTATTCTGCTCTTAAGCGCAGCATGACCGCACCTGGTTAGTGGGTTGTCATTTCTGGTGCAGGGGGTGGACTGGGACACCTGGCAGTTCAGATTGCCAGTAAGGGGATGGGGTTCCGTGTCATCGGCATTGACCAAGGGCAAAAAGCCGAATTGGTCAAGAACTCAGGTGCTGAACATTTTGTGGATATTTCCCAATTCCCCACAGACGATAACGGTGTAGCGATTTCAAACCTCGTGAAATCTCTAACTGGAGGACTTGGGCCTCACACTGTCATTGTCTGTACCGCTGCCAATAGTGCCTATAGCCAAGGGGTTCAGTTTCTAAGATTCGGCGGTACTCTGGTTTGCGTTGGGCTTCCAGCAGGTGAACAAAAGCCGATTGCCAGCGCTTCTCCTGGGGGTTTGATAGCGAAGCAATTGAAAATTATGGGATCGGCTGTTGGCAATCGTGTTGACGCCGTTGAGGTATTGGATCTCGCTGCTCGGGGAGTCGTTCACGTCCATATACAGACAGTGCCAATGGAGGGGCTTTCGCAAATTTTCCAGGATATGAAGGCGGGAAGTTTGATGGGGAGAGCAGTGATTGACCTCTCTTGAATTATTTCCCCTTCATATTCAACTGGCCGATGCCATAGTTCAGTCTTATTTTCTTTTGCTTCTTCAACAATCTCAACTCACTTTGCACCGTGCATTTGGACATTTATGCAGACTTCTCCTATTATTGTTTTTTATTGAGACTTAGCAATTTGATAACTTGCACCATCATGACTGTATACTAGAGTTGAGATATATAAAATTACGATCCAACATGTTCATCTGAGCGAAACAGTGATTTGTGCTGATGACGGTTTACGCTGCTAAGCTAGGTAGGATTTTGTCGAATTATCTGCCTATTTTCCTAGAATGTATGCTTATATTGCAAAGGGCGTGAAAAGCCTGTTCATTGAGAAGGATGTCTGTTGAGATCTACGAGAACTTGCATTTGGTAATACAATAAAAACATAAAAGCTTCCACGTTTCAACACTCAAGATAAAAAATAGACAATGCTAAATTATAGTATAATCTCTCTCGGGGTAAAAATCGTCTTGAAGTTGTGTTGGCGTACAAACCATGCATTCCACAATTTCCATTCTTGGTCAGGGTGTGCCAATTGTACCTATCAAAAATTAAGTCAGCATCGGTAATATGTGCCTCGTATAAAAAGAAAGAGAACATACCTCAAATCTCCGCAAAAAACTGGGTATAATTTTATAAATCTCCATTAGAGAAATATTCTTCCCAATGCAGGTCCTCGAACCGGCACCGAACTGGAGCATCATTCCATCCATAGCCTTTATTTGATCTGGCGGCGCAGTAAGCCATCTATCAGGGTTGTATACATCGGTGTCTGGTCCAAAAATATCTTGACGACGGTGAATAACCCAGGGGCTGCAACCAACGATTGTTCCGCCAGGAATGAAATGACCGGAGATCTCCACCCCTGATGCAGGAACAACACGTTCCAGCGGAAGTCCCGCAGCGGGATGCATACGGAAAGCTTCCTTTACACAGGCATCGAGATAGGGCAGCTGTCGTGACTCTGTCCATGAGACAAGTCCTGTTGGGCAGTTCACGATTGTACCGTTGTCCACGGCATCGTCCAGCTCCTTCTTAACCCGTGTCATGCACTCCGGGTTCTTAAGTAAGTAGTAGAAAACGGCTGCAATACTGATGGCGGTTGTTTCAGACCCGGCAAAGGCCATAGAAACGGCCATAGTAAGGATTCGTTTGTTTGTCATGAAATCTGGACGGGTTTCACCGGCCTTGAGGAACATTGTGAGAAGGTCATCCTTCGATCCCGTTATATCAACTTTTGCTGACATACGTTCCTCCATGCGATGCTTTGCGAAGATGGCCACAGGATGGGAATTATCTGATAAGCCCAACCTTTGAAGAAGATCAAATATTGGATTCTTCCAAAATAGTTTATCTAGCCATGGCATTTGACCAACAGGGGCAGAATAATCGAAGATATTTGCCAGGGAACTGACGATTCCATCGATATCTTCGTTTTTCTCGATAAATCCATGGCGTTTACTATAGGTAATACTTCCAATAACATCAAAGGCAAAGAATTGTAGCCACCGTGCGAAATCACACACCGTGGATCCATCAGCGAAGAGTCGGCTTGTTTGATCGAGGAAAATTTCTGTCGTCTCATCGACCATGGGCTCGTACTGTACCAATGAACTCATTGAGAACGCATGGTTGACAGAACGGCGGAGATTCGCATGGAATGTCTCATCTAGCGTAGAGAACAGCGATGGTAATGGCTCGCCTTTAGAAACGGTCATTTGGACGGGGTAAAATTCGGACTGGCATCTCAATTAGAAGGCGTGCATATCGCAGGGGTCGGCATATAACTACCTTGGTGAATCCTTTGTTTAGACCGTAGATCACTTTCGTTGCCTTTGGGTCTGCGAAGGACAAAGTGCGTGGCCCCAGGCGCACAACATCGCCATACTTGCGGTGTAAAGCTATATGCGTAAGTTCAGGACGTCGACCCCTCACATCGATATATCGCCAAATATCAGTCAGGTGCGCCCAGAAAGGTCCCGGAAAGACGTTTAGGGAATTGTAGAAATAATTGAGGGTAAGATAAAGTAGGAACAAAGGAGGAACGGCATAGACCGCATAGTAAAGTGCAGCCGCAGGAAAAGAGATGATAATAGCCATAATTATGTCCGATTGCTTAGGTCTTATTCAACGTAGCAGCCATGAGGATGGCATGTTATATACACTACATCACAAAATATACGTAATGTTCTTCTCCACTAGAAGGAGATCCTTATCTCAAAATGCTTTGATGCATACACAGACGCTGAGATCGGCAGTTGTGCATGTCAGGATCCGATGGACAATAGTGTAGGCATGTGAGGTATCTCTAGGAAGCATTACCCCGTGCAAGTTTTTGATTCGTCAAAAACTAGAAGATGGATCCACTGGAACGTAGTTGAGGCGATTTCCCCGTATTTAGTGGATGCCAAGTATATACCCCATCTTTGGTGAGCCTGTGCGTCGGCATTTGGGACGACATTTAACAACCGAGAAACGCTATTCTGCATTAGGGTTGACTGTATGTAAATACCACGTACTTTGAACTCTTACATGCATCGGAATCATCCAAGCGATAATTCTATGTACTAACGGAAGCATTGGACAAACATAATTCAAAGTTTTCAATATTGTAGACTCCATATAGCAATCCAAATGTAGTAGCTCAACAATTTAAAGGATATCGCCAGTCTCCGGCCCATTTCCACACCGAGTGAAGTTGACATTTCAATTGATCCTTTTTATTCCCAAAAACCTCTTTAACACACCTAAGGACAATTTCGCGAAATGTTTATATGGGGCTTTGTGTTGGCAGCGAGTCTGGTGGCGACATTAGTCTACCGACACTATTTCCATCCGCTATCCCATATCCCTGGGCCCAAAATAGGCATATCAACCCGTGCCTGGCAGAGCTGGCGGTATCTAAAAGGACAATGGCATACCGATATCCTCGAACTACATGCACGGTACGGCCCAGTGGTACGCATCGCCCCAAATGCGGTATCTATACTCGACGCCAATTATGGACTACGGGCAATCTACGGCCATGGCACCAAAGCGACGAAGGTGAGTATATCGTGTGCCGAAAGAATCTGAACTTGTAGAAAGCTAACGTTCTTTTTCGAATTTAGACCGACTGGTATCGGATTTGGAACAGCAGTGGGAAGATATCCAACACTGCCTTTAGTGAGATAGATGTCAATGAGCATTCACGAAAACGCAAGCAAGTTGCGAAAGCCTATGCTATGACATCTATTCTCAAAATGGAAAAATACATTCAAGCTATTGTTGATCAGAGCAGAGAAACGTTTGCAGAATGCGTCGCAGATGCGAGAAAAGGTGAGACATGGGCAGTCTTGGACATGGCGGTTTACACTCAAGCGTTTGCCTTCGACGTTCTAGGAGAAATTGGGTTCGGGGGAAGCTTTGATCTTTTGAAAACGAGAGGCGAGGGACCTTCAAAGTCTATTGTCGAAGCGATTGATTTGAGCTTCCTGGTCCTGGCAAACTCGGGATACCTTCCTGGCAAGCTTCGTTGGTTAAAGTCCAACGGAATCAGAACAATCTGCAAGTTGGCCAACATTGACCTGAGCAGACTTCAGCAACTGTTCAAAGTGACTCAATATGCCGACGAGATGATCCTGAAACGGAAACAAGAGAAAGCTTCACGCACCGATCTACTTCAACAGTTCATTGATTCTAAAACTAGCGACGGCAAGCCTCTAGACCATCCAGAACTGCTCGGAGAAGTTGTGAGTCTCTTGGGAGCCGGAGCAGATACCACAGCCATTGGTATTCGAGCCGCCTTGGGTCCCTTGGTTCTCGATCGCACTGGCTATCGAAAGCTTATAGAGGAGATTGACTCTTTTTATGCCACCCACAATCTGGAAGGTCGGGAGATAAAGTACACAGAATGCCTGGACTTGCCCTATCTTCAGGCGGTGATTAAAGAAGGCCTAAGAATGCACCCGTCCATCCAGTTCCAACTTCCTCGTTTTTCCCCTGCGGGTGGCGTCACGATATGCAATGCATACATCCCTGCAGGGACGGAGATTTCCATGTCACCGGTTGCGAGCAACCGCGATAAAGCCGTATTTGGAAAAGATGCAGACATTTGGAACCCGGATAGGTGGTTAGAAAGCAACGAGAGAACGGCTTGGATGGATAAGCATAATGCCACGGTATGATCCCCGATACCTTGAGTTTCCGGTCTTTAAAATTTACTAACGAACCTTCTTCCGCAGTTCGGATATGGTGCAAGGTCCTGCTTGGGAAAAAATATCGCTTTGGTGGAAATCAATCTCTATGTCGTACAGCTGCTACGTCACTTCGAACTCAAAATAGCCAATCCCAGTGAGCCATGGAAAGTCCACACCTGCTGGTCGTCAAGTCAAAAGAACATGTTTATGAAAGTAACCGAGCGGAATCGGTAGTTGGGGGTGATTTGGTCGAATATCTTTTATATCTGTTCTAAACGGGAACTTCGGAAATACCCATTTATAATGACAGTCTTCAAGTTATAGTAAAAATATAAAATTTGACTGAAGTATCTTGAATTGTTTTGATCGGAGTGAATAAACTAGCGTGCTTACTGCAATATACCGAGATAGTTGATTGCTTCTGAAGTTATCACTTTTAAACTAGAAGACTTGTATTTTGGAAGTCTGCTTTAGGTAGGTTGGAATGTAACAAAACCTGGTAGAAGAGTATATCTTCTTCGCCGAAGCAACATGTAGGCTACAGCAACTAGACAAACGTTACAATATACTTGACTAGGTAACTAGGTCGCCGAAGTAGATTTGAGACGGTGCCAAAGAACGTTCATTGTTTAGAAGCCAAATCAAATCAAACATGAATAAATACCAATTTCAATATCTGGATACTTCAGTTGCATGATGCAAAAAGATCTGGTGAAATCCGACTCAGCAAATACCGCCTCAACCTTTACCAAAGTAGAACCGTTGCAAAAACCCCAGTCTGTATATGAATAGGCGATTGCACTTTCCGAAAAAGTCTAGGAAAGGTTAGTCTCTGAACGCTACCAAGTAGCGATATGTAATCCACTTACACATTGGAATCGAAGTGGCAGCTATACAGACGGAAATTATTCCGTAAGTCCGGAACATATCTTGCGCTCCATCTTCAGCTACCCATGAATTCACAAAGCGCGCAAATCCAAAGAACAAGAGGTTCTTGAACATCATTTGGAGGCTGAAAATTTCCGTCGTATTAGAAGAATGCGAATCCCTAATGACTTGTCAGTTTTATGCCGTACACGTGGAAAATCAAGAGAAATTGAAGTGCGTCAGGGAGACATACAAGATATACAGACTTGCCGACACACTCGACACAGTAACACCAAAACAAAGACATCCATGTAAAAATGCGCCTAGATAGTAGCCAGTCGAGAAGGGGTGCTCGAAGAGCCATACGAACACGAAGTATCCCAAGGCAAATGCAGCACCGGCAATTGCCTGAGTTAGGATTCGAAATTCTGGTTCATAAATCCCACGGTTTATGCGGATCATGAGTTTAGTGACTAAATCGTTCAGCCACGCACTACCAAGGCCACCAATCATACCTCCGAGCATAGCTATACGCTTGTGAGATTTGTGATTTACGGGAGAGAGAAGGAGTATGATCGACCAGACCGTGACGTACCTCCAACATAAAAATATCCATTTTGGGCGACATTCAGATTATACGGCCTGCTTCAGTCAGCCAACGAACGATTTTCATGCCCAATGGTTCAAGACTCACGGGGCGGACCATATTTGCGCGAACGTATAGGCTAAGCTAACCCACATTCCCTGTAACAGTTAGAAAATACGACACGGATGTCCTGAAATATGGAGGACTTACCACGAGTGCACCAGAAATGCCCAGTGACTGGCAACGAAGTCAGCGAAGCATATTTAATGACTGGGTTAGACTTACCCAAATAACACCTGGGTTATGTAGAACAACAAAGGGCGCAGCAATTAGTTTTAGAAGGCTGATATCAGTATAAGTCCCTGATAATATGGCGAGATTGTGTATATAGCCCCTCTTTGCAACATTGGTGGACGGATGTATGGTCTGTTGTTCTTCCACATTCTCTTCCTCAAAGACCTCCGATCCCTCTGTCTTTTCTTTGGACTCAGCTCTATGTTCTGGGGTGTCAATATGCTCAGAGTTTGCATCGGGGCGGCGAAATTGGGTTTCCGGGATGAAAAAGAACGTGAGAATCCACGTCGTTGCGACGAATGGCAAGTGAATGATGAGCATATATCTCCAGCCCAGAGTGAGGGTGATTGGACCTGCTATAATATTTACTGCACTGGAAAGGCACGTCAACGCAATCACCTTGGGACACGGTTAGCAAATCGCTCGTATTGTGCAACTAGAAAAAAAGAGGACAGCCGTACCATCACCCCAGTCCTAATACCACGCTCATGGACGAAGTATCTAACAAGCCAATTAGAGTGGTAGAGACAGACGATACTTGAACGGGGCCTTACATGTCCCCGATTGCGGCTAGTGACAGCGACTCAAATGGAGTTGTCCCAAATCCTTGGAGGAGACGACCAGCAAGAAGTATTGAATAATTTGACCCCGAAACCACACAAATGATTGTTCCAATCAATGCCATCGTGCAGCCAAACAGGTATTGAGGTCGTTTACCGTACTTGCGAGCCAATGCCGAGCAAAACGGGCTTTGAATTCTCAGTTTCAGAATATAAATCAAGAATTTTCCAAGGCTTACCCGTACAAGCCGACAACAAGCAGTTGATATCCTGAGAGAAGAGCAACATTGTCCAATGAGACCCCCAGACTTTTGGATATCACTGCAGTAGAAGACGCGAATACTGGTCCAGGGACTGCAGCTAAGATGATGGTGTTGACGAAAATTGTCAAATAGAGAAGATCCTTTTTCCAAATCGACCAATTCTTCTAAAGTCAACAGGTATCAAGTGAAGGAACGGCAGGGTGGTCTCACCAGGGGATCATTTGGATCATCTGATGGTTGGGGATCTAAGACGATGGAAGGATCCTGAGGTTCGTTATTAAACAAAATAGGAGCAAGGTTAGACATCTTCAAGTGAAGCGTACCTTTGGGTCATGTTTAGCACCGACATGATAACTCTGTTCATTGTCGGATCTCTCATAGAGAAGGACTGTACCAGGGCAGTCCTCGGACCCAGAAGGACGGAGAATGCCCATAGTCATATTGAGGGGCGGCATGTGAGTAAATATAAAGGGAACTGGTCAAGGGGAACAGTAGTTAAATGGAATGGATGACAAGAAATGACACCGATATGGCCTTGCAAGAAAGGAATCCGAGGGAATCATGAGGATGCCGGAAATCGTATCATATTTATCGAACACACTCATAAGGGGTATGCTAGTTGGATTTACCAGCATTGTATCTGGCGTGGCCACTGCCGCTGGAGCACCTGGAGCCCTCCAGGGGCTGGGGCCCCGGCAGGCTTGACTGATGACGTAAAAGACAACATACGCGTCTAAGTGAAATACGAAGATAAATCCAAGCCAAGCTGTATTTGTTACCTTATATCGGTCTGATTCTACCGACAGTGCGGAGTATACATCCGTTACATCCGTTACTAGGCTATCACTCCGGATTTTGTCGGTCTATTTGTGCCGATAACTACTTTCTCGCGCTAACTACTCCTGATCCGGCCATTCATACAATCCAGTCACAAGAAAAGTGGGCTAGACACGTTGAGGCCTTCACAGTCCTTGTTGGTTGGGAACTATATAAATATCGTCCCTCATAACGTGTAACCCAACCATTCCAACAAAGCCGAACAATTGAACGCAACATCAAACTACAAAATATGTCCGAAGATCTTAAAGCCCTGAAAGCTGAATTGACCTCGTTGAAGGCGGAAGTATCTCGTATTGGCGGTAAGTATAAATCAAGTTGGTACACCTTTCCCAAGTACTAATTTGATGGCGCGTTTTGCAGACGAAGCCGAAATTCGCAAGCTGCATTTCAAGTACGGCTACTATCTCGACAAATGCCTGTATCAAGAGGTGCATTTTCAACGGCCTAAGAAAGATCCTAGTTCGATACTGATCAAAATTTTACTTTAAAGGTCGTGGACCTGTGGTCCGATTCGCCAGATGCCTTCATTGAGTTCCACGGAGGAAGATACCGAGGAAAGGAAGGTATACGCCGACTATTTATCGACCGCTTCGCAGGAAAATTTGTTCACGGCCGTAATGGACCTATCCATGGTTTCCTCCTAGACCATGCGATGCTGCAGGATATCATCGACGTCAATAAAGAGGGAACCCACGCCTGCGGAAGACTAAGAACTTTGATGTCCGCTGGCACCCATGAAAGCATTGCCGATGATCATCCTCGGGGTCTCGTCCAATGGTGGGAGGGGGGCCTCTATGAGAACGAGTATATCAAGGAAGATGGGATCTGGAAGCCGTATCGCTATAGATATTTCCCATTCTGGCATGCCGATTTCGAGAAAGGATGGAGTCACACCCGGCCGGAATACGTTCCCTTCCCCAAGAAGTGCTACCCAGAGGACCCGCTTGGTCCTGACCAAATCGTGGAGTCTAGGAATTTATGGCCTGAGACAAAGGTTGTACCTTTCCATTATCCCCACCCCGTCACTGGGAAGCAGGTTAAAGAGAGTGATTTGAGAGCGCCAACATTGGATGGGGATATGTCCAAGAGTGGTCCAGCTCTATCGCTTAATTTGCCTGATGCCCCAACCACAAAGTTATAAGCGTGTTGAGATTCGCGACACTGCCCAATCTATCTTTTTGAACTATTAGGCTTGAATTTCATGGTCAACACTCAGGTTTTATGGAGGAGCTCTTCATCAAGAAGGTCCGTACTTTAGTTTATGGGATGAGCGTACAATATCCTGTATTTAAAAGCTGGAAAGAGTCTATAGATTAGATGACAAACTAAACGATCTCCTTCCTAGATGGAATACTGAACATTTCTTACATGGAGGGGTTTTAGGGACCATCACGACAGCGACACGCCCAATTGGACTGTAGCCTTGCTTTTTCCAGGATACCTAACACGTATGATAGGAAATTGGGGATGGGGATTGGAAGCTTAGTACAGGTATTTGAATTGTAATTTCTGAAAAGAGTTATTACTGTAGAGAAGCGCCATGTTCCAATCTGCTCAAACCAGCTTCCATCTGAATAGGAACATCCAATCCCGAGAATATCGGGAAGGAACCAAGATCAAGAGTAGTATCCGACATCCCAAACAAACTAAGCAATGTTAGAACAGACAGGAAAAATATGATTCAAGGAGGGGTTGATACGTACAAATTATAAGTGTCGTTCACAGTATCGAGCCCCGTCACAGATACTTCTCCACTTTGCTCAGATTGTGAAGGAGCAGAGTTGCTTGGGATCATCCCCCATTGGACTAATTCAAATATCACTTCGGAGATCATCTTCTCACCATATCCTGCAGTTCCTATGGTCTGGAGTACCTGAAGACACTTCCGTATGTTGGCGAGTTCCTTGTCCCCCTTTGAGAGAGCGAATGCCGAAAGTAAAACCTGCAGAATATCTAAAGCGAAAAGAAAGTCCAAAGCAATTAACCTTGAAAAGGTACACTCGGCGACCATTTCCACCAGAATGGATAGCATATGCTCCGCAGAACTCACACAGAGAGTACTCAGTGGTTCAAGGGCTTGCAGCTTGCCCCTTCCATACATGGTCTTCTGGCATATGACATCGTAGAGAAGAAAAGGCCGCGTTATAAGTAATCGGACACCATGATACCTCAAATGGAGGACTGCGATAGGTCTGTAGAAGAAGCGCGGGGCTATCATGTCAGAAATTCTGAGATGAGGAGGAAGAGCGTCTGCCCATTCTTGCAAAGAAGACATGGCTTCTTTAATAACCTTCATCTCCAATCGCTGGACACTCAGAAACGACTTATTGTAAACATCGTTGCGCGCAGTTTTGGCCAGCTGACTAAGACTGCTACAAGCAGCCAAGTAGTCTGGAGGGGTATGGGAGCCAAGCGGTAGTATCTAAAATAGAAAGTTAGAGATGCATTGAACCATAAAGATTGGGAGAGAATCCGGGCACAACTACCATTTCAGAAGGCAACTTTGGATGACAAGAATCTTCAATTGCACATGGCCTCCCTAATCTCAACGATAGATCCTGATCAAAAATTACAAGTGATAACCAGAGTCGCCGGGCGTGTTCTTTCTCAACGGAGCCATAGAATGCGCAATACATGTCGCAATGCAACCCAAGAGAACGAGCAATCTGTACAGCAAGGCTACTGTAAAGGTATGCTGGATTAGAAAATCCGTGCGATTGTAGGGCCGTTGACTGTTAATGAATTTCGGTCAGCGCTAGTCCTTCAATATTGTAAGCCTGACAAAGAACATACTAAGAGTACCATGGCGCGAACGCTGTCGAGTGTTCCTTCATCACTGACCGTTGGAACATAGGATTTTGCATGTTCCAGGTACTCTGTTGCTGCCGTACGGTCATTCACGCCATTGTTGTCAACGTAAACGATTGCTAATATTGAGTAGAGTGAACATAGCCAGGATGCTGTGAGGCTTTCCAGGGGAGTGTGGTATGTCTTCTCTAGCTGAATATGGAACCTATCTGAGGAGAAGAGCCAGTAGAGACAATGCACCTCCTTAAAATAGCGCATGACAGATGCCTGACATTTCTCCAAAGGAGGCAACCCTGCACTGATGTGCTGAGATCGAGGACTTGGAAGAGGCATTGCGACTGTAACCATGCCGGGGATAATATTCGGAGATTCTGGTGTGTACATTTCGTCGCCTGTAAGACGTCGAATAGCAGCATTGAAGGACAATCCTGACTCGGGACCCATATAGCCTAGTCATTTTCAGCTCTGGAATTCTTAATACGGGGCCGAAATCTGCGTGACCTACGGTATTCCCCTAGGGAATCGGCTAGCAAGCATCCTAATTTTTGATGGAAGCAAACAGCATCCTGCAACACAGCATCATCTGGATTCGGCTCAAAATCGGAGTTTTCCCGTGAATTCCCATCCGGTGTCTTCCGCGTAGTTTCTGGAGGACTAGGAGCCACAAATGCCGACACCGAAACGGGCGTAGATGGGGCAACTGGCTGTGTAGCTATGGGTGGGGGATTTGGCTGCGGTGTAGGGGGCTTTTGATGACGGCATTGCTGCGCAAGAGAACGAAGGGTTTCCGGAGTGAGGTCGTCATCCGGAAGGTAACTCTTCAGGATGGCTTGCATATCCCGGAATTCCTCCTCAGAGACAAAATAATATGGTCTCTTTCGTCGTTTCGTTATATCAACATGACATTCGGCTCCGCGGTTGCGGCAATGATCGCAAGGGCCTGGAACTGAAGTTTTGATAGATGGGTAAGATGTGGACATATGCGACAGACAGGGAAATCCGATTATTACCTGGATTAGTACACTTGAGACAGCGTTAGGAGCTTCATGCATCAAAGAAGAAACAGAGACGTACGTGACTTACCTTTGTCTTTCGACTTTTACAGCGGTCACAACTTATCACAGCGCGAGTTCTGCGACCAGATTTGAAATGCCCAGCCATGATGGGGATTATTATTCACTCAGATTGGAGAGAGGTGATAGAAGCTTAGCAAACAGGTATCGGCATGTCGACGATGGGTTAACTCCCGGGAACCGAGTGTGGGGATTGCGGGGATTGCGGGGAAATAGATCAATGGAGAACCTTCCCTGGTTCCCGCTATACTATGACGACGACAACTTTAGAAGTTGAAACTATATGGATTTGCATGTACTTTTTACATGTGGATTCCTGACAAAGGATACATTTCTATTAAACAGAGCGAGGGGGCTCTCCTAAGTGAGACCTTAGCCTCGAATTCTTCCACAGTCACCTGGCTAGGTAGCTCCCCATAGTAAATAGCTTGTCATCGTCTTATCTATAGTTGTCACTTTCTGGTACATTTTCTGTATTGCTTCATGATCTCATCGACTGTTTTCTAGTAGTACAGTTAAATGAAGGTGGTGATAGTATCCGCCAAAGAAAATCGTGCTTTTAACGAAGATGAACTGGCTTAGCAAATTAACTACAACATAGTCTAAATCACAAACTATACTTCACACTTCACTCGATTTCATGCTGTAGCACAGTAAAATGATAAGCTACCTTAAGTAATTATGTATGATGAAAACTAGAAATAGAAGTACAAGGATAGTCAACCTATCTCTTCGGGTTGTTCTTTCCGATCTGTTGGCTGATACACGGTATTATCAATCCGTGGTAAGCCGTACTTAGTACGAGGCAGAATTAGCTGTGCGACGTTTGCCTTTTGCCTTTTGTTTTCTTTCTTTTGTATATACGCACTTGCCCATAGAATTCCAGAGTACATAAAGTAATGAATGCAATGGATGTAGGGAAGAAACTCGGCGGAGAATCTCCGGAGCCTGAATAACCGATAAACTCAGCATCGGAGTAATCTAGCCGCGACATAAATTTGTATTGGCGTTGGCTTTAAGGTGATCCCGTGTTAGTATCGGAAAGGAAGACACTTATAAAGGAAAGTAATCTATCAAAAGAGTAGACTGAAGGAACCATTGTCTTCAATCTTCTTAAGAATACCTATCCTGCAACGCGAGTCTCAGCTCTTGCTAGAACGTTACTAGAACCTTACCGAAAGAAAGCAAAATGACTTCAATTGAATCGACCAAGATCCAAACAATCGAAACAAGACTATTTATCAATGGAAAGGTTCGTTTATTTTGCATCTATATTTGAATGAGTGGTGTACTCACCATCGTTAAAGTTTGTGGAGTCGTCTGATAACCGCATGTTTGACTTGATATCGCCAACTACAAATGAAAAGTTTGTCAAAGGTATATATTATTCCTTTACAATGAAAATAATATATTAGCTGATAATATCGATTGCTCAAAGTTCACGAAGCGAGTGAAGATGATACAAACGCAGCAGTGGCAGCGGCAAAAGCAGCCTTCCCGGCGTGGTCTGCACTTTCACCAAGTCAGAGAGGAGCCTACTTCAAGAAGTTGGCCTCCTTAATTCTTCAATCGCACGAAGAACTTGCTCAGCTAGAAGCTATGTCCATGGGTCGTCCTGTCTCAGGTTATTTCGATTCCTATGCAGCAGCAACCACCTTCGACTTCTTCGCCGAAAACGGCTACCAGGCTCTGGGAACAACAAGTCTCAATACCCCAGGTTATGTCAATATGACTATTCGGCAGCCCTTTGGTGTTGTCGCTGCTATCATTCCTTGGAATGTTCCGATTTTGTTCCTCGCGGGCAAGTCAGCACCTGCCTTGATGGCGGGAAACACAGTGGTCATCAAGAGTAGCGAAAAGGCACCCTTAACTGTGAGTTGTAAATCCTCACTTGACTAATTAATCAGAGCATTATATCTAATTAAATTCCAGTCCGCCAAGATCGCGACACTTGTGGAAATGGCTGGCTTTCCCCCGGGAGTCATCAACATCATTTCGGGGCATGGCCAAATCTCAGGGAACGTTCTATCTCATCACATGGATGTTCGTGCATTGAGCTTCACAGGATCCGGGAGAACAGGACGTTTGATCCAGTCTGCCGCAGCCGCATCTAACATGAAGAATGTAATTTTGGAACTCGGTGGGAAGTCCCCAGCAATTATCTTCCCTGATGCGGACATCGCAAAAGCGGTCGAGGAAACAAAGAACAGCATCCAATGGAACAGCGGTCAGGTTTGCATGGCGAACTCGAGAATTTATGTCCATGAATCGATTGCATCAATCTTTATTGAGTTATTCAACAAGCGATTTGCCGCCGTTGCAATTGGCGACCCGCTTCTACCTGATTCAAACCACGGACCGCTGGCAGATGAAGCACAATTCAAGCAGGTTCAGGCCTATATTGAAAGCGGGAAGAAATCTGGTAAGATGTCATTGGGAGCAGAGACGATAAATCAAGATAATGGATTCTTTGTCCGACCCACGGTGTTTCTGGAGACACAAGAGGATGCAAAAGTGATGAAAGAGGAGATATTTGGACCTGTGGTTAATATCAACACCTTCGTGGATGAAGACGAGGTGGTTGCAAAGGCAAACGACACCGAGTTTGGCCTCTATGCTGCAGTCTACACAAAGGACATCAATCGTGCCATGAGAATAGCCACGAAACTGGAGTCTGGAACCGTTGGAGTTAACTGCACTAGCCCAACTACGGCTCATGATCTTCCATTTGGGGGGTATAAGAGCAGTGGGCTTGGCCGGGAGGGATGGAATGTCAGTCTCAACAACTTCCTCGAGACAAAGTCCATTCTGATAAAGGTTGACAATACTTGAATTATGATGAGAATGCTATCAGATATCAAATATCTTGTGAAAATTTATTCAACATTGCGAAGCTTGTAGGTCGCTTAGAATGAGAACTATTGAGTGAACAGTAAGAACTCTTTTTAAGCTTAAATCTGGAACATATACCCCTTACAAACAAGTACTACGTACGCTGTTCAAACCTGGTGACCGGTGGAGGTAAGTGGCGGATTGTATCAGTATAATAGTAGGTGGTATATATGTTGTAGCCCATGCAAGCTATGTCTAGTGTGACTCTGACGTCTAATCTAGATACTTCTTCCATTTATATATACATATATAAAAAAGTACAGGTTAGATGCCACGCACAGGCGTTTGGATAGACCGACCTGCCCTTGGGATTTGAAATATGCACCCCGTTCAACATATATGCATGTTTGATTAAATTACGCCTATGAGTCACTGATCGTCGTATAGCTAGCCAATCGGCGTCGAGCCAAGGAAAAAAGAAGTCTACGTAGTATTAAAAATGAGCATCAAGATGATGTCGGAGTTAAGGGCATATACTTGATCAACCTCGACAGGAAGGAAAAGTGAGTTGCATCTAACAGAGAGAAATAGAGGATTTCAAAACATAAGGATATATGTACTGTATACATATATCAACCATAATGTCCAATGTTGTACTGTGTGCATGTATTGTGTCCACTGCCCCCTGAGGTGAGATCATCTGGTGATAAGGAAATCGGAGATAACGGATTAATCATCATTTCGTCGGGGACCTTCACACACCTTGTCCAGCTTCATTTTCTTATGATCATCTCTTTGTTGTGATCGTTAACTCGAAAAGGAACCTTGATCTCGACACCTGAATCAAAGATATCTCAACAGCGTCCCGAGTCTGGTTTTGGCCCCCGACCACGCTTATCCACCCACGCGGTATTTCGCCCCTCCTTCACAAGCTTCGACAACGCACATCCGTTCATCGCATTGCCCCAAAATTGGTTTAGGTGATACTGTGCGGCCTATACATCATCTCCGACCGCACAAAATACTCGCGAACAACACCAACCACATCTGAAGTCCTAGGTCTGGCGCGGTTGCCTAACGACACGAGCCAAATCCTCTGGCATTGACATTGCGCCAACCGTTCATACGCTGCTACGACCAGAGAAGGAAATAAAATTGCTTTCATAATCCCGTGCAGATATCCAGGAGTGTCTTACAATCAGACCAAAAGGTTGTTTGGATGAAATTGCAGAATAACTGAGTCGCACGTTTGATTCGGTCTCAGAGGTGTGCAGACTACGACAGCGTGTTTAAGAGCCCCGCCCGGCTGGACCGTTGACTTGAAGTGCACTGCATTATCTCTGCCTGTGTCTACGGGTGTTACCGAGGATATCGCAATAGTTTTGCTCCCCCATACATGGTCATGCCATTCAAAATGACACCGACACCTCCTTCTACAAACTCCTCGAGTGCTGGCCACTCTCCAGATTACAGAGTCGTCCGGAAACGAAACCGGGTACCTTTGTCATGTGGGCCTTGTCGGCACAGAAAGTAAGTATTCAACAAGACACGGCTGAAATCCATTTTTTTTTCTAACGGTTCCAGGCTGAAATGCAATCGTACAAATCCTTGCGAAAACTGTGTCAAACGAGGAGATGCTGCTTCATGCAACTATGCGCAACCCAACTCGCGCAAGAAGAACTCGACCCAGCAAGTTTCCAATACCCCAGATGATATGCAAAACCGCATCGATCGGTTAGAGGGCTTGGTTCTTTCGTTGATGACAAACGGCTCTCAGTCTGCTGGCCCGGCTGCTGCCATGGCGGCACTCTCCGGGGAAAGTAGTGCGGGCTCGACTCGATTCTCCCATGACATCGATGCCGAAGAGGAGGGTATGGAGGGCGCCGAAGAGAGCGACACGGATCAGGTGACGAAGTCGTTTGGTATCATGAAGATGGACAACAACAAGTCGTATTACATCAGCGACGCTCATTGGGCGTCTGTGTTGAATGATGTAAGTTGAGGAGGTTTGACCAAACCCGAGTCTTTCTAACCTGTCGAATAGATCTCTGAGGTGCGAAGTTTCTTTACAACGCATAAGAAGCAAATCGATGAGCAAGTTGCGAAAGTTAAAGCGGCCCACCCAGCTAGTGATACAACAGGCGCGAATTTGTTGTTTGGTATCAACAAGTCGATGAGCCGTGGGGAGATCATGAGTGGCTTGCCTTCTAAGTATACGACTGACATTCTTATTGCTCGTTATTTCAATTGCTATGACCCTGCGACACGTGAGTATTTGTTATTTTTACAGTCAGTGATTTTATTCCGATACTGACTTTATCTAGATGTTCTTCATGGGCCCACATTCCAAGCACAGGTAAGCTCGCTGAAAAGAGGTTCATTGTGAGTCCAGACTCTGACTCTGCTAGTATAATAAACATTGGGATGATCCTGCTGCGACCGAACTTGTTTGGATCGCCATGCTCTTCGGAATGATGAGATTGGCAATGCTATCTTACCACCGCGAGGGCGATGAGCCACCTGAATTCCGGGGAAAGTCTCTGGACATGGCCGCGGGATTCCGAAATTCTGTAGCACAATGCTTGACATTGGCCGACTACACAAAACCTCACCCGTATCTGATTGAAGCGTTCGTATTTCATTTACATGGCGATTTCTCTCAGACTCGAGAGGCGGACATTTCTATCTGGGTCATGACTGGCGTTGTTGCTCGCCTGGCAATGCGATCAGGATATCACCGCGACTCCAAAATGTTCCCAAACATCACGCCTTTCCAAGGTGAGATGCGACGGCGAGTGTGGACATTTGTGCGCCAGGCCGACCTTCTGTTCTCATACCAGGTCGGGCTGCCGGGGATGATCCGAGGTGCGGAGAGCGACACTGAGCTACCACGGAATTTGTACGACGATGATTTCGATGAAGACTGCAAGGAACTCCCCCCCTCGTCAGCTGAATGAGCCAACACCAATCTCGTATTTGATTGCTAAGGCGCGCCTGGCATATGTATTCGGTAAAGTGGTTGATCAAAGCACTGGGATCGCGACAGCCTCATACGAAAAGGTGATGGAAATCGACGCGGAACTCCGACAAGCAAGAGACATGATCCCTGACCACTTGCGTATTCGGCCTATGGAGGAGTGCCAGTTGGATCCCGTTAATCTGATCATGTCACGGTTTAGCGTAAGTTGCCTGAAACATGCCACAACTCACATCGATGCTGACCGTTTGTGTAGGTAATGGCTGTATACAACAAAGCTCAGTGTGTGCTTCATCGCCCGTATGTGGTTCGCGCACGAGAAAATCCCCGTTTCACCTATTCTCGAAGGACGTGTATCGACTCAGCAATGGAGTTATTGCAAGCCCAGGCGCTTCTGCACGCGGAAACGCGCAACGGACGCCTACGCAGTCGCCAGAGCCGAGCAAGTTCCCTCAGTTCAGCCGACTTCTTACTCGCAGCCACTATTGTTACTCTCGACCTATACCACGGCCTGTCATTGCAGGTGAGCGGCCGGCCATCGGGGGACACGTACACCTGGGGCCGAGAGCGGCGCGATGAAATGACTGCCGCGATCCAACACTCAAAAGAAATTTGGGATGAGTCGCTTGATGAGAGCATGGAAGCATGGAAGGCATCCAACATACTTGGTTTGATGCTTAGCAAGTTGCACATGACGGTCCCAGGGGTTGAAAATAGCGCCGGAGCTGCTTCTTTTGAGCCACAAGACGAGAAACAGAACGCGGCCATGACCCTTGGCCTGCTGAGCAGCGGAATGAGCCCGATGAACCCGGGCCCGCCGCCATTTGCCGATCCCATGTTCAAGATGGGAGAGTCACCAATGGGAACAGGAGCAGGTGGCGTGGCCGAAATGCCGGGTCCACTTTCGCCCTTTAGCAGCATGTTCGGACAGATGCCGGACATGCAGGTCAATCTGGATTGGGTTAGTTTTTTCTTCTTTGGGACCCGAATTTCAATGCTAACATGTTGGTATCAGGATGCTTGGGACACATACATCCAAAACCCCACCCTCGACACATCCAATCAATTCTGGCCCATGATCGATGCACAGCGCCAAATCACCCCACAGTCTGGAAGCATGTCACAGCCTTCAGTGCCTAGTCCTCTGACCTCAAGTCGGGGGCCATCGATTGGTGGTGTTTCCCGGCCATCAACAATGTTCTCAGCATCCTCCAACAGCCCCGACAGTGGAGGTGTGCCGGTAACAGGATACGGTATGCCGCCAATGCCTCAACAAAACAATGGTCGGGGCCAAGGTTCCCAATGAACGAGGTGTATTCATATTTTACATGATTTATTCTCTCCAGTTTTTGCCAGAAAATGTTTTGCGCTTGCCCTTTTTGATACCTTGGGAATGTTTTGTTGGTTTCTTGACCTGATAACTTAACGAGGCACGTTTTGCTTCTTCTTTACCGGATGGATAGGTATGCGTGGGGGCGACCATGGTCGCCATTCTGATGGAGGAATCCAGGCGATCTGAGAAAAGATGTTGTTTTTGGATGGATTGATTCTGTTGGTGTTGGGGTTGGTTAATGTACATGTATCATATCATGAGGCTGCCGTCATATATTTCCACTCTTGAATTATCAAACCTCACATTTTATTTGTGTTTGATCTTCCTCTAGACCCTAGACTTGTGAATGTTCTCTATATAAAATATGTAGTCCAATGCTTTTTACAACTTCAGTTTACTTGTTATCATAGGCGCTATATCAGTCACGTGTCGGTGCTTATCTGCCGGGGAAAAAGTAACTGGCTTCGCGGGATTCTTCTCCAGTCAACATATCATTTCTAATAAGTGATTAACACATCTTGTGTTAATTTAATTCTTAAGATGTGAGTCGTACCGAATGCAGATTCCGAGTCCAAGGCCTTATACCTCATGTTCCCTCGATCTCTGCTGGAACTTTGGAAGATTACCGAATACTAAACAAATCATCCCCAGGCATTGCTTCCGCCGGGCCGTTTCTCGGCTTCAATTGTCCCCAGCCACTTCTCGTTCATCAATCACTGCTTCTAGCTCGGTGCTGCGTTCAACATGTCCCACTCCCGCGCGGTTCGCCTACCCAACCCTCACACAGACACGGTTAAACTCGACCAATGAAGGCGGTCCACGAATTCCGGTAAGATATGTTGAGGCTGTCAAACCAGAGACAACGCCAGAGAGCTACCGCGCGGAAAGACAAGAACGCAGACGTCAGTATATGAGCGAAGGCCCTATACCGAAGACCACCGTGTACGTCGGCAACCTCTTCTTCGACGTAACCGCAGAGGACCTGCGCAAGCAGTTTGAGAAATTCGGTGCCGTGGAGAACGCAATGATTGTGCACGATGCTCGCGGGTTGAGCAAAGGGTAAGTTTCCAAAACCGAAGATTGACAGCAGCAATGCAGCCGAAAACCCCATCAGACACTGACCTATTCTCCATTATAGTTTCGGCTACGTTACCTTCACCAGCATCGAGGAAGCCACGGAAGCAATCACACAACAGCACGGAGGCGTTTTCGAAGGCCGCGATCTGGTCGTGCAGTTCTCCAACACGGTATACAGATCCATGGCCGACAACAAGCCCAGCAAGACCCTCTACGTGGGCAACATACCCTACGAGTTGACAGACCAGGATCTGCAGGATCTGTTCGATGATGTTCACGGTATCACGGATGTCCGCATCCCTGTTGACCGTCGCACGGGCTTGCCCCGTGGATTCGGACACGTCGACTTCGCCGATCAGAACAGCGCTTCCCACGCCAAGGAGGTTCTCTCCCGCAAGGCGCCTTACGGCCGCAAGTTGAGTGTTAACTTTGCTAAGCGCAAGGTCTTGACTCCCGAGGACCACCTGCGTCACCAGCAGAAGAAGCTTGAGAAGAAAGGCAACAACAAACGCCAAGGTGCCCAGGGTGATGCCGAGCCTGAGCAGACCTTGAATCACACTGAGGCTGAGCAAAAGCAGTAGAGAGGATTATGTGTGAATTATACAAACTGTACAATAGTGTCCTAATTTGGCAACCGGAAAATTTTCAACGATGTATATTAAACAGAAATGATTATGTCTACACCTACACTCACCATCGTTTGTCTTACATGTAGTTTAGTCTTTTTCAATTTTTGTACCTAGCCCCTGGCTGAAGCTTTAGGTGTACCTTTCTAATTGGATACTCCTTCTAATGCCCTATATACATGTAGGCATACGAGACCCCAAATATTGTTGCATGGCTTGTGGGACAGGATTGTAGCTTACGGGTAATAATACCTGAAGATTAATTACAACAGGAAAGAGCCACAACCTGCCGTTGAGTGTTGTTCCCTTCTTGCGTGAGATAATTGACCGGGTCTGGTGTACAGGATAGTTAGGCTGCTGCCTTCACAGATTAAATTAAAGAACGTGCGGAGGACAATATCTTACTGGGATTTCTTCGGTCACTTATTGTTTTTGGTAATCGACGAAGGTTCATTCGGTTGTCGGGTTTAGTGCGTGGTCCATAAGAGAAGGGTGGGTGTTGAAGAAACGAGACACCAATTTATATATAGTGTTGTGTCCGTTTTGCTTAAAGATCTTTTAACATGATATGTACTCCTAGACATCTATCACTTTTCTTTCACTTCCTACTCAAATCCTATATTCTGGTACAATGATTAATTGAGTGGTAAATGTGATGAATCAACAAAATCTGATATTCAAGTGACTTCTCGTGTGAGGCTTCAGCGAGGCTGGATGGCGGATCTGTTTTGCCATCCCTTCAGCAGCCGAGTCTGGACAAGATATTCCTTTTGATAGATGATGTATTCGTCAGCAATTGTATCAGACTAGGAAGGAGTGAATTGTTCAGAATGTGAGTCGTTCTTCAACAAGAACTCGAGAATAGCTGATATACCTAGTTTCGGTTCGAAAACTAAGGGATGAGGGATGATATCAAGCCTGGTAGATCAAATTGCTCGGAGAGGGAGCAATATCCCTTTATTGTAAGTGCTAACTGAGAAGGGGAAAAGAAGGAGAAGAAAAAGTAGAGACTATATATCGCTGGCAGTCCTGGCAAACAGTGACAACCAATCCCATATACGATCAAGTCAAGAATAACACCTTCCACACGCCATATAACATAGCCTATGGTCAATATGATCTGATCTAACTACCAAATTTGTCCACTCAAAAGGTAAACTAGCATTGTGTATATTTTAGCATTCTTAATTTGACGACTATTTTCTGGATATATACAAAAGCTCGATTCCAACTCCCAACTCAAAAAAAAAAAAAAAAAAACAAGGGGCTAAGAAATGCAATTTAGTAAGGGAATTCAGCCTCATTCTCCCCCACAAGTCCACGCTCCTTCTGTAACCGATCCTGCTCTTGCAGATATGGCATCAAGATCTTATCCCAACTAGACTTGCCCTTATAGTAAGAAACAGTCTCATCCCAATTCCCAATAGCCTCTGCCAATCGACCAGGGATATAAGGCTCCTGAGCCAATTTGGTGACAGGCTCGAAATACGTGCGAATGGTAAACAGAATCGCACCCGAGCGTGGTAGCCGACGTAGTGTCTGTCTCTCTGAGCGGAAGTGGATTTCATCAATGGTCAGGCCTTTGCCGTTTGCAGTGGCCCATGCTGATGATTGATCCCGTTAGCACTTGCTTCATCCATAAAGGGAGGGAATGGGGAACGAACAGGCTACTTCTGTTCCTTGTTGATCGCCCATGCGGTGGGACCAGTGGAGTCCGTCGTCGAGTTGGATGAAGAACTGTAGTTTCTGTTAGAACTATATGTCCTGTAATTAATATGGCAGAAGGTAAATTGAACATACGTTGTTTCTTTCCACTGGCTTGTCGGGAGTAAGCTTCAGCATGAACTTATTCATGGCCTTTTGTAACTTGGCCGCATAATGAGGAACGCCAGCTTCGAAGTGAAGTGTATCTAGTGACATGCGGAATTTCTCCCTGAGGCGCCAGAAGCCGGGAAGACACACGGCGGCTGCGTCGAGGTGGTATTCTCCATCTGTATTGTGTTAAAGATTGCACATTTCGAATTCCCAAGCGAAGAGAACATACCGTCATTCTTCATCATCAGCACAAGATCATCCTGAACCAGCAGGGCTGATGTTGCGAGAGCCTCGTCGGGGGTTGCTATGGGTAAAGTCAACTGAAATTCTTCATGCAGGAGCGATGAATCCGAGCATACCTGCCGGGAATGGAAACGCCTCTCCGGTAAGGCTATTATGCACTTTCCCTCCTTCCAATCGGAAGGTCTTGGGATAACGATGTGTCAGATGACGGACCAATTCCTCATTAAGTTCGAAACAAGCATCTTTCGTGACTGCATTATCGACATATTTGATGTGTTCTTTGAAATCCTTCTTCAACTCTGCTGCTTTCATATCGTGGTATCGAAGAAAGTAGGAATCCATTTCAATCCAGTTATCCCAGTGCAGTTTGCGAATTCCCATTGTAATGAAATTGGGCCCATGTCGAAACGGGCGATACAATTTGGGGTCATTTGAAGTCGGATCATTGGGATGAGGACTGGGAAGTGGCTTGATGAATGGTTCCTTCTCTGGTTGTATTTGAGGTGTGCTGGATTTACGGCGAATTGGCCATTTCACTATTACCCATGCGAGGATGGACAGGAACAGACCCAGGAAGGGAAGGGCGCCTGATGCAGGCGCGATGCTGATGGGAATCATTGTTTCGTCTAATGTTGAAGTTCGTTGACGGTAACACTTGTAGTATACATAGCTGATGGGGTGTAGGTGCTCTTAAATAAAGTGTGTATACATGCTATGTTGCATGTTCTAAACCAGGACATTTGATAATAGAGTATATTAAATCCGCTAAACCTAATTAGGTAAATATTTGGGCCACAAACGACCTAAGCGACCTGGCGGTTGAAGTGTCCACCTGTTTAGGTCTAGTGTGTACCGATAAGAGTCTTATATTGTGGATAGCCCCGCTTGAATACCGTGGATGGGGCTGCACTGAGTGTTGTCTCATTGGACGCGACTTCCCCGCAATTCGGAGACTCTCGTATCTCGTTCCTTCCCGAGGTCTCCTAGGCCTTCCCAATGTGGTGAACCGTTGGAGATACCGTCATACTCTCGGCCCACCTGTGTGGAGTTGAAAAATATTGACGGGTGGTCTGGCCAATCGTGATTTCGGTAGGATTGTCGAAAAGTGGCTTCTAGTGCTTAACATTTAAATTGTAGTGAATTCTTTCGATTACATTTAAAGATTAGTGGAAGGATTAGAAATATAATTCTTAATAATCTGTCAACGTAACTAACAAGTGCGCTATGTAAATTCAATTCCAAGTTGCTAACGCTCAGCTTCTTCTAGAGGCCCTTTGAAGTCTGCATCCAAGTTAGTACTTCATTCTCGAGTCAAGGGAAGGTAAATTCTTACATCTGCGCCCATAGAGCATATACCAGGCCATACTTAAAGCCACACAACCCACAAACACAACCGACGCATAGGTCATAGTTTCACTAGTAACAGGAAGTGTGACAGGCATACTGAATAGAATAACCTGGAAAGCAATCCACAGCAGCGCGAGGACATTCGCCGTCTTTCCAATGAGAGGATTCAGCTTCCAGCGGGACTGACTAATTTCCACACGGCGATCAACAATCAAGCTGATCGCGACGGGAATCGCATATGCCACAGCTAACGCGATCACGCCCACCGACGCAAAAGCCGTGAATGCACTACTGCTTCCGAGGTAGGTAAGACCTAGTAGCATTTCAATAGCCGTAACCAAGCATAGCGCTGCTAGTGGGCTGTCCCTGACAGTGGATGACCAGAGATGCGAGAATGGGATTGCATTATCACGCGAGAAGGCCCAGGTACACCTCCCAGCGGTGGTTGTGATACTGATGGAGCAGAAAAGGGCGACGAATAGAACCAGGATCATGAGGACGATCGAGGCTGCGGGTGAATCTGTCACCACGTGGATGATATATGGCAGGGCTTGGCCATATGGCGCAGCAATGATGTCGGCTAGCGGCGGAAGAGTGAAGCAAATTGGCACAGTGAATACCAGTGCCGCAGCGCCGGCCACCACAGGTACTAAGCTGATAGCTGTGGGGATTTGAACTTCTGGGTCTGTACATTCTTCTGCCATGGAGGTTACCATTCCCAGCGCGGAGAATGCGTAGGCTGGAGGTAGTAGTCCGATGAAGAAGGTGAAGTGCTTCTCCCAGCCAGAATAGCTGGGGTCATACCCAACAAAGCCTGTGTAGGCATCGTGACGACCGGTTTTCGCAAGGACGAGGAGGGTTATGGCGAGTGTAATGCATGTGACGACTGAAAACGCTGCGGAGAGTGTATCGATGAGAGGAAGGAGGTGGTCGGCGAAAAAGCATATCATGAAAACTACAAGGCAGATAGCGTAGAAGATGAGAAGGAGTTGCCAATCAGAGGCTGTCCAGGCAGGATAGAAGATAGACACAGTTGCAACTATGAGGGAAGCGATTCCAAAGTTCACCGAAAGTGATATAGTCCAGTTTCCGATGAGCCAGATCCAGCCCGTAACAAATGAGACCAGCTTTCTGCTTCCGCTGGTCTTCAGGAGCCGGAATGACCAGTGGTAGATACCAGATGAAGTCGGGTATCTTGAGGCGAGTTCTGAAAGAGATAAAGCGACGCACGTATCTAGTGCCAACACCACCAGAAGTCCAATGAAGAGGGAAAGTTGGCCGCCGCCATATACGGCGTTGATCAGGGCGCTACCAACACCATACGGGATAGAGGCAATTGACAGGGACATGAACAGCATGCTAGACAGCTTGCGCGTGCGGCGCAGCTGAGGCGTGTATCCCAATTGGTATAGCTGTTCATCCTGGTATGTGCCGAGCCCCTGGGTTTCGAGTTTGTCGCACGACCCTATGCTGAGGTCTTGTTTCTCCATGACTTTCTCCGTTGGTTGCCCCGATTTGGAATAGAGAAGACTGTCCGGTTTGTAGATTCATTCTGTGGGTATGCAGCATTGGTCTTTATACAGTTTCCCCACAGCATGCACCTGGATAAGAAGCTTTGTTCTAGTCCAACAAGGGAAATCATTTAGGCCATTTATCTTTTTGCCCCCGGCTTAATGGGGAAGCCATTAGATAGGGGTCACGTATCTATGACTTTCTCCAGGCTTGTTATCTTGGTCCCCTGGCCAAGCTTGGAACTACTATATTTACGGTTAGACGATTGCGGGGTAGGGCCACCTAGCCCATGGGACTGGTTCAGTTGGGGTTATCGGTACCATTTGTCGGTATTGTAAAGTGGGTCCAAGGAATTGTGGAAGTTGCCCAAAAACTTTCCCAATTGGGTTTACCCCGATCTCGCGGCGATTGGCACTTCGTCTGTTAGAAATACAAATATGCAGATACAATATAGGGCCGTCCCGCTCCGATTTCGGCTCTGCTTTTGCCTCTATCTTAAATATTGGAAGGCAACACGATTACTATCATTGAGCCCATTGACTAGGTGTCAGCAGGAACTCGGGCCTTCGTCCAAGGCACCCATTTCTCGACTGATCAGCTGCTTTAATGCCCTGACCAGTCACAGTTCACCAGGTAATTATAAGGCTGCCAACCTTCGTCGCACGTCCCAGCTAGCCCGTCGTAGAAACGCGGTGCATCCCTCCACTTCGTACACTTCAATGTGCCGACCTGGGTTATCTCCTGGAGCTTAGGGACCCGCTCCATTTATCCCCGAACGCGGAGATGCCGGTCATCTCTGATGGCATGGCATCTGGTGCGCCTGACTCTATCCAATCCGGCGGGTTGATTTCAGGGCATACATCGATGGAGGGCGTGAGGGGATAGAACTCATATGCGTGGTATTCCTGCAGTTTCTTGTGATCATCCTGATAGTAGACGATGGCCACACAACCTTTAGTACCACCAGACGTTGGAGCTGGGCCAGTAGGTGCACTTGGGACGTCGGTGCCTGCGCCGATGGGTGGGATGGCAGGGACGTCTTGGTTGTCACAGTCATCACAACCGGAAATATCGGAGTCCAACGCACACGAGAGGACGTCGAGGTTTACCTTGGGATCGAGGAAGCTGGTTCCGGTCAGCGCCGCACGGCGTGAGAGATATCCCGCAGTGGGAATAGGATACTCAAGATCCGCCCTAGCAGATACATTGGACTGCGGTAACTCCAAGTGATCAGAATATGAATTACGATGGTTCGCAACTGATTCAAAATCAGTTTCTGGGCTCGCTTCACGTTTTTGATATGCGAAGAAGGATGCTGGCACATCATCCCAGATCAGATGGGATCCATCTGCCCTGGCCACAGGTGCTGAAGGCGTGCCAACTGTAATGACTTTCCTTGTCATAGTATAAGACAACTCCCAGGAACGCAAGGGGAAATCACTCACGTAGATCTTCTGTCCGGGGCCCGGAGGTTTTTTTCCCCACTGACAACATACGAGGGGGGGGGGGGATTGTGGTGGCATGAGCGATGTTACGTACACAGTCTGTAGAAGATTGGCTACAAGAGAGCCAGGATCATAGCTCAGAGTATGGTCCCCATTTGCCCTTTGCATGTGCTGGATCGTCAAACCACAAGTCCCATTCCTGGGTGGACGCAAGGCCTGCTTTCTTCACAGCCTTCTGATCACCAGTGCTAAGTATGCTGATGAGAATGAAGCTGGGGCCATAGGCATCACGATCGTTGTTGTAGGTCCACTAGTTCCGTCAACTACAATTTACAGCTCGGAATCAGGTCGTGTGCACCGAGGTTTAGATTATTTTCGTCGACGGGGACAGCTTTTTATTGAGACATTCCCTCCTCGTATTTGAGGAAGTGGCCTAGCTCATCACATCTTGGAATGTGCAAGTTCTCATCATCTTCATCTTGCTCAGCGGCCTCGTTACACACAATTTCGACAGTGTCAAGAAACATTTCGCGCCACTCATCTGTCACCAGCGTTGACGGAATGATTCCATCCATACGTTCATGAAATATCGTCTTCAGGTCCTCTAGTCGCGAGACATTTGCGGTCTCGCGAACTCGCCGGATAATGTCTCTGGGAGCGTCATCATTGCAGTTACTCCAGTCTTTGATGTTCAAGTCAGCCCAGTACGTAAGCATGTGATGTAACTTTTCATCCTCGGTCGAGAGATGCATAGCTTCGATCTCGTCGATGCGATCTTGAATAAACTGCCGATTCGAGGACTCCATTTTGGCGCGGAATCGCTCCACAGCCAGACGCATGGTCTCGTCGGGGTTGGTGTCTGATTGTGTGCCGCTCGACATGGCTGGTGTTGAAATAGCCCGGTGTTGGGGTAAATGCTAGCAGGGAGAAACAGGGAAATGACGTTTGAGATCTAGTGTCCAGGGTCGAATTGGAAGCCGGTCAAAAAGGGGTAAAGGCTAAGCACTAGAATCGAAGTTGAAAGGTCTCTACGGAGGACTATATAGCCCACATAGATGACTTGTTGATTATGATTGGTCAATATTGCCTAACAGAAAATTACTACGGAGTACCTATGCCACAATAGGTGAATTGCATATTTATAAATGCATATTTATTATATAGTTCTATTTTCTAATTTGATTGATTTTCACAAGAAGGGAATGTACTAGATCTCCTTACTATGCATATTGATATACCTAAGTTTCACCAATAATCGGGCGTGGGCCTACCCGCGCGCCTTTTTAACGGGTACAGTTAAGCTTTACTGCCTTATATATTTTAAATAGTTCAATAACACCCGTTGTTCAACCCTAATTTACCATCGTGGAAAGCAATCGGGACTCTTTCTTCTTACTCTTTAAATGTATTCATGTTCAATGATATAACTATATAACTTGAAGGTAATAAATAGCATCAGCAGAAAAGTAAATGAAGGAGGCGGAGAGAAAAGCGGCAAAGCGATTCAACCAATCATAATGTATTAGGGTCAGGCCTCCCGAGGTCGGCATATGCGGCTCCTTCATTACGGCCATTATTTTTGCTTCCAACTCGGAAAGAAATATGACTATCAATTTTGAATAACATAATGTTTCATGAGAATATAGGTTTTCATTTGCAAGTTATATACATGGAATCGTCATATGATAAAGCCCACTCAAAATCCAGCTAGTACGGGCAATGAGCCTCCACCTCAATTTCAATCACCATCCCCTCGATTCCCAGCTTGCCAATCTCGACACAAGTCCAAATGGGTCGATGACCAGGAAGAACCTTCTTGAAATTGCCGGTGACCATGTCGAATGTCTGATCCACGTTGATATGATAACTCCGCACTGCATAGACATTTTCCCACGACAGACGCGAATCAACGCTCTTCAGGGCCTTTTCAACATTCTCGAAAGCGATAGCCACTTGCTGTTCAACGTCTGGGTGGACATTGCCACTCTCATCCCAGCCGCCTTGACCAGAGGTTTTAATAGTGTTTCCGATGCGGACGGCTTGCGAGTAGTGGAAGGATTCCGAGTTTGCCTCGGTGCCGGCGTAGTTGAAGAATTGCATGGTTGTTTTATTTGTGACTTTAGAGGAATCCGATAGGTAGAACTGAGGTAGATAGAGATGAGATAGGGATTTTAGGTGCGATGAAAGGAAATGGAAGTGCTTGACCTATTTAAACAGCTACCCAGAGCATTCCTCCATTCAGAGCATTCCTCTTGGGGAATGTACGGAAAATGGGGTATTTCAAATATGGTAAATATTCTGGCCATGCCATTTAAACTACCTTAAATGGATATGGACACAATCTTCCATCGATTGTGGATGTTTGAATGAATAGCCGAGATTTCAGCTTTGGAACCGACGTGGGCAAATGGGTATGTTACTTGCCTTAGAGGGCATCTTTCTTGACATCTTACACGACAATGACTTGAATGGGAAATTAATTGGACCAAGTCATCGGACCGTCCAAGATCTTCCTCCAGAATCACATGGCCCCTCAATCTATAAGGCCCCGCATTTCCCAAATAGGCAAGAAGATAGGCCACGCCCAAATCAAAATTTCCTTGGCTTGTCCCTGGAAAATATTGCTGTTTGTCACAAAATGAAATAAATGTTCTAATTGACCATGGCAATTATAATATAAAGCCTTCAAACGTAGGATCTTTCAAATCCCAAAACTTCAATCTACATTTCACAATGGCTCAACCTATCCAATTGACGGCTCCTAACCAGGTCTCTTATTTACAACCTACTGGTGAGGAAATTCTTCAGAAAGATTGAGTGCAATGACTGATAGTTTGGAAAAGGACTGTTCATTAACAATGAATTCGTTCCCTCTATCTCCGGCCAGACTCTCTCAACTGTCAACCCTTACGACGAATCCGTGATCGCCAGCGGCGCATCTGCTGGCCCAGAAGATATCGACCTCGCTGTAGCCTCTGCCAGAAATGCATTCAAGTCAGAAGAATGGCAATCACTGGCCGGATATGACCGAGGTCTCCTATTGACTCGCCTCGCAGACCTCTGCGACCGCGACAAGCACATTCTCGCCACAATCGACGCATGGGATAACGGCAAGCCATATGAGCAAGCCTTGGGTGAAGATCTTGCCGAGGTTATCTCTGTCTTCCGTTATTACGGCGGCTGGGCAGACAAAATCCACGGCCAAACCATCCCGACCAGCGAGGCTAAGTTGGCCTATACTAGACATGAGCCTATTGGAGTGTGTGGGCAGATTATTCCTTGGAACTATCCCGTTATGGTATGTCCCAAAAAGACCCTCCTTGACCGAAGCTGTGGAAGCAATACTAATGCTAAGTAGATGGCGGCATGGAAACTTGGACCTGCTCTCGCGTGCGGTAATACCGTTGTCATCAAGGCCGCCGAACAAACCCCACTCTCAATCCTCTACCTCGCTTCCTTGATCAAGGAAGCCGGCTTCCCGCTGGAGTGGTAAACGTTATCAATGGTCTCGGTGCCACTGCCGGTGCCGCCATGGCATCGCACCTGGACGTGGATAAGATCGCCTTTACCGGCAGCACTAACACCGGAAAGGCCATTATGAAAGCGGCCGCTTCGAACCTGAAGACTATTACACTCGAGACAGGCGGCAAGAGCCCCTTGATCGTCTTCGAGGACGCCAACCTCGACCAGGCAGTGAAGTGGTCGCACGTCGGTATCATGAGCAATATGGGTCAGATTTGCACATCCACCTCGCGCATCTATGTGCAGGAGAGCATCTACGAGACTTTCGTCGAGAAATTTAAGCAGTACACTATTGAGAACTCTATTGTCGGCAGCCAATTTGATCCCCAAGTGAACCACGGACCTCAAGTGTCCGCTGCGCAGAAAAGCCGCATTCTGGGGTATCTTGAGACTGCCAAGCGTGAAGGCGCACAGCTTGTTCTTGGAGATGATCAGCCTTCCCCGGATGCCAAGGGTTATTTCGTCAAGCCCATTATCTTCAAGGATACGAATCGCGATATGACTCCCGTCCGTGAGGAGGTGTTTGGTCCCTTCGTCGTTATCCAGTCTTTCAAGGACCAGAAGGATGCGGTTGAGAAGGCTAACGATACTGAGTATGGACTCGGCGCCGCTTTGTTTACCGAGAACATTACCCGTGCTCACAAGGTCGCTGCCTCTATTCAGGCTGGCATGGTTTGGGTATGTACTTGCAGATATAATTTTTTGCGGCATATGCTGACCCTCAACAGATTAACAGCAGTCAAGACTCCCATTTCGCTATTCCGTTCGGTGGATACAAGCAGAGTGGTATTGGGAGGGAATTGGGTGAATATGCCCTTTCGGCCTACACTCAAGTGAAGGCGGTTCATGGTCAGTATCTTTCCCGTAATATTTGCGACCGGCATACTAATGTTGTCTTTAGTAAACTTGGGGACTTGGCTTTGAATATATCGAAGTGACGGGTTGGAGACAGTAACAAATAAATGATATCTTGTACATAAGAGACCAGATAATGAACAATTCAAATATCTCACTAGTAAATTCACTCAACTCCATAATTTTATTCCATCCAGTCAATTTTTGCATATGATATGCTCCGTACATAAAATGTACCTGGTACCTCGTGAATCTCGTGACTCTTAAAAACTGCCGTCGGGGGACCTCGGCTGAGGAGGCGGAAAGCTCTTGAACCCCACGTCAGAGAGATCCGGGGGATGCACCTTCACCTTTACATTGTCTTTGCTTCTCTTCAAATTTTCTTTTTGCATTAACACTCCACCCTTTTACTTCACCTTTAACCCGTCACATTCCCACCATGTCGTTCCTTGGTGGCGCAGAATGCTCTACAGCGGGGAACCCTCTCTCACAATTCACGAAGCACGTCCAGGATGATAAATCACTACAGCGCGACCGGCTGGTCGGCCGAGGACCAGGCATGCAAGAAGGCATGCGCTCACAAAACATGATGGGCGGACAGGACCAGGTGAGCCAGACAGCCCACAACGAACCTCCCCGCAAAGGAAAGAGCAACGGAGACTAACCTCGGCGTCGGGAAACTCCTCATCAGATGATGGACGATTTTATGCAACAACCAGGCCAACAACTTAACGGGCCCTCTCCCCAGCCATTCGCAATGGAGCACATGCGCCGCGAGTTAGATAATTTCCAGACGGGGCCTGCCCGCACAGGATCGCCAGGGTGGGCCGGAGAGTTCGACTCGGGCGAGCAAGCGCGCATGGAAGCCGCGTTCCCGGGTCAGATGAACAACGGATCTGGGTTCAGTCCTGCGGAGTTTGCCCGCTTCCAACAACAGAGTCGTATGGGCATGCCGCAGACGTCGAGCCCTGCCGCCGCCACCGCATCGCCTATGATGGCGGGGTACCAGCGGCCGATGGCCATGGGTGGCGGTTATATGGGTGCCATGGGTGGTATGGGGATGATGCGTCCTATGATGGGCGGACAGATGGGGATGCAGCAGGGGCCTATGGATGCGCAGACACAGGATAAGGGGAAGGGGCGGATGGTGGAGCTTGACGACGAGAACTGGGAGGCACAGTTTGCTGAGATGGAGACTGCGACGGTTGGCAATGAGGCCCAGACGGACGAGGAGGCTAATGCGGCCATTGAGGCGGAACTGAATGATTTGGACAGGTCAGTGCCCTCCAATGACGCGTTTGAGTCTGTATGGCAACGGGTCCAGGCTGAGACCGCAACGAGCAGGAAACTTGCCGAGGAAGATAACTTTGAAGTCACTGATAACGTGCATGTTGGTGATCTCGGTGACTGGGATGGCTTTGATAGTCTCAACTCTCGCTTCCGGGATCCCCAGCTCGGCGATTATATGTTCGAGGAGGATAATGTCTACCAGGCTGTAGGCAATCCATTCGAAGAGGGAATGAAGATCATGCGTGATGGCGGTAATTTGTCGCTGGCAGCGCTGGCTTTCGAGGCTGCAGTTCAAAAGGACCCGCAGCATGTGCAAGCATGGACGATGCTGGGCTCTGCGCAGGCGCAGAACGAAAAGGAGTTGCCCGCTATCCGTGCGTTGGAACAAGCCCTGAAGGTCGACCCCGGAAATTTGGATGCATTGATGGGCTTGGCTGTCTCGTACACAAACGAGGGCTACGACTCAACTGCCTACCGTACACTCGAGCGTTGGCTGTCCCACAAGTATCCCACTATCATTGACCCTAAGGAAGTATCCGGCGATTCAGACCTCGGCTTCACAGACCGACAACTCCTCCACGACCGCGTAACAGAACTATTCATCCAAGCAGCCCAGCTCTCCCCCTCAGGAGCCCAAATGGACCCCGACGTACAAGTCGGACTGGGCGTTCTTTTCTACTGCGCCGAGGAATACGAGAAGGCCGTCGACTGTTTCTCCGCCGCGTTAGCCTCCACTGAGTCCGGTAGCACCAACCAACAAGAGCAGCTCCACCTCCTCTGGAACCGACTCGGCGCGACCCTCGCCAACTCCGGCCGCTCCGAAGAAGCCATCGAAGCCTACGAGCAAGCCCTCAACATCAACCCCAATTTTGTGCGCGCGCGCTACAATTTGGGTGTATCCTGCATCAACATCGGCTGCTACCCAGAAGCCGCACAGCACTTGCTGGGCGCGCTATCCATGCATCGCGTTGTAGAGCAGGAGGGCCGCGAGCGTGCGCGTGAGATCATTGGTGATGGTGTGCACCCGGATGGTCTGGATGACGAACGCCTTGAGCGTATGTTGCATATTAGCCAGAACCAGAGCACTAATCTGTATGACACGCTGCGCCGGGTGTTCAGCCAAATGGGCCGTCGTGACTTGGCTGACCAGGTTGTCGCCGGCATGGATGTTAACATCTTCCGCAAGGAGTTTGAATTCTAGGTTATCGCTGTTGATCTTTTATGTGCATGCAAAGGCATTGGATATATCTTTGAAATTTCTGGCTGGCAAGGCCTGGCTGTGTTGTATCTACTTTTTATCATTTGATGGCTGCTTAGATGAGATCTACAAGCCATAGAGGAAAAAGCACTTCCTCATATATATGTTTCATGAGCCCATTTCTTCCTATTTATGTAACATGTCTCTCTTATCTTTATGGATGAAAGGGAGTCGGATTCATCAACTCATCAACAACCTTCCCAACAGCTACGGCCTTCTCCTCTCCAAATCGACCCCCAACAATCTGTACACAGATGGGCATCCCATGCACAAGGTCGATATCATCTAATAAGAATTAAAATCAGCATTAGCCAAAACCCCAAAAGACAACAAAGAAAACAACCACTCACACTGTAGATAATTGAAAGCATCCGACTCATTCCTAATAGAATGGCCCTCCCACTCAGTATTACCTGCACTACCAACAGAATCAAGACCCCGATCCGCTCTCGCAACAGGAACAGTAACAGCCGCGTAGTCCAGCAGATTCCACATAGCCGTGTAACCCAACCACTGATTGCTCTTGACCCACGTTTTAGGCTTGTAGCCTACCCATGGGAGGACGGGCATGAGCAGGGCATCGATTTCCGATGAAACCCACTGCTTCAGGAAGGTGGTTTGGAGGATGAGTTTTGTTGCTTCAAACTGTATAGTGGTGTTAGATGGATTTTGATTTCTGGTTGGGGTATTGGGCGAAGGGAAAAGGTCTTTCAGAAATGCTATTGCTTTGAGCTGTCCTGTGACTTACCTGCTCTCGCTCCTCGTGTGAAAGAAGATCGGTCTCTTTGCCGACAACCATACCCTCAATCAACGGCTCGTCGACTATCCGACAGAGCGAACGATAGTGTTGGCCGCCATCGGCGAGAATGCCTTTTGTCCAGAGGTTGGTAACCGCAATGTGGAGGGAGGTGTCCCATTCGATTACTTTGGCAGGTTAGTAAAACACCTTTTTGACCACAAGGAAAGATAATATTCATTTCAAGATAACGAGGGGGGTGTATACCTTCATGACCAGCAGCTCGTAATGCATCTACCGTCTCCTGCATTGCCCTCGCAACAGGGGGCTGCGGCTTAACGACGCCGTCATCAAACACAACACCCAGTCTCAACTTCCGATTCGCCGGTGGTTTAGCGAGCTCCTTTCGCCATGGGATTGGAACTGCGGTTGGGTCTAGACTCCACGGACTGGATGCAATGAGACTCTCCATGAAGTACTCCGTTGTATCGAGAGATGTAGCCATTGGACCAGCAACTGGTGGGACAAGATAGTGCTGGTGTAAGCTATCATTATGCATCAGTACTGATCATAGGTTTGGCATACGGACAAGGAAAACGAATGACCTACAAAGAACAATCCCACGGCACTCGCCCTGTTGTCGGACATATAGAGTACAGACCTTGTAAATTAGAAGGTACTCGGATCGAGCCGCCGATGTCAGTACCGATTCCCAAGACGCTGCCTCCGGATCCAATAAGCGCGCCTTCGCCGCCGGAGCTACCACCTGAAATTAGGGCGTGATTGAAAGCGTTCACGGATTGGCCGAAGACATGGTTGTACGAGTCGGACATCTATTTGAGTGATTCAGTGACTGGGGTTTCATCAAGGATGCATATAATCAGAAAAAGAGAAATAGAGCATACCATCAGTGATTGTGGCACATTAGTCTTGACATAGAGTACTGCACCCATCGACTCGAGTAACTGCACGATTGAACTATTGGATTTGGCAGGTTTATTGGTCAGACCCACCCAGCCTTGACATATATATTAGCAACAATCCAACAAGACGTTTTCAACCAAAGACAGAAAAACAATAAAGCGAAAACCAAGAAAACGCACCAACTGTCGTGTCAAACCCCTCAACATCAAACCGATCCTTTACTGAAACTGGAACACCATGTAAAGGTCCAACAACCTCACCGGTACGCAGTAGATGGTCATCAAGCTCCCTGGCACGCTCAAGAGCCTTATCAAAGAAGATCTCCGTTAAGCACTTGGTAACCTGCTGTGCGATGGCAGCACGTTTACAAAACGCCGTTGTCAGCGCCTCGCTCGTCACACGCTGGGACTTGACCAGCTCGACGAGGTCGCGGATATCCGGAGTTTCGGTCCATGCTAGCTCGTCGGCGGAGAGGATACCGCTCGTGCGAATAGTTTCTACGCTTGATGCTGGTGGGTTTTCTAGGAGTGTTTCTGGCAGGCGCCAAGCTGAGGGGATCAGGGTTAGCTGGGTGGCGCGCTTTTCGAGGACGCGGTTGTTCCAAGGTGGTGGTTTGAGCTCCTGGGGTGATTCCTGTGTGAGTTTATCGACGGTCATGATGGATGTGGTAGTTAAGAATGAAGTATCAAACGAGCGGAGGTTGGGCTTAGAGATGTAAATAAACTGAAATGTCAACTTGGAGCTTATCTCCCCTCATTTCGGTAATGGTGCCGTGAGGGGTCGGATGGAGATTAGGCTTCACATCTGATAGCGAGATCCCGAGGTCCCAATAGAAGGTAATCGGGAATATGTGAGTGGAGATACAGGTTGGATCTAGATGAGGTCGGTACTTTTTCCTTTCTGCAATTCAACAATTATATCGGAGCTTCTACTTGTAAAGAAATAGGGCTACATGGCCAAGACGACGATGTTGCCTACAGGGGTTATGGCTAGATGTAGGTACTTTTGATATGCAATAGGAACCAATCATTAACAGGAAGGACATGAAAATATATGGATAAGACCAGCTTATCTTCATGTAAATTATATGATTCGAAGATTTGGTGTACTTGATGTTATTGTTGGCTTTCAATCTTGAATGTGATACACCGCGACCAGATCCCCAGAAACATTGAAAACGGTCACGATATTGGATAATAGGAAGAGTATGGTCTGCATGTCTGAAGATATTGTTGGTCGTGCTTCCTGCTACTCCTGATCTGTTCATCGTAGGTGCAGCGATAGCGAGGGTGGCGGAGATTGTGAGAATGGCCATGGGGAGCTTCATATTGGCAAGGATGAGCTTGATACAGGCCTTATATCAGTGCATTTAAATAATATCACACCTATGATGTCCTCACATACCAAAGTTGTTTAGTTTGGGGAGTAAATATAGTCCACGGGTATATGTAGACTTCAAATACATGTACATCAAATATGACATCATTAAGATAACAACCGTTTTTTACCTTACACTAATGTTCACTTTACGATACATTAGTTGTGCTATAAGCTGGTAATAGCCTACTTTGGACTATCTGAGAAGGGCATTGGAAAAGACTACTAAGAAGACTACTAAGAAGATGGATGTATAGAGTGGTGAGCTAGGCGGAAATTGCCGGGGTATTCGTCGATGATTCGTCACTTCTCTTTGATATGCCCATGCCAGGTGAATATGGATCACAATCAAGTGAGCGTTGACCTTGGAAACAGGTTATCCATTACTTGATGCTGCACGAAATGAAAATATTGCCTCAGAGTTGGGACTTCTTCCCACCGATCCACGTGAAGTCCTGAGCCGGGTTTTATCAAATTCCGTGACTTCTACACCTTCCTCTGCATCACTCAACACTTCACAGTAGACGACTTCTGTTGGTTTCCGCAGTATTGGGTTTGGCCAATGTGGACTCATCTTCGAGTAACCCGGTCGTACTTATGAGATCGAAATCGCCCGCCCGTCGTTCGGAGATGCCCTTTGGGCAGATTTCAAAGCCCACCTCGCGGTGAACCAGGCGTTTACAAACTACCAGTCAGAGTCTGTCGAAGTATGAACTCCCCAAATATTTCTCAGATGTCCCGAAAACCAACAGCGAATGGTGGGACTCTCGTCTGAATCTTTTCCATGGATCACACCTCTCTTTCCCTCTGCCTGCAATGACATTAATCACCGAACGCATACTTCCACTTCCCAAGCTGGCTCGACAAGCCCTCATCTATATCTATTGCCCTGAGCCATCGCGACCAGCTGTGATATCTCACGATACTAACCGTGATTGCAGGTATAGTAGGTATACCCGCGATAGGTATACCTATAGGCCGTAGGCCTTATAAATAGGTACTCGAAAATCGAAATAGCCCACCGCCTACCGTGGACAGGCGATGTCGCAGTCGAGGTATATCGAACACTATATATAATATATAGTAGAAATTACCGAGCCTTTATAAACTGGAAGATAGATAGACCGCTACAATAACAGTATTATACAAAAGTATATATATTACTTAATCAGCGATGCCTGTATGACTTGGAAACAGAGCGGATTTTGCCAATTTAGTTAGAGAATTTTACAGATATCATTTTTACCATATGACAGAAATAGACGGATACGACAATGTATGGTAAATCTGACATATGTAAATTCTCTAACTAACTAAAATGACAAGATCCGCTCTTTTCCAATCTCGGCGGACATAGCTGATTAAGCAATGTATGTATTTTTGTATGGTACCGTTATCATGACGGTCCATTGATTTCCCGGTTTGTAAAGACCTGGTAATTTCAGCATGCATAAATGCATAGTACTTGACACACCCCCCCAGTTCTTGAAGCTATTCAAAGCTCTCAAGGACTGCCTTTCTTCCAACTGTTTCGCAGCTGCTTCGCAACCGCTTCGCAAATGATTCGCAAGTGATTCCAACTTACCTCACCTGTCTCCTCACTGATCTCGGCTCAAATCGTCGATTTATGCAGTTTCCGCAAAACAGCCTCTGTTCTCAGAGGTCATGTGACGAATCATGTGACCTACGTCCCTCATTCCAACCAACTCTCTGAAGTGTCCCTGCTTCTGCTTCGTCAGAGCTTTGGTGAGCCCATCTGCTGGCATCGCAGCAGTTGGTACCCAGTCCACATATACTCGACCTGCGCTAACTTCTTGCTTCATCCAGCATCGATTGATGTCAACATGCCGGAGCTTCGTATGCATCGCGGCCCCTTCCTTCGTCAATAAATCGACAGTTTGCTGGTTGTCACACATGATGGATAGTGGGTGATCTGGTTCGAAGCCTAGTGCATTAAGCACTCGTCGCCACCACTGTACGGTTTTTCCTGCCTCTGCTAAAGCTAGTAGTTCGGCCTCGGTAGTCGATGTGGTGACAGTCTTCTGCTTAGTGGCCTTCCAATCGATTGGGCCACCATATAACTTGCAGATATACCCTTCGGAGCTCTTTCGATCTTTATGGTCTCCGAACGACGCATCGCTTGCAAATTCAACCGATTTCGCCGCCATCGTCAGGGTCGTATCTCGATTTCTAGGTTGTTTGTTTGGTGTTCTGATGCTGTTTGGTGTTCTGATGCCGTATTCAATGGCCCAAAAGCGTGTCTCATAGAGATACTGTATGATGCGATCGACTGCATCTATATGCTTTGGTCCTGGATTTGTAAGGAATTCAGCCACTTTGGAGGTTGCTTTTGCAGCATCTACCCGGGTAATGGTGGTGGCATACTGCGCAGATCCAACCTTGGCCTGGAAACCATGAATCTGTTGCGGTGATGCCACCCCATCATAGGGTACTAGAGGCTCAATGCTCAGTGGGGACCCTATTTTTCTCTCTGTGACGAGATTGTATTTGTGTGCCATGCTCTCGATGTAGCTATCTTGGCATAACCAGAGCTTCTTCTGCTCTCTATCACGTATAATACGTATATTCAAGAACCAGCTTGCATCCAGTTCTCGAAGCTCCCATTGCTTCTTTAGATTTTGATCTAGTAAAGCGGCTTCTTTAGCCTGTTTGGGGTGATTGACGATGATGATATCGTCCACGTAGAAAAAGACAATAATGCCTTTGGTTGTAAAGATGCATGGATCTTCTTCCACTGGGGTAAGGCCTAGTTTTACTAGCACCTTTGTAGCTTCTTGCTGCCAAAGCCTTGGTGACATGCGCAATCCGTAGAGGGCTCTATGCAGGAGCCAGCACTGATTTAGTGCTTCGAAGCCTGGTGGACACTTGGTATAAACCTCGCTTTCTAGCATTGAATTCAGGAATGCGGTAACCACATCTCTCTGAATCATATCTAGATCAAAGGCGGCAACTAGTGCGAATACTGCTCTCGCTGTTTTGACAGCTAGTGTAGCAGCTCTCTTTTCTTCAGTTGACATCCACTGTAGATCTCCTCTCACGCAGATTCTTGCTTTGAACTTCTCGAGCATACCATCTGCATCAAATTTGTATGTAAATACCCACTTCAATGGCAAGATCTGGGTGCTCTTTTTGTTCGGTAATGCAACCTGAGAGAAGGTCTCTTTAGCCTTTAAGGTCTCAATTTCAAACTCCGCAGCTGCCTTCAATTGCGTGGCAAAGGGATGGATTTTTAGCCGCTTCCAGTTCTCTGGTGGTGGAGGCATCTGATCTCTATGCAGTCTGTTTTGCATATTGAGCTTCTTCGTAATACCTGTTGTAAAGGCATATAGAAGGCTTGGTGGCTCGGCTAGCTGTTTCTCGTCTAGCGATAGATATGCAGTGTAGTCTGGATCTGCCTTTGGCTTCCGTATTCTGGGGCCTGAGATGATGTTAGATTCATCAATTGACGCAGAGATCTCTCTAGTAGGCCGATCTTCTGGCTCTGGAGTAGGCGTATACTGCATCTCTTGTTGCAATTGACGCTCTATCTCTGCTTCATCTTCATCATATTGATCTCCCTCTCCCCCTTCAGCTTCGATCGACTGTATGACATTGATCGGATCTGGCGAAGATAGCGAGGTAGGAGATCTCTCATGTGGCGTACTCTCAATCGTAGCAATCGACGATAGTGCTCTTTGTGGTGAGGCTCTCTGTGGTGACATAGGGAAGCTCCCAGGGATCTGTTCTTGATCCCTTACCTCTATCATTGAGATATGTTCTACCACTGAAGCAGGGCCTGCCATTGAAGCCGGTGTTAAAGGTAAAACAGGTGTTTCCTTTAAAGGGGGGACCCTTGGTGTCTCCTCCCTACTATCTAGAGTTTGAGCTTGCTCCACAACTCTAGATTCCTGGATTTCTTCATTTACCGCCTCTGGTGCAGTACCTTGTTCTCGGTTTTCGACGTCATCATTGAGAGTTATGCGAGCAATTGACATCGGCATACGCATCTCTATGCTCAATTCTGACTGCGCTTCTTCCATTGAGAGCACTTGGGGCCAGTTCTTAGCGCTTAGTCCATTTGTCATAGTACTAATTGCATCTTCTTCTTGCGGTAAAGGCTTCGTTTTAGAGTACTGTCTCGATTCATCGAATACAGCATCTCTTACAACTTCAACTCTGCCTATGCCTGCTCGCCCTTTGTATGGAAACCAGATCTTGTATAGGCTCTTTGAAACATAGCCTACAAGATAGCCGATCTCTGCTCTCGGAGCCATCTTGTTAGATTGTACTCTCTTCAGAAGCCTTGAGTACGTTAAGCACCCATATAGCCTCATATTCGACAGGTTGACAATTTGATCTTTTAAGCCATCTGGAGCCGCATAGCGCATCAATTCCTTCCATGGTATGATCCACTTACCATCCATCTTTGTAGGGGTACGATTCATCATATATGCAGATGCATACATCGTCTCTGGCCATAGATTGTGGGGTAGGTTCGTACCATTGAGCAATGCTCTGCCGTTCCTTACTATCATGCCTCCAGATCTCTCTGCTGGTCCATTCATCTCTGGCAAGCCAGGTGGTGCATGCTCAATGGTACACCCTTCGTCTTCAATCATAGATTCAACCTCATTGCCGGCGCTTCTCTCATTATCATAATGAAATACCCTGATCTCGATTTTCAACCAGTTTCGGATCAATGCTAAGAATTTACGAACTGCCATCTGACACTCGCTCTTCTTTATATGGGTAAATACGAAGTGACACCTTATTCCATCGAGATAGAAGTGCGTCATCCATATATGACCGTTGTAGGCAGGCTGGTTTTGTACTAGATCGAAGTGTACTCTCCCTAATATACCATATGCCTGGCCTATCTTCCGGCGAGAGATTTGCCTAGGTGCATCTGCCAATTGACAAGCTTCACATACCTGCATTTCTTTGCCTGGGTTGCTTGCAATAGTGATTCCTTCAGTCATCTCTGCCAGTTTGACAATTCGCGCCTTGCCAATGTGGCCTAATCGACGATGCCAGAGCTCAATTGAAGCCTCAGATTTTGGCTCCTGATTGGATTTCTTAGTGGCAAACGTCATTTCAGGCTTCAAATCTGATGCCTTTTGGGTTATAAAACCCCTTGTCTGGGTGAGCCATGATAGCTTCTGATCGTGGTAGATCTTATAGATCTGACGATGGCCATCAATTGTCTCAATGCAGTTTGCTCTGAGATTCATTAATAGGCCCCCCTTCATCATCAATCCATGAGATATCAGATTACTATGGAAGTTTGGCGAGTACCTAGTTTGAAATAGGTTCATCTTAACGGCGCTTCCAGTGGTAGGGTTTACACCATAGATGACCACAGTGCCTATACCGGCCACCTTCGTCTCTGTATCTCCCACTTTGACGTTGCTCTGTACGCTTTTAAAGGTGCTAAACAAGCTCCGATTGTTGCATACGTGGATTTGAGCACCTGTATCAACTACCCATCTGTCTTCTGTAGGTGTAGTTGTGGCTTCAAAATCCTTGATTTTTGTTGACATAACGGTGTCAATTTTGACTGCGTTGGTTGTCAAGAAGCCAAAGGCTTCATCGTCGAGGGTTGTATTCGCTTGCTCTTTAGCAAGGGTCCCCCTTGGCCTTCTGCATATGCAGCTCGCTTCTTGTCGACAATTGCCTTCCATCTAGGATTAGCCTTCATGGCCTTCTCCCACTTCTGTTTCAATGCCGGTGAGGGCTGGTAATTAGCAGGCCTTCTATCTTCATAGATTTCCCAGCAGGCCCAAGGCATATGAACTCTCGATTTTACCCTGTCACATGGACATGGCCTTCTTTCTAGGCCATCATTCCTTGCCTCTATAGGCTTTGCTTCTTCATTGCCTTGCCATGTCGAGAAAGCAGCCTTTGAGATGCCTCTTTGCGCAGCCGGCCTGCCATGGGTAATCTTCCAGTGGGCTTTGTACCGAGTCATGATTTCGAAGAAAGGGATGTCCTGATTATCCTGTACTCTGAGAGCCCATGTTTCATAGAATCCAGGCGACATTATAGAGATTGCTTCAAGGAATTGATTCGTGGCATCCTCTGCTTCTGGCATCCTTGCCTTCTTACACGATTGGTAAAGCGATTCCCAGTTTAGAAGCCATTTCTCGATATCGGTGTTCCGATCTAGGCCTCTATCTAGGTTCCGCCACTGTTGACGGAGCTTAGTTTTGTATGTAGGATCGCTCTCTGGTGCAAATCGTTTGTGGAGATTGAGCATCAGCTCCAAAGGTGATGGTATATCAATGATAAAGGGCTGGTAGGGAGTATCAACTGACTGCCTAATTGCCACCGCCACTAGATCTAATGCCTGTAGTTTCGACTGATAGGCTCTGTTCTCTGCATCCCAATCTGCTTTTAGGGATAGCCTCACATTGAACCAGTGTTCTGGGTATTCTTTTATGGCATCTTTGACAGAGATGATCTCTTCAGGTGGTTCCAATTTAGGACGTTCTTCCTCCTTAAGAGACGGATTGCATTGATCCCATACTTTATATGCAACTGCAATTGCTTTAATATATGAGAGCCATGCATCCCATGATTCTGTATCCTTCAAAATGACGCGGGAGGAGGCCGCGGAGAGGCTTGACATAATATTCATTATTGTCGATTTTCGTCGATGAATCTGATCTTCTTCGAAGGAGATAGGGGTGCTTCGACGATTCAGGGGTTGACCGTTGTCAAAACCACTGTGAATCGGCGACAGCTAGGTAAAAGATGGTCTATATGTTGTAGACAGATCTTAATTGGAACGAAGCCGGGCTCATAACTGACAGAAATAGACGGATACGACAATGTATGGTAAATCTGACATATGTAAATTCTCTAACTAACTAAAATGACAAGATCCGCTCTTTTCCAATCTCGGCGGACATAGCTGATTAAGCAATGTATGTATTTTTGTATGGTACCGTTATCATGACGGTCCATTGATTTCCCGGTTTGTAAAGACCTGGTAATTTCAGCATGCATAAATGCATAGTACTTGACACCATACATTGTTGTACTTGTCTATTTCTGTCAATCTCTACTACGCGACGAATTGATAAATTCTTCCCTACCTTTCGTTAGCTTAGATAGCAAATAATACAAGACCTTCTCATTCAAGCAAATCTCGACAATTTGAGAGCGAATTGGTGGCATGGTGGTTGGTTGAAGAAGGAAGATCTCATTATTTGACGCGTTTTGGTTGGGTTGTTCCAGCCGACCAGGTGTCCCGCTCGCGTTGGAATTACGTTACCTAGCTTACATCATCCAATATAACGTATTCGGTAAGCGAGTGGGCCATGTAAGCCAGTGGGCCACCCCGAAACACCATACTAAAGGCGATTTTATATCTCAACAACAACGCATTGATACTACTTAAAGCTTATAGAGAACGTTGGTAACTAGATTACTAGCTATATTCCGAACTTTTTGGGAGATTCAAATGATTATTCATTGATTTTACCAAAAATACAACGTATTTTAGATCATTTTATAAAAAAAAACATATAACTCAATTCGTACTTATTTAGAATTTCTAAAACTTTATGAATGTATTAGGATCTTTATTTTAAGACCATAATGTCATAAGAATATAATACATTTTGTGGCCGTCGAGATATCAAGTATCTATAAAACGCCTTTAGTATGGTGTTTCGGGGTGGCCCACTGGCTTCCATGGCCCACTCGCTTACCGAATACGTTAAGTCACTGATAATTTGACTTTGGGACCCTCATGGCTCTCGATGGTTCTCTCGGCTATGCGCTTTTCTCGTCTCGAAGCCCTTGGACCTTGCATGCATCACAGAACGCATTCATTTTGGCCTATTGTTCATGATAGTGATGTTGCCTAGCAGCACTGGCGGAACTGTCCGCAAAAGACTCCGGGTCACGACGGGATGGTATGCGTTTTTAAATCTTTGAGGGCTACCAGTCAGTTAATGAATGCAAACCGCTAGCCAAACTTGCCGAGCGCGGCGTGTCAAATGTGATGAGGCGAGACCATCCTGCAGGAATTGTGCCAAGAAGAGTCGTGATTGTGTGTATGGTGATCATACACCACGGCGGAAGAAAGATCAAACGACTCGGTCGAGCCAGATGAGGATTCCAACCACTCCGAAATCCCCAGATATCCATCCACAGCCCGGCTTTCGGATGAGACAGCAGAATTTGAGTATAGATCATCAAACTGAAGTGCGTGGAACAAGCATAGTCTTTGAATATTCCGTTGAGCTAAATCTGACGCAGGAACCCTCTGCCCCGCCCTCACAAACTCCGCAGGCTGACCCCACCAGCGGAGTGACATCTGCCAGTCCGTCACCCATTGGCGATGGGTCCACAGAGGATATTCGTCTGGCCATGATGTCACCGACAGGAGCCTTGGACGCCTCCGCTCGCGAGCAGCACTTAAGCCATGGGTGGGAGTCTCAAATCCAATATCAAAAGATACCGGCAACGATTCACTCTCAAGCTGAGGGACTCAATGCGGCGTATCCGACCAATGACTGGAGCCAGAGATTCGTAAATGCTTTGGACCGGTCACCCTGCTACGATCTTCATGAACCAAGTAGCCACGATGATACCCCGGAATTTCTCTCATTCTTTCGTACTGACGAGCAATTGCCACTAACCGCAGCAGAGATTTTGATCTTCAGGAATTATGTCGAAACCGTTTCTCGATGGGTAAGAGTGGGCTATTCACCAAAGTCGTAGTGTGGGACTCTCTTCTGATCTTCCTATCACCCAGATTGATTCGTTCTCTGAAGATCGGCCGTTTTACTCGGATGTGCCAATAATGGCGCTTCGGTGCCCGGTGCTCATGAATTCGTGTCTTGCTCTGTCTGCGAAACAGCTAGCGTTAAAAAGTTCTGATGAGGAAATGGCTACGCGAGAGAAAGTTGCGGTCAAGTATCATCAGAAGGCGATCAAAGCTATTAGTTCTATACTAGCAGATTCTGCCTGTGCATGGCATGACGAGATTTTAGCTTCAAGTGTCATATTGTCTACGTATGTATCATGTGCCTGCACCATTTTTCACGCCATGCATTCCTCTGATGCACAAGCCCAATTGTTGACCAGGTACGAGATGTTCGATGTTGCTGGAGAGAGCTTTGGTGCTCATTTGAAAGGCCTTGCTTTTTTTTTTACAGTCTCGTGGAGTATACGGCAATGCTACCGGCATCAAGGGTGCTGCATACTGGACATGGTATCGTCACGAGATTTGGGCTGCACTCCAGACTGGACAGCAAATGACATTGAATGAAAGTTATTGGAGGCCGGAAGATGTCGATAGTTTCGAAAATCTATCTATCGAAGAGATCTCAAATCGTGCCATTTTTCTTCTTGGGCAATGCGTGTCGTTCTGCAACACTAAGAAAGTCACCGAGGGCATGACTCACCTTGACAGAACAGAGCAAGAAAAGCGATTGGCAGCACTTCAACATGCTCTTGAAGAATGGAAGGAGAAACTTCCGGCCACCAGCTCGTACTGCCTTTCTGAGTCAGCATCATTCCCCCATACGAGTTCCTCGTACAGTTTCCCTTCGATCTGGTTTCTGTATCCACAGAGTGGTATGTTCCATTTGATATAATCAATAGTCAGATTACTGACATATTCAAGCCGTTGCGTATCAAGTTTATCATGCATCGAAAATTCTTCTGAACCTTCATTTTGAATCTACCACCTTTCAAAATAGTATGAAGAGCTTATCCCAGTCATTGTCTCAGCGACGCCAGATTGAAAAGTCTCGGGAGCAAGTCTTTCTCGTTTCCAATTCAGGTATACCTGATACTTGGAGCTTGATCTCGACACAATGCCTATACATTGCTGGCCTGGTTACTGAGGGCATATTAGAAAGGCGTCGCACGATAGAACTGATTGAAGACTGCCAGAATAGATCTGGCCGAAGGACCATCCGTCTTGCGGAAGCCCTACAAAAACTATGGGCTGATTGAGCTGTCCGGTCAGTGCTAGGAAGTGAGCGACATGGGAAAAAAAATTTTGACTCAAATAATCTTCCTAGAGCACAAAAGCGATCGAGAGCTTCATAATGCCTATTCACACGCCAAAGTGGAAACCGAGGTTTATATTCCACAACGTGCCGGCTTGTGGCTTTAAACATCTGGTGTTTTGCGTGAATTTTAGCTGAAATTGTCGACTCTCAAGCTATAGCCATCAGAGAACACTCGAATTAGGTCAGCGTCACCTCACCAATCAACTTGAGTGCTCGGTGACTTGAAATCTTCAGAGGCTTCTTTAAGTCAAATGCCGCTATGTTCTTCATTATGGAGCTCGAAATACCCCTTGATCAAAGCGAGAAAATGCTCGTTAAATTGATAGTTTCGATTGTGCTGCGTCTGCGATCAAACCTTATACCGGATGCAACTCGGTCTCCACAATCACTGCGAGGCTGTAGCACTCACGGCTGCGGCATGTTGGGTGGTTGGATTATTCTAAATCGCCGGGCTCATCAAAGTAGTCGACATAAATATAGCGATTATATATGACCATGGCGGATTTCCGAAGAAAATTTCGAGTCACGATTCTCAAGGCATAGTGAATCCCTCTACTGAAGAGAATGTATCGAGTTCTCTCGCCGGAAATTATCCACTCAAACTTTTTATGAAGAAGATCATTCCTGTGGAAATTCCGAAGCGCCGCTGCATGCAATGACATTGTAATTCATTGAGTATGCATGGGAGGCTTCCGTACTCTTCCTCCCGTTGATGCACTGACCACTGCTTTGTCGTCCATCCCAGCGATTGAAATTACATTTAAATATAGTAGGCTTTCAATACTACGGAACAAGAGCCTGAGATGTTTTTTGTGCGGTCACGCACGATGCGTTTTTTCATTCGTCAATTCTTTGTGTGTTTATTAATTAACGTAGATTAAGAGATAGACTTAAGGCTGTGATAGAGAACCCAATCACAGGAGCCAACGCCATACATGCTTTAGTTACATGGCCAGTGCTTGTGCTTCGCGAATATATAGATCGGGTTGCAGAGAGGAAGGGGGAAGCTTTGGTTATCTTAGCACATTATGCTGCCCTTGTTGATACACACAGAGACATGTGGTTGGTTTGCGATGGGGGCAAGTACCTGGTTGACTCGATTAGCCAGCATCTCGGGCCCCGGTGGGATGAATGGCTCCAGTGGCCACGACAGCTCCTGATAGAGACAGATCATGTACAAGACCAACGTCAGATAGACGTTATGTTGGCGCACAAAAAGCGGGGAACGGATCAGGTTGGGGAACTCGGCGAATTTGCTTCAGATTATCCATCGGGTTGGGCGCATGTATTTTAATTTCATCATCTGAATTATGGAGGCCCCGTATACAGTAGTATTCGAAATCAGGTACAGTAGACACAAAATTCGAGTGGACACGCTGGCCACCCCCTCACGAGACGGAATATGCGGCCAGTGGACTGCGCTTAGCAAGGCGAATATCGTTTTAGTCAGGTGCCCGGCTCCTTCACTAGAAAAAGAAAAATTGGCGTTTTAGGGGACGCAAGGGCACCGCCAGTTTCCACACCTACCAGAAAGGGACGTTGGGAAGGGAAGAGATAGACCAGTTGCCAGTAATGGACCTAAAACCCATTTTGGGTTGGGTCCGGGTTAGAGTGGGTTGTGCCGAATTCTATGACTTGGTTAACCGCCAGAAAGCCCCAATCACGGGCTTTTCCGAGATTATGCTTGAAACATCGCGCGCTGTGAAACCACACATTGTCAGCAAATGAGCCCTGTGGAGCAATCGACTATGCCCGTGTAGAACCGACAAATTCAGAAAAATCTCACGAAATGATCTCACCTCAGGAGAAAAACGATCTACGTCATTTACGTCTTGATATTCCTAATCTCGCTTGTAACCAGCCATATCAATTCATTTGGAAGATGAGTCGAATTTTAGCTTGAGCTAGACACAATTGGCGTCTTTTGACGTTTATTACTCCTTAAATTTTCGTCTTGCTGTACGCTACAGCTTTCAAAGCTGCCCTGTTTATGAGATACGTTGACATCTATAATTACCACGTGTGTGGCTGCTCTCATGATCATGGCAAATAACGAGTGCTCAGCTACGGTCGATTCCACAGGACTTTCATCTTCAGAATCATGCGTGCGGGTAAGGGTTATTGACACGACCACAAATATGGTCTGCCAAGCTCGGGCCTTTTTACAACCTGAAATGGACGGCCATGAACACCTCACGTTGAAAACATTCTGTTTTTTGATTGAGCACGAGAACTTGAATAGAAAGATTCTTTTTGATCTTGGCGCTCGTACGGATCTGGAAAGCTTTGCCCCCAGACTCCAGGAGATGATAGAGGGTATTGAAGTGACCGTTGACGAAGCTGTTCACACAACACTTGAAAATGCAGGCATAGCATTAGACTCAATCGGTACGTAATTCACGGGGCTGACGTCGATCAGTCGAAGCTAACGGTGGTGTCATCAGATACAATTATCTGGAGTCACTGGCACTGGGATCACATTGGCGATTGCTCTAAATTTCCACCTGGCACGAAAATCATTGTTGGTCCTGGATTCAAGAAGACATTTCGTCTAGGATGGCCTAAAAATTTAGACTCTTTCTTGTTGGCCTCGGATCTAGAGTAAGTTCTGTTGAATCACCGCGGGGAAAATATTGTCTTATTTACTTACTGTCCGGTATGCCAGAACACATGAGCTACAGGAAATCAATTTTGACTCTTCTCCACCCATTCAGGGCATAAGGTACTACGACTATTTCTGTGATGGCTCCTTTTATCTACTTGATCTCCCTGGGGTTTGTCCATCCAAGGAACACCTTTCTAGTCTCGTTAATAATAAATCTTGTCTCGCAGCACACCGTTGGGCATATTGGAGCATTATGTCGTACAACACCATCTACGTTCATTCTCCTCGGGGCCGACTCATGTCACTTCCTCGGTGTGATGCGCCCTACACCGGAAAACCCACAGCACGTGAGGGCCGGAGATGGTGTAGCATCTCTTTCTTCGGGACCATGTCCTTGCAGCAATATTCCTTTCAATTCTCGTGCGAAAATGCTCGAGAGCTCGGTAGCCGTTATGCCCGATGGCCCCATGTGCCGCCGATCTCCCTATTACAATATCAGCGCTCATGAATCTACCGCATTTGAAGCCCCGGACGTCGCACAAAAGACGGTGGAGTCTTTGCAGATCCTTGATGCCAATCCGAATATATGGATATGTTTTGCTCATGACAATTCGATATCTGAGGTCTGCCCATTGCTGAATACTGCCCCTGAGAAAGATTTGAATTTGTGGAGGGAGCAGGATTTAAAAAATCGTTCAATGTGGCATTTCTTAAACGACCTCGGAAGACACGCTTGCTGATCGATCACATATGGATATGCTCAAGTGACAGTTGTCTTCAACAAGCGGGATCATTATTGCTCTTGGAATGCCCAGATTGGTAACTTTCAAAATGTATCCGCTGCAAAGTCACAGATTGCCTCAATTGAAGTCTTGCAGTGATTCAAGCACTTGATTTTCGGTTGTAAAAAACATGACGACGTGCCTTGTCTGTGGGAAATACAAAACTGTATGGCTTCAGTTTCGACCGGCAGGATCTATGCATAATGTGATGTGTTTTAATAGCTGAAATACATGTGTGGTCCAAAATCCTCCTCGTTACAAGGTGCTAGCTAGTACCAAGTCAATCTGAGAGACGCCATTTGAGAGCGAGGGTACCGACAAGCGCGAAAGCTCAAGGCAATCCTAGCTCCTCTCATAATTGAGTCATACCTTGAGGAACAGCCTCAACGACGAGTATAATTTACTACAAAATCCCAGCGGCGAAAAGAATTATCGACAAGCCAGGCAAAATCAGCAAAAAGCCAAGAATATTTCACAAAGGTGTTGGTTAGCGGCGCCGTTGTCGGACAAAAAATGCGAGGACTCCGCGGAATCTGGTTCTATCTTCGAATTGGTGCAGTTGATGATATTCGCGCTTTCTGGTGGTCGTGCAGGGCATGGATCACTCCAGGGAAGAATAGCCTCAAATTGCGACCAGGATAGCGAAATGGGCAGCTGAATATAGCGCAGGGGTAGCGGGGACAGGATATTATTAACACATGGCGGCATTGTGCAATTACTGGAAGTCACCACCCGTGACCTGGTGGCAAGCCTACTTGATAGAAAATGACGTACACATAGTCCAAATGCTGCAATTTCGTGTTCACCTGGTGTCTCGTCAATGAGGAGGAGAAACCGAGCCTCTGCTGCGGCAGGGGCCTGTTCCACAAACCGGGTTCTTCTGCCATAAACAGACCTTTCATGGAAAATAATTGACGGGCAAGCAACCCTGATTCATTAGCTAAAATGTGAGCTTTCCTAGTTACAACTAAAGCAGTCCAGTCTCAGCAAACTATATCTCAGCAAACTATATGACACTGCCGAATGAACCCATTCAAGGTGATTGTTCTTATTTTCTCCTATTATACCTCGATGTAGGTTCCTGTACTGTTATTTGACTTTCTTCGTCTTCAAAAAAGATTGGTTTAGCATCATTAGATCAAGCAAGTAGTAAATCCGTGGAGCCATAGAAGCTAACGAAGTCCAACGGCTATATGTGAGGCGTCTTTTGAATGGACGCATCCTTTATGAGCGTCCTGGAAGGCTTCGGTAAGATAGAGACCTCAACAAGTACCTACACCAAAACATTAAAGCTAAACATGTGGAGACTTCCAGAGTCCAGTCGCAGATCACTGAGCTTCGCACCGAGCTGTGCTAAACAGACGAAAGATACCAGGAAGAGACACAGTGCCACAAGAATGCAATCGAGAATATGCAGAGAGAGATAAAGGAATTCAATAAACAGCTCTAACGACCGACTGAACAGCATGAGCTACGCACGGCAATTCAGTTGTTCCGCTCATCGGTGACCGGCTCGAGCACAGGTCGGTTGTCGCCCGATCATCAATTATCGGTTTTGTCTTTGAATACCCGAGCCTGGCGCTCGAGCTTCGATCTTCCGGTTGTCATACGGCACTAATGTGCGAGGGGTTATGGGCTGCACTCAAAAATGTGACTGCCACTTCGAGTGTCGAGGTTGTCAATCTGTGGTTGGCGGAGATAAGTAACGCTTTTTTCTGAAACAAGTGATGTTGATCGTGGTTGGGAAGATCGGCAAGGTATATACAAGTCTTTAATTAAACTATATCTCAATCTATACAGCAGGACTCAAAATTGCTTCATGGTGGAACTATAAGCGTAAGTAATTGTCAAAGGAAGTTCAAAATAAGTAAAGCCCGCTGCTTTTGTGCGTGTGAGGCCTGTACTGAAGGTATACCCCTACCTGGTCTTGCCTGGAAAAACGAATTATGAGCCTCCTGAGGCCCTAGAGTCTCCCGTATAGATAACCCACCTTCGTGTGCCATCCATCTAGTTTATACGTTGACGTCTCATTTCTTGTATGTTGCCTTCATCACGTAGTAGCTTATTTCCTGCCCTCAAAAGGATACCTTTCTGCATTAATTTAAAAGCCTTTGATTAGCTGACTTAACGCGGTATGGGGTGGTGATGGAGGGGATACCGAGCGTCGCTTTAGGAAAGCTTCGATAGTACGAACTCGAATCATGTTATACAAACTCTGCTGCATGAAAGTTTTTTCGAAATGTACTTACTTTCAAAGCTTTAGCGCAACCCTGTGGATAGGTAAGAAGGAAGCCGAGCCTATCGATATGGCTGGAACCAAGCCGCAGTTTTAGCTTATAAAGTTGCCAATTATCTGATATGATCCGGTTATAAAAGATGCGAGAAATGCACTGGTATATAGACTTCAAAATACGCGTGGATTTGAATGAAATTTGATGTTAGATAGCTTCCATGTTTATTAAGAATAAGAAGTCGATATCCCATCCGTGTACAGTAGTAAGTTATTGATACAATAAATGGGGTTTAAAGCTAGCGAAAGCCTGTCTTATTAGTGGCTTATCTATTTTGACTAACTTTGAAGCGCTAGTCCTATAGGAGCTCTTGTGAACAAGGCTTAGTGATACTGCTTTCGTTTCAAGATTATGATCGGTGGAAGCGCCTATCCTCACGCGCTTATTGACTCGATTGCGGTTACCTACTCACGATTCCCTAGCTATGGAATCAATCTCCGACTACAGCGCTCTGTTCGGGTAATCACATTTTGTATTAAATGAAGTACTATTGCGAATCCAGTCTTTTTAAAGTTAAATTCATCGTTCGTGTTTGAATATAGGTAGAACCATGCTTTGTGGGAAGAATGTTCGCCATCTTTCATACGCGAGGTTATTTAGAGGCTGCTCCGCAAGAATCTAGATATAGTATCCGTTGTATAAAAATATTCATTTCAATTTTAGTGAATTTACGACCACTTGCTCACTGATCACGTTAAAAGCTTTTGTGATTCAGTAAATATTACGTGTTGAAATCAATTGGCAGGTATGCAAGGTCAACACCCAACCCGCCATTTTGGCGAGGTCATGTTTTCCCTCATCTGATTTTTCATCATCGCAGTCACATTATGCGCAAACGACGAGTGCCGTCTTTCGAAAATATGGAGAACTAGCCGAGGCCATCGACATGTCGAAACCCTCCGTACGCCACCGACGTTCAAGGTTCCATGTTCAAAATTATTTTGTCTCCCGTGTCCCAATGCCAAGCTGCCGATTGGCTGTTTGAACCTTGGCACAAACACAGCATTGCATTTATACTACCAATAGGGACCATTAGCGAGGTACTTCCCATTTCTAGGAGATACTACAGTATACAGATAAAAAATGTGAAGTAAATATCACTGGGGGTTTGGTCTCGCAACTCTCGATGTCCTCCCACCACCTTCGCTCTCTGTCTTCTCAAAATTTCCCAGACCCTCAGTAACGTCTTCTTCATCAATATTCTGTTTCATTGAGCCAACATTACGAAATGAGTTTCTCTCCTGCGGTCTTTCATGTAGGCGCAACGGCCCTGATCACAGGCGCCGCTTCTGGCATCGGTCTTGCCGTGGCACACCGATGCTACGCGCACGGAATGAATCTAGTCCTCCTTGATAATAATGCTTCGACTCTTATCGACGTGTCCAAGCAACTTCCTCCCACCAAGTCACAGAAAACCTTCGCCTTCCCTATGGATGTATCAAATCTTGAGGAATGGAAAAGTTTGGCTCCCAAAATTCGGTCGTATTTTCCACATGGTATCGACTTTCTCATGCTCAATGCCGGTGCAGGCTTTAAGCCCAAGGACCATTTGGAACACTGGGAGGATTCGGAATATTTCGAAAAGACTTTTGCTGTCAACGTCATGGGATACACACACAGCTTAGCGACACTTTTGAAAATGGTCACCAACGATAAAGTCAAACCACGCGCTGTCGTTTTGACTGGCTCCAAGCAGGGCATCACAAACCCCCCGAGTAACCCCGCCTACAATGCGTCCAAGGCTGCTGTACGGTCGATGGCAGAACACCTATCATTCGATCTGGCGAAAACGGCCCCGAATGTCAGTGTACATCTGCTGGTTCCTGGATGGACGTACACCGGGTTCCACACTGCAGCTTTCAAAGAGAAACCAGCAGGTGCCTGGACACCTGGACAGGTTGTTGAATTCATGCTGCAGAAGATTACAGAGGACAAGTTCTACATTATGTGTCCTGACAATGAGGTTTCAGAGGAGCTGGATAAGAGGCGAATGCTATGGACAACAGGCGATATTCTGGAAGGGCGCCCTCCGCTGTCTCGCTGGAGAGAGGAATGGATGGAGAAAGCCAAACGCGAAATCGACCTCTGATAGCCCAATCTAGCCATCGATTACCCTTGTCGACCGTGCTCAACATATCGTGCTTGGGATATGATTTTTGGTATGTTGTCTCTTGAGGCCTGGAACTGTACTCGGCATCTACTGAAAATTCGCGCGTACTCAAAGATGCATGTTAAGTGAGTACGCAATGGAGGTGCTTAGGTTTTCCAAAACAGTATAAAATATACTGGTACTGTGATTTTATCGCTTGAATAAAATACGAGTGTATTTATCAGAGAATAGTTCTTCCAACCCGATATTTATTGCTGGAATTCGTAGCGAACTTCAAGTTTGAAATGACATCAGCGAATCATAAGATCAGGCGCTCGGCGTGCGGATTACACATTTCGTAGGAATGGAAGGGTAATATTCAAACGATTTCGGGCAGAACAACAAATATGAATGCTGATCCACCCCGCTAGCCCAAATATCTGTGCTTGCTCAGCGACATAAAAAGTCGAGAGCGATATCCCTGTGAAGGTAAGATGGCCTCCCGAGGCGACCAAGCGGGCGGCAGAACCCACGGCACCCTACCCGCTGCCTCGAATTGACCAACCAGAGCACCAGTTCTCGACTCTCGGGAGCAGGAAAGGGATGCAGCGAAGCAGACTGGAGATGTACCAGAAGAACCCTAAGGTGCCAAGCCCACGAGATGATACAAAATTGGAAGACAAAACACCTATATCTGACCGTACAGGCCTTACTCTACGAGCGATTGCAGAAGCCTCCGGGCGGGTCGAGAACTTAAAGTGTCTGCATCCAAAGATTGAAGCAAGGCACGTGGCGACCTCCAGGTTGAAATCAAAGGTGCTAAGTGAACTCCACAGAGGGACACTGTGATGACAATTGAGACCCGCGGGAGACCGCTGTATCCCCAGGTTCTCCACAGCCTAAGACATACATTACCAAAGATATTTGAAGAAGGGCACTGCCGAGAACAGGTCACCCCGCAGTGGAGTGCTATGTAAACAAACTGCTTCCTCCCTGCCATGGTCCCAGCGAGCGAAAAGATCATGTCCTTCCATGCATTGACGAGCCTTAGCAAATGTATAATGCTTGTGTTTCTATGCAGCCATGAGCCCTGTGTTATCAGTATGTGCTCCGTTGGATAAGCTGTCTGGCCACCAGTCTTGTTTCAACTATATAGCCTGTGCAGGCACCTGTTCGCTGTGCTAGGGACCAGTATTCAATTCTCGCTTTGCAAATTGAAGAAGCCAAGCTCTGCACTGCCATCAATATATCATCTATGTAGGCCCGGGCCACGAGCGAAGAGGCCGATAGCAGGGCCGTGAAAGCGCATTCTGGACCCTGCTTTCACTCCACGATATCATAAAGTAGAACCAAAACCCTGAGTCTTGCTGTTGCAGATTCCGTCGTGCATATTAGCATCTTGTCCAAAACGTGATTTCACAGAATGTAAGAACACATGAAGAGACTTGCCGGTTTGAACAAAGATCACCAGACTCGGGCAAGCAAGCGTTTTTCACATTTGTATCACAGGTCAGGAGTATTGAGATGGCTGTTGAGGTCGGTGTTGACAGTGACCGTGTAAATGCGGTGATCGATAGTTTGTGGATGGTGACAAGTGGTGAGCCTGCTTTGGTGAAAAGTTGACCCATTGTTGATAAACATTTGACCAGCTTCTAAAGACAATTCACCGGACTTCGGTAAACAGTTAAGCCTGCTTGAATGAAACATATTGCAGCACATCCTCTTGCGAATAAATAACATGTCAATTCCGCTGAACCACATACTTTATGACGTCGAATTTGCATACGTGATTTGAATTCCTAGTTGCCACACAAATATATGACCAGTAAAGAGTCTATACCGGTCCTCTAAGTACGACTTTGATATATCATTAAAAAGATCCTTATTTCAAGGTCTATCACGTATGATACAATAAAGCCATAAGGTTAATACTCGGCAACTCTACTGGTCATGAAGGTAAGTTCTATATAGAATCAAATACTACGTACTAGCCTTAGATGAATAAAACTTGACACCATATATGAACATTACATATATCTATATTATAAGCTTCCCCCTACGTATACTCCAGATACTGATAAGGCTACTGTATTACGAACACTAGATAGCATGATAAACTATATTTATCTCACTGATAGCATTTATCGGTCTACGGGAAGGATATATAATAGAGATCTGATTAGGGTAGACTAGGACATCGCCCGTCCATAAGCACCTAGGAGGTGCCCACCGCCCGTCCACGTGTGACGGACTATGTCCTTATATAGTGAGCGCGGTTCTAAGATTCATCTTAGAATTCTAGTCTTTTGCCAGTGGCGCAGAGGATTATTTAGTTAAAAGATATAAGAGATCTTTAAGACCCTTACTATAGAACGTGTAAAGGTATACTGGTTTCAGGTGTACGGCCTGTCAACCGGGTAAGATACGATAGTAGGAGAGAGGAACAGACTGTATTGTCTCAACATAATAAGACTAATTCTTATCAGAGCAAAACAGGACCTAGGGGAGTCCTATATTATCTATCACTATACCCCGCTTTGATTATATAGGGTTAGTAACGAATCAGTACTCTACTCCCGTGACCCTATCGGTAGAGTCACGTAGCAATTCTGTTTCCAAATTGTAAGGATCTTTATCCGTTACGGTATTGTTTGATTGTTTGCCTATGAGAGGAACCCACAAAGGATCCTGTCTCGTAGGTTTCTTTCTCTTTTCATACTTAGTATTTTCGTTGAATGCACTCTTTTTGTAGAAAGAACTGGCTGGTAACATAACCTAAAACCTATCGTTAGGTCGAAGTAATAGACCTATTTTAGGTTGGGTTGGGTTGGGTTAGGTCCGGGTTAGAGTGGGTTATGCCGAAGTCTATATACAATTGTTGTACTCGTCTATTTCTGTCAGATATATTTCTTCCTTTCGCAACCTCAGGGTAGAAAAAAGCCAAATAGAAGATTGATATGGGCGCTGAACACTATCACCAAATTGAGTCGTAGACCACAAAAACCCGGAAGATTTCAAGTTATGCGGGTTGGCATGTAAAATTCATGACTTTCATTGACAGGGGGTTTCAGTCACCATGGAGAGAGAAACGAATCCAAGAGGTGCAGGCGGTACTGGACAGCGCGGGAAGTCCACGTAAGGCAGAATGACTAATAGAAAAGAAACAGTTGAACCTTAAACTCTGGAATTCTAATCGATTCCTGCCTCTTATTTGGCATTACCTTGGTAGTGCGTACAAATAGGTGGAGAGTACATTCACCTTTTTGACTCGCCGACTGATCCACCTCAACACGTGCCTGCGCCGATGACCGACCAGCCACCTTATTGACCAAAATACTAGTTACAGCCTTGAGTGGAGGTTCCTCGGAAAACTCGCTAAAACTTCGCTCCCGAATCCCATTGGCTCACAATATTAGAATCTATCCCATAATTCAGGGTCAAATGGTACGGCGATTCTACTCTATTTGACATCAATTCTTATCTGCAGCCGATACTCTCATTGATCAGAAGGAAAACAAGCACGTTCAAAAATGCATCCTATCGAAATTGATCCGTTCACGATTCAGATATCAGAGAGTGAGGTTGCACGGCTCAAGCGTAAGCTGGTCGACACTCGCCTCCCCGAACACGAGATTGTCGCTGGCGCCGGGGATGCCTACGGTACGAAACATGTATATGTCAAGAAGGCCATAATCATACTGAGTGTACTAATCAGAAACTGTCTAGGACCGCCCGCCGAATGGTTTCAAAGGCTATACAACAAATGGGTGAACGACTTTGACTGGTTCGTCGTGCAAAAGCACCTCAATCGTCATCAGCACGCCATTGCAACTATTCCTGATAATGAATACGATCTCAAAATTCACTTCACGCATACCCGGTCTATGCGCACGGACGCAATTCCCATCATCTTGATCCATGGCTGGCCTGGATCCTTCTACGAATTCGACCGACTAGTTGACAATCTGGCGGCTCCCCAGTCCGAGTCAGATCCTGCTTTCCACGTCGTCGTGCCTAGTCTTCCTGGCTTTTGCTGGTCATCTAATCCTCCTAAGCGTGGCTGGACTATGCAAGACAATGGCCGGCTATTTGATAAGTTGATGGCTGGTCTAGGATATGATTCTTATGTTGTTCAGGCGGGTGATTGGGGATCTTTTGTCGCCCGAGAGCTGGGGTCTAAGTATCCGCGCTGCCGAGCTATCCATCTGAACTTTTCGCCTGCTACTGAAGATTTCATGCCCGAAAGCGAGAGCGAAAAAAAGAGACATGAACGATCCCAGGACTGGCTGGATGATCATCTTGGATACGCCGTGTGTATGCGCACCCGCCCGCATACTGTGGGCTATGGCTTTCACGATAATCCGATGGGAATACTCTCTTGGGTTGGCGAAAAGTATTATGAGCTTGTGAGTCCGGCACGCAGATCTGATCCCGCATGGGATAAGATTATCCTCACCCAAGTCTCTCTGTACTATTTCAGTGGATGTATCATGCCTTCCATGCTTCCCTACTATGAAAATCCTAAACATGCCGAATTTGCGAAACTGTTTATGATAGAAGAGAACCTCGTGAAGGTTCCTATGGCGTACACCTCATTTCTTTACGACAGCCGGCCTGGTAATAAGCGCTCTGCCAAACTTACAGGAAATCTGGTTTTCTATAATGGTATGTCAATCGCTTTAGATCGAACCTTCTCTGAGTAACTCAATAGCTGACCAAATCCGAAGAGAATGACGATGGAGGTCATTTCGCTGCTCTGGAATGTCCTGATATCATTGCTCGAGATTGTCGAGACTTTTTTAAGATTCATTGGACTACGTAGTCAGCTGATGGCGAGTGGCAATGATTTTGAGTACTCCAGACCTGAGTAGAAAGTTAGCTGTTACAATGAATATTATCTTCTCTTCTTTGTATATGGCGAGTCTTATAATCGAGATTGTAAGCTCATTTCAAATCATTTTCACCTCATCTATTATTATTCGTTTCAAAGACTTCAATTCTATCCAAATACATCGAAGAGCTCCATCACTCACTTACAGTATAAAACCCTTCAATTTTCGGCTGGTCTACTGGTAGAAATCACACCCAGAGTACTACTTGGTAGTGCAAAAGTCGAAAGCTGAGTGCCAGAAGGATGCTGAAGTTAAAGATCCCTCCGACCGAACGCTCTACTCCGTAGCACGCAATATGAAGAGCTGTCTCGTCTATAATACAGGGGTGAGTTCGGAAAAGTGGTGTGTAGGTGGAGCAAGGCCTTATTGAAAGCGTTTGGGGCCAGAAATTTTTATTGTAATGCGATGCAAGTGGTTAAACACTTACACATCTGCTCTTCGTCTTTGTTTTTTTTATTGTTATTATAAAATGAAGCAATGTTTGGACAGTTGCATACGCCCACCCAGTCCATCAAATCGTGCTTTCAATCATCTTAGTAAGGTTGCGAACTCATGATGCAAAAGGCAAATATTCTTGCACGAGAATACCATAATTTGCATGTTGGCAAAATAAGAAAAAGATAAAAAGAGACTCGATGAAGACAGCGTATTTTGCGTAGCTGACTTTGAACAATTATGCCAAAGCGCTATATCATACCTGAACCGGTCAATTACAAGGTCAAGGTTTGCGACGTCAAGCTCCATCCACATGCTCTGAGTGCAATGAGCAGGAGCATAAGAGAAAGTATTGCCCAAAACTGATTGAATAGCTTATATTTGAATGTAACTTGGTTTTGGTTGATTTACGTTCATTTAAACTATTGAAATCTAATAGGTCTCGTAGCTCGCCTATATACGTAACTAGCTTACTAAATATATAGGCCCTGTCTTTCGTGACTGAGAGTTCTGTAATAGTAAAATAGCGAGGGGAGGAACTCTCGTGAACATTATACCTAGAGATATATAAGTCGATTTAGCTCCACAATCAATAACAATAAGCTAGCGCATTTTGTACTAGACATCCATAAATATTTATCCTTATAAATGGATAAGAGAGTTCTAAAAGCGCGTTTCTCAATAATATCTTCGAGGTCCTACATACAACGGTCCTACATACCAATGTACTATAAGACAAGCGTTATGATACAGGCCGGAAAAGTCTCACCTGCTCTATCCTGTAACATTATGTAATTTAAAGAAAGCTCCCCCTACACTACTTAGTCAGATCCTTGATGGAAATACTCACCGCGGAAATTGCTGTCCGGTCGCCGTCGAGCATATGCTTGCCACAATCGCCAAGAATCAACTTCACAATGGACTACTTAGTGCATGGTCAAAATTTGTCCGCAAGAAAAGTCCTATGAATTTTGTAAAAGCCGAAATTCTATTTGCTGCAACAATACAGTGATATTGGAAGTCAAATTCAACTCAGCGATCTGAGACTTTTACTTCCGAACCCTAGTTCCAAACACACTAGTTCTGATTCCGCTATTCTCCAGTGACTACTCACTGGAAATGATGGATAAATCAATATTTTAATATCGTAACCCGCATTGAAATGTGACAGAATCTTTAACGCAAGCAGATCATACTGCGGCATTATGCTGCCGAAAATGGTAAGAATAGCCACTACACTGACCCAGACCTTTCGTTTACAGATTGCAGGTAGAGACCAAACACTGGGAATACTTTTTTTCCCTCGTACTTATTTTCCAAGCCATCGTGAGACCTTTCTCATCCGCAATGGGTGGCCACTGGCGCTCTTGATGGTGGATGCCATGGAGTGGAAGTGTCACTCTTCACAAGGGTAAAGGCCTTGTGGTGGGGACACGCGTTCCATTATTCCCTGGCTTTACGAAAACCTATCATGGGGCCAAAGCAACAGCCATGGTGTCAAAAAAAGCACATGTCGACTGCCGTCGTATAGACAAGTCAAGATGCCTTTGCCATGCTCACAACTGACTCGAAATATGTGGCCCACTCGCTTACAGACCGAAATGATCTCCGGAGAGCCAATCACAATGTATTCCGAGATTCCCCAGTTATGATGTAGTAAATGTTTTCATTCTCGATCTGTACACCGCTACTGGCTACAATCGCAAATTGGCGTATCTGGTCATCACAAGCCATTTCAAACCCTGGAATCAGCTCACCAGTTCCTAGCGCCATCTCCGAATGAGGGGCATGAATCAAAAGATACCTTCTTTGGCTCGTCAGTCTTCAACGCACGTGAGGAGCAGTATAAACTACTCCCCGGCTTACATTTACTTCATTTTTCTCCAGGGCAGTCAAATTCTCAAGATCTTTACACCTTAGAATGTCGGGTTCGTGTGTGCATCCGTTCAAAATCGAGGTTTCGGAAAATGAAGTCGATCGGCTGAGGAGGAAATTGGAAGATACGAGGCTTCCTGGGCGCGAAATCGTCACCGGTGCGGGCGATCGATATGGTAAGACTTCTATCTCAGCTCTGGGACACACCTGTTATCGCACAGCTGACTCTGATCAAAGGTCCCTCTTATGGATGGGCAAGTGGACTTGTACATTCATGGATTCATGACTTTGATTGGTTCCAAGTTCAGAAATCAATCAATGAATATCCCCACTATCGGACAAATGTTGAAGGTATCAACATTCATTTCCTTCATGCTCGTGCTGAGAAGAATGATGCGATACCGTTGCTCCTCATTCACGGATGGCCTGGATCTTTCTACGAATTCAGCAGAGTATGGGGCCCACTTTCGCACCCGACCGATCCTAAAGAACAGGCCTTCCACGTTGTGGTGCCAAGCTTGCCAGGGTTTTGCTGGTCTGATAGGCCGCCTCGAGCTGGATGGACTCTGAAAGATACCGCACGTATATTCGACCAAATCATGAAGAGGCTTGGATATTACAAATACATGGTCCAGTGCGGAGACTGGGGAAGTTTCGTGGGGCGTGAGCTCGGTGCGACTTATACGGAGTCTTGCAAATTGCTACATTTGAACTTTTGCCCTAGTGCTCTCCCAGATCGAATTGAGCCTACTTCAAGGGAGGCTGAGGTTTCCCATAGAGTTGGTGATTTTTTAGAAAATCATCTCGGGTATGCGATCTGCATGCGCACTCGGGTAAGCAGAATTCTGTTGTTCCACTGTTGGGCCCCTGTCGCTCCCGTTGCTAAAACTATGCTTGTTGTCAGCCACACACTATCGGAATTGCGTTGAATGATAACCCTGTTGGCATTCTGATGTGGGTTGGAGAGAAATACATAGAAGCAGCCGATCCTCAGAAGCAGAAATGTCCTTCCTGGACGCAAGCAATCCTCACAACAGCCTCGCTGTACTATTTTACTGATTGTATCATGCCATCAATGCTTTGTTATTACGAAAATGAGCGTCACGAAAACTTTGCTCAATACAGCCTTCGGCCTGAAAATCAAGTGAAAGTCCCTTTCGGGTACAGTTCTTTCTTTTGGGACACAGAGCCGTCATCCAAACGTGCAGTAGAACGGACAGGGAATTTGGTTTTCTACCGAGGTAAGCTATGATTTCTATCACTTCGGTCAATTTTCTAACATGAAATTTGAGAACACGATGATGGCGGTCACTTTGCGGCTCTTGAGAATCACGCAGACATCTGCCAGGATTTACGTGATCTTGTATCTCAGGAATGGAAATTTTAGTCTTTAATACATGCAGCATCGTTCTAGTGATAACCTGGACACAGAATAGACTAAAATCTCCCTTTCACCTGTGTCGTCACTTAACATTTTTAATTGTTGCTCTTCTTCGAACATTGAAAAACTATATATTTATGTTTTTCGTTCTTTCCAGGATACAGGATAATCTTCATGTTCAAAGCTTGAGAAGCTTGAGAAGCTCAATTGGTAAAGCGAATCTTTTAAAAGAAAAGCAGGTATATTAAAATCTGACAGAAATAGACGAGTACGATAATATATGGTAAAAATGACATATATGAATTCTGTAACTAAATTGACAAAATCCGCTCTTTTTCTAATCTGTACGGATCACTAATTAAGCAATATATATGTTTTTAGTACCGGGATTAGACTTCCATAAAGCCCAGCTTTGGGCCTGAGGTCAGGCTCGACGAAACCCGAGCCTTTTGAGGGCAAGGTCGGGTCGGTTTTCGGGTTTTTCGAGTTTTGCGGAAGTCTACTACGTACTAAATTATAATAATATAAACTCTAACTAATTTTAGGACTAGACTTCGGCACAACCCACTCTAACCCGGACCTAACCCAACCAAATTGGGCTCAAATGGGTCGTTATTAGGTTATTAGGTTTAGCTTATTGGGTTTTGTGTCAGAGGTTCCGACCTAAAATGGGTTCTGCCGAAGTCTAGCTAAGACTATAGCTTTATATAATTTCGAGTCTAGGGAGGGCCCGATAAGCTCCCCCCCGCCTTCGAGCCGGGGTCCGGGTCGAGCCCGGACTTTAGGCACGAAGTTGGGCTTTGTGGAAGTCTAAGCAGGTCACACACATCTCACACTTGACATCCGACTTGCTTTACTAGTATAAGAATAGTTCGCTTATGCGGCCTTATCATGTCTTTTTGGTGATCTCTTTGGATGTCTTCTTTTAAGGTGTATACGAATGTAAAAAATAAAGCATACTTTGTATAAGAGACTTTTGTATGTATAACCTTCGATCATTTATCGCATTAAAGCGAGCTCACTTTATCCAAACTAAATGAATTCTTTCGTATCATTTTCGCGCTTCACTTCCTTCCGATTCTCTTTTATATGGGGAATGAGGGCCTTCCCGTTTGACTTGACCTACATGTGACAGAGTTGCTCCTTCCTTGTTAGGGCTACCCAACCACTTGAACCTCCTCGTGCCTTCCCCCCCTCTCTTTTCTTTCTCTCTCCTCCAACGCAGTCACCATGGAATTCACGTAAGTCAAGTACATCCAAACTCCCATCCAAGGTTATCTGCTAATGAGGTAAACCTGCAGGACTGCGAGAAAACATGCCAGGATTAATGAATTTGAAAACGAGGACCACAACTCAAGGCACAGGCCTCCGCCCTTCTTTCTAGCTTGTGGGGCCAGATCACACCTGGGAAACTGTCGTCCCCGTTGCCATCGCTGCGATAAAAGAAATTTTGGGGTTTGCACGGCATTTTGTAGAAAATGCACGGACATTGGCCATTCTTGACGGCACTGTCGACTGTTCATCCCCAACCACATGTGGCGACAGGAACAGTGTGGATTGCAAACTACAATCCAAAATCTAAATATCACCGTGCCTGTGATTGATCTTGCACCAACCTGTACACCCACCTCTCTGAACGCAGCAATCCTCTGCAAACTTGACATAACCCTCCATGGGCTTCACCGCAAGGCAGGTGTTCCTAATCATTCACGTATCATCCTGAACAACGTGAATATGACGACCATTATCCTTGCTGCTGAGAGAAAGGCTTCTCTTGCTCCGGATACCTCACTATTGGATAGAGTCCAACGCATTCCAACTGGACCGCGATCAAACATTGGCTCCTACAAAGCCCACCTTCACCCAGTCGGCATTCACCCAGTCAGCATTCGCTCGTTCAGCATTTTCCCAACCTGTGTTTGGTCACACTGCGTTTTCTCGGCCGACTTGTATACACAACAACTCCATCGGCATGACTCCAACCTGGCCCCATCACACCCAGATTTCTATGGATTCGAAATGCTGAGCTGCTTGCCTGTGCCAAGTAAGAATTCAGTTGAAAGCAATTACATGAGGGAGGCTTATGAAAGTGAGATATATGTCTACCGTTTTGTATTGCCACTATCCTGTTACTCGTCCGCTCGAATGAATCGATGTTTGATTTACTTTGCTAGCATTAGCTAATCACGTCAACTGATTCCAAGGTTGTTTGGAGGTGACAAGGACTCCACTATTGCAACATCCATGAGCATCATCAATATGAAGTGCTGGTTGGCTTTTACTTGATATCCATCAACCTTGGGAAACCGTGCTGTTATCAAGGTCTGTCCATTCGACTCTACTATTCCAATGATTTTGTGTATTTGCAACCTTTACCCGTCTATTTGATCGATTTTCGATTCCCATTTGTCTATAATTTTAGGGTTTGGTACATTGACGATAACACTACTTTAGGTAGCGATCGGCCCCCCCAGCTTTCACCCTCCTCAACACCCTCATAAACCCAACTCACACCCAAAAAATAATGTCATCTATCTCCATCGGACTCCCAAAAGTCCATGCTAAGTTAGGAGCTAATTCTGCCCCACTAACCGACTTCATAATCGGGACGTGGCACGTAACCCACTCCAGCCTCCCTCTGTGGAAAGGCAAGCGGAACGTCAACATCACCTACAAGCTCCTCCCCGCAGATTCTACCGAAGTACAAAAGATCGACGATTTGGTACAATACCAGTCCATTGACTCCGAAAAAATTAAATCCGTCCATGGCGTGGATACCCCAACTTCAGGTAATCCCGGCTCCTGGGATTGGCGCGGCAAAGGCTGGCTGATGATCGCGAGCTCGCACTGGGAGTGTCTCGGGTTCGGCCATATCGATGATGGTAATCAGTGGATTGTGACGTACTTCGATAAAACACTCTTCACGCCTGCTGGTATTGATGTCTACTCGAGGAACAAGGAGGGGCTTCCGCAGACTACTGTCGATCAGATACTTGATGCTCTTAAGGGGCTTGGGGTCGATGATATCACCAACCTTGCGAACAACATCTTTCAGATTCCGCAGAACTAAGTCGCAAGGCTAGAGACTAGCAAGTTGTTCATACGTCGGGATTCTGTGGAAAGCAAAGTGCGCAGTTTGTTGAGACAATACTCGGGGGCGCGACAGGGAAAGAACTTCGGGGCTTTGACATCGTCAACATCGAGTTGAGGATCGTCAAATTGGTGAAATTTGTCTCCCATCATCTCCACCATCGACCTTGGGGAAAGCCGCTGGAAAGCATTGTCTATTGGTTCTGGGCCGTCTCCCAATTTCTCGAGGAAAATGGTGACAATGGCCATCGCACTCGCACTGAGTGGCCTTTTCCTACGAGGTCAGGAGCCTACCGTCTGAGATTAGTTTCGCATATTAATCTTCTAAGTCTAGGGGCCCACTGCTAGTGAGGACTTTCCTATCTATCACGATTTATATGTGTGATGGCCCGGATGCGTCCAGGGACCCCAATGGCTCATGAGAAGAGGGACCTATGCCTTGTCACCAAGTGTCCAAACTGCAAATCCCGAATCAAAGGGGATGAGCTTCCTCAACGTCCTCTTGCGTGCGAAGTTGCGGTTTGTGATGTTTGCAACCGACAATTTGCTCATGCAAAAAAAGTTCGACAATATCAAACCGTTGGTTGTTTTGCACAGTCCCAATAGCACTCAACAGATAGACCCCATTGCATGAGTTTGAGCATCTGGAAGTCAAGGCACATGACTCATCTGCGTATATCTATAGGCAGACACACGTCCATGTCCGGCGTGTGGTCAGATCGGCCACCCACTAAGAGAGTGCCCGTGCCCATTCCGCAACTTCCACAATACAAGACAACAAAAAAAATCCCCGACCTCAGTGATTGTATTGTGCTGAGTCCAGCCTTTCACGTATTGTGATTATTATTGGATAGTCCCAGGTCCAGGTCCCTGTCATCAAGACAGCACCAATACCATACGCCCAAAAAAGGCTCGTGGCTCTGAAGAAGCGGCAGAAATTCCACCAGCCTCGATCCTACGGGATTCAGAGGAAATTATCACCCTTGGCTCTATACTCCGAGACTTTAACGTCTAGTAAGAATACCATTGGTGTCACCCCGATTGCCGAATCGGCCACCTCCTCAAAGGGCACCGGAGAAAGCAAGCCAGTTCAAAGCCTTGCAAACATGACAGAAATGTGACCTCGGGATAAGAGGGTCCGGCAGTAAAGAAGACCTCATCATAGTTATTAGCTATTCTCTTCCTGAATTTGAACAAAACATGAGGTTGAATATTACCTTGTTCGTCTACAGTTCTGCATTGTAGTAAATGAAAATCAAGTAAAAGTCAATATAAAGAAGCTTATTGGTACTCTTTCGCTTCAGTCTACAATCAAGTCTATATCCTTGAATGGTTTATGACTAACGGGGCCTACCCCTGGTGCTTATCGCCTATGCAAGAAATGGTAAGCAGAATGTTAACGATATTTTCCCATTCGGTTAAGGCTACATACCATGATGTGATGTTCCACGTGATTTCTTGCGATACATATGGCCTGGACGGTTCAGCTTTGACCACTATAATATCTCTGGAGTCATGAGTATGAGAATTCCATTATGTCTGGGGTGCTTTTGATTGGGAGTTCCCTCGAGTGAGCTTTTGTCGGATTAGATCATTATCTAAGAATACATGCAGTTGAAGCACCAAATTACATTCGCACATATTGAAAAGAGCCCATGTTATAAACAAACCCACAAGGCATGGTTAGGTGATATTGACATAGATCTCTATCTACACAGTCATCAACATGCTAGCATTCTTATACCAGCTGAGCAGCGGATTCTCTCCATTCCGCGTCTCCGTATCCTCAATGTAAGCCCAACGGTGCACGAACTCCTCGTGGCTCGTGACCTGCGTCAGCTTCCCGGTAACAGCACGATACATATCCTCGACGACATTGAAGTCCGTCGGGAAGAAAATATCGAAGTAGCCTTGGTGGACCTGCAAAACAGAAATTAGCAATGTTCAAGGTTCACATCGAAGAGAATATCCACATACAAAAGGAGTCGTCACCGGCACAGTCTGCCGCTGGTATCGAGTCTGCACGACCGGTGCGTTGATACCGGGCACGGCATCTGGCAGGGAACTGAAGTCACTGGATACCAGACGGTGTGCTGGGAAGTACTGGTTCAGAACATCGAAGAACTGCATCAGTCGGGTGGGGATGTACTCGGGCAAGGAGTATTCCTTTTGGAAAGGCGCGGCAGAGCGGAGACCGCGGAGAAGTGGAGGGCCTAGCGGACTCGGGAAAGGACGACGAGCGGCAGCTTGACGCACGCGCAGGAATCGAGATGCGACGGGGTCCAGCTGGTTATTGTAATACTCGTGGAACTCGCCGTCAGCATCGATCAGCACACCACCCTGCTGCGGCATTTCGGTGCCTTGCTTGTAGCGGATGGTGTCATGGGAGAAGTTATCGAAAACCTCAAGAGCCAGGAAGAAACACGGGGAATGAACGTAGGTGTCCCAGTCGAAGATTGACCGATTTACAATCTCAACCTTGTCCCGGTGTCCCTTGGCACTGAGCTTGTCGGTCAGGTTCTTGTACTGTAGATCTGCGAGCGCGGGCGAGATCTCGATGATCTTGAATTTGGTGCGCTGATACACCTCGTGATCTGTGTCGCGGATAAAATCCAGAATGTTTAACATCATTGTGCCGTTTCCTGCGCCCATTTCGTAGATGATCAGATCGTGATATGGGTATAGGGTCAGCTTGTAGTTTGACACCAAATACCGCGCAATCGTCTCGCCGTAGTATGGTCGGAAGAGCTCTGTCGGTGTGTGCCATAGCTGCCGCGCGATATCTGGGTTCGTTGCATCAAGCTTGTCTTCGAACTCCGTGTACCGTTGGCCGAGGAGTTTGTGGAACGCGGGTCCGTCTTCGATGTTATTGAAGTCAAATGGCTCTCCGGGGCTGAAAATTGTCGCGTGTTTGGAAAAGTATCCGTAATGTGGGTTGTAAAGGCTGTCTGGAAACGCAATGTCAGAACTAGCCTCGCTTCATTTAGCCGCCGAACTCACCGTCGATGAACTCGCGTGTCAGCATCTTGACCTGTCGCGGCCGTTCACGGCGGCTACGTAGCTCCTTCGCTGTCACTGTTGGGTATGTCCTATACTCCTCATCGATATTCTTGGGGTAGTCGCCTCGTTTTGTCCAGAGCTGGATATCATCCTGCGCTTTGCGCTTGACATTGATAGGTGTGCGCCGCGTGAGGAATGATCGGGATTGTGGTCGAGCAAGTACGGAAGGCGATCGCCTTAGTGATCGACATGCTGGATGGCGGAAGAGCTGTCGGAACAGCTGGGTGAGGACTGGCGAGTCCATTGTGATTGCAGAGCTAAGCTCAAGGTTGTTCCGGGGAAAGGACGGCGTTTCTGGATAACCTTTTTGGCCTCAGGCAGGACACCACGTGCCTCAGGCAAAAGTCATCACCTTCAATCTCTTCGACAACTTTGGTGACTACATGGTTCTTGAAGCCGAACACAGGTTGACTCAGGGAATTCTTTGAATTAATTTGACTTCCAATTTTCCTTTTTGTCGAAGAAGTACTCCGTACAGGCTGACTGCTAACTTCCACCAAAAAAGCCCGATGGTCCGAGCTTCATATCTCCCGTCTATGCACCAAACCTCAATCTTCAAGACATAAAACGGCATTGGAAGATGCCAGATCATTCAACCGCATACATAGGCACGGCCTTCGTGGCTGGTGTCTGCCTGGCTCTCGCATATCAGGAAATCTCACGTCCTAAGCATGAGGATAATGCGACAGAGAAAATATCTCCAACAAATGGCCTCATCGCCCGAGCTGGCCCACCCACTATTGTGGAAGGCATTGAAGGCTGCATTGGAAACACCCCTCTATTCCGGATCAAGTCACTGTCAGATGAGACGGGATGTGAAATTCTAGGCAAGGCAGAGGTAAGTAGCTTTGGTACATTGTACACCAACCACCTCAAAAAAAAAGAGCTAAGAATGCGCTAACAATGCCCACAGTTTCTAAATGGCGCTGGCCAGAGTTCAAAAGACCGAGTGGCACTAAGCATGATTGAAATTGTATGCCAGAATACACAACATGAATTTTTTTTTTTACCTGCACTAGCCCAACATCACTGACACCAACCAGGCAGAAGAACAGGGTATCTTGACACCCCATTCTGGCGACACAATCTATGAAGGAACGTCGGGATCAACCGGCATCTCACTAGCAACACTAGCCCGGGCGAAGGGCTACTTAGCACACATGTACGGATACGCCACCCTCTCCTTCCCACCCAATAACCAAAACCACTAATGCACATGCAACCCAGCTGCCTGCCATCGGACCAGGCAATTGAAAAATCCAACTTGCTCCTGAAACTCGGGGCAATCGTGGACCGGGTTCCGCCAGCACCTATAGTGGAGAAAGCCAACTTCGTGAATCGTGCACGAGCACTGGCAAAAACGCACACGGCCTCATCGGGCATGTCCTCTGCGTCAGCGGATGAGCAATCCGATCTCCCCGCGGCAAACGAACGCATGACCCGTGGCCGGGGCTTTTTCGCCGACCAATTCGAGAACGAAGCTAACTGGCGCGCCCACTATGAAGGGACTGGCCCAGAGCTGTATGCACAGTGTGGGGGCCGGATTGATGCGTTTGTAGCGGGCGCCGGCACTGGTGGGACCATTTCGGGCGTCGCGAGGTTCTTGAAGCCGTTGCTGCCTAGACTTACTGTTGTGTTAGCTGATCCGCAGGGAAGTGGACTTTTTAATCGGGTGGTCTACGGGGTTATGTTTGATGTTAAGGAGAGGGAGGGCACGAGGCGACGGAGACAGGTTGATACTATTGTTGAGGGCATTGGGATTAATCGTGTCACTGCGAATTTCGAGGCCGGGAAGGAGATGATTGATGATGCGGTGCGTGTCACTGACGCGCAGGCTCTGGCTATGGCTAGGTGGCTTGTGGAGAAGGATGGGATCTTTGTTGGGAGTAGTAGTGCAGTAAACTGTGGGTTTATTAACTCTCTGACTAGTGTATCTGATGCGTTTTACTGATGGGTGGATTATAGGTATCGCCGCTGTCAAGACAGCAAGGAAGCTTGGCCCTGGTCATCGGATTGTCACAGTACTTTCGGACTCTGGCTCACGACATTTGTCTCGATTCTGGGCCAAGGCTGGAGATGTGGGTGGCGCTGTTGACACCAAGCTCGAGGATGTTATGAATGCACGGGACGAAGACTTTCAATAAATAGATTAATTGAATGTGGTATGGAGGTCATTGGGTATTGGATATGGATGTGGATAGATCTATCGATCATTGATCACTGGCCCTCTATTAGTATATTTGATTACACTCAATCAGCATGTTCAGGAGTTTATAAAAATGCCCAAGAAGCCATTAGGAGCAGACGCCTTACTGTCGGTTGTACCGGCCACCTCTTGGGTTTCGAGCTGCTCCAGTTCTTCCTGAGCAGTGCCTTCGGACGCAGCATCGCTATCTCCTGCGCCATCTTTGACTTCCTCCACGACTGCATCAGATTCCGACTCGTCCTTTATCTCGTCGTCCTGCAGATCTTCTTCCGGGTGCTTTTCTTCCGGCTCCGCGTGTTGCTCCACGCTCTCGATAATCGAAGAGGTGAATCCCTCACCAACAAAAGCACGTAACAGCTCAAACTCAATCTCTTGTCGTGATCGGCCCTTGAACTGACTTTGTATCTGGCCCCAGGTAAGATCCGATTGGGTGCTGAGTCGGGCCAGAGCTTCTAGTTCAGGCCGCGACCAGGCCGCGGAAAGTGGAGGTGGATTGGTGAGGCGGCGGGTCCAGTGATTGTAGAACCAGTGCCAGACTGTCTGGTATTCGCGACCTGGTAACATGTACATCACGTCACTGACCTTCTTTTCTTGTTTGTACATCATGCACACGATCAGCTTTGCTTCATCGGGTGTCACTGGTCGTCTTTTGCTTGGGGTGCTTTCCATGGGCTGCGGGGATGAGGCTTGGGTGCTAGCCGTGGCCATAGCCGTGGCCTTGGGGGTCAAATTGCCTTCCGCAATAGAATGGAATGACACTTGATTTTTGTATTCTGCGCTAAACGCTTCGTTTTGTCGATCACTTGGTCTGTAGGCCCCTTGGACTTGTTCTTCGGGCACTCCATCTTCGTGGTGGCTCTGTTCGCGGCTCCCTTCTTGACCATCGCCTTGATCATCCGGAAGGTCGTCCACTTGGTCGTCCACCTGGTCATCCACTTGATCGGAAACTCGATCATTAACTTCGATGACAACAGTTGGCTGTTTCGAAGGCGTAGATGGCCCATCGTTCTCTTTGGTCGGAATGCGACGCTTCCCACGAATAATTTTCATTTTCGACGGTGTAGGCGATGGCTCATAGTCCTGTAAAGGATCATCCGACTCATTTCCATCTGGTATAGCCGCAAAAGACCAGTCATGCGTAACAGGGCTAGAATGATATTTGCGCTTCGCGGCTGGTCGGCGCTTACTGGGAGTAGCCTTCGGTTTCATTTCTGTACGCGGTCTGCGGGGTTTGCGCACAGCCCAGATGGAGCCGCTCCCTGGCGGGGACGTAGATCTGGCAGCTGGAGAGAAGCCCACGTTTGATTTTCGGGTCTCCATGGTTGGCGTTGAAAATGATGGGGGCAAGTCTGGGACAGCCCAGATTGGGTCTTGCGGTTTGGAGGTGAGGATTGGGTTGGTAGGATGTGAGACATGTTCTTCCTTGGTTGTGGGACTGAGGCCTGCAGTCCCCGATGCCTTAAAAGTAAACACGAAATCCAAAGAGGTATCCATGTCTGTTTGTAGCTGTTTAGATGGCGATTCTTCGCGTGGAGCGTCTGAAGTACGAGCACCGGGAGAGGAGGCCATAGAAAAGAATTCATCCTCTTCTCCCCTCGTGTTGTTGTCATCGTCTGCATCAGAATCTTCAGGCTCATCCAGGTCAGCCTGTGGGAGCCATGATCGTGGCTGGCCACCAGCATCGTGCTCGCTCCGCATGCCCAGGAGATGCCCATTGTCTACCACTATATCCCCAGTTTGCAGATCAATCTCATCACCAACGTCGGAAAAGTCCTGGCTATATTTCGCGAAAATGCCTTCGAAGAGAGACTTCAGTCGCGAGTCATTCTGTGCGCGCGCGGCCGAGAGATCAAACTCTGCAGGGACCTCTTCGTCGTCGTCGGGGGTATATGATAGACATGGTCTCTTCGCTGGTCGTTCCATATTGTCCTGCATAGAGTGGTCCATGCTATCATCCGGGTCGTTCATGGTTCCGGATAAGAATCGATCGGCGCGTGCCTTAGAAGTGATCGAACGTTGAGCGTGTAGTAAAATAATGCATAATTAGACTTAACAACAATCTATTGATTGTCGAAGTAAAGTGTCAAAAGTGTGGTGTGTAGGCGCAAGCGCGAGCCAAATATGCGGCAAAGCAAAAACAAACTTGAAATGACGTTCCCCCGAAGCTCCCTGGGAGCTCCCCGACTTCCACTCCCCACGTCCCCCCGGGATGAACTAACAACCATGTATTGCCAGAAATGTCGCACGCCGCTGAAGCTGGATGGCTCAGTAGAGTCACTTAACCCAGCTGCCTTTGACTTATTATCCAGTAAGTTTTACACAGGGCGATCGTTCCGACCCCGCTAATCAAACTACGGTCTAGACTCGACAGGAAAGACGTTGTCAGATACCGGAGCTGTCTCCTCATCAACGCGGTCGTCCTATCCACCCGAACACCGCGACAAGTATGACCAGTCCTCTAGAAATGCTACATCGCCAGTTTACAGACGGTCTATCCCCGCCCCGCGTGCAGGAGGCCAGCACCACCCGCCCGCAGTACCCCGAGCTGATAGCGGCAATATGTCATTCGTGATGCTCACTGAGTCTCAAGTTGCGCCACCACCACCTATCGATAAAAGTAACTCTGCTGCCCGAAGCAAGCGAAATCCTACACAGGCCCAACTCCGGGGCCCGGATGATGGGTCATTTGTTGATCAAGTGGAGAAGACGACACGGCTGTTTGAGATAGTCTCGGCGCGCTCCGATATCGACCATCCTATTTGCGTGGAATGCACCGAGCTGCTTGTGGAAGGATTACAAAAACGCTTGGCTGGGTCTACGAAGGAGCGAGATGCATACATCTCATTTCTTCGAAACCTGAATGGGTCCATCCCGACCGAGGAGGAGCTGCAGGCAGCACAAAAGTCGTTGGATGAGAGCCTAGAAGCGGAACGGGCCGCATTCGCAGAGCTGCAGGCCTTTGAGAAAGAAAAGGCTGCTCTAGATGCAGAGATTGCCAGTTTGGAAATTGAATCGCGACGCCTAGATGCAGACGAGGAGAGCTTTTGGCGGTCGCGCAATGCGTTTGCCTTGACGCTCACTGAATTCCAAAGTGAACGGGATGCGCTCAATATGCGTTATGATCATGACTCCCAGCAGCTTGAGAGACTGCAACGGACGAATGTCTACAATGATGCGTTTTGCATTGGCCATGATGGATATTTCGGTACTATCAATGGACTACGGCTGGGCCGGCTGGCCAATCCTTCTGTTGACTGGCCTGAAATTAATGCTGCGTGGGGGCAAACCGCTCTACTTCTGGCCACGATGGCCGAGAAACTCGGATTCCAATTCCAGGGGTATCGTCTCAAACCACTAGGGTCTAACTCGCGGATTGACAAGATTGAATATCCCATGCAGCCATCCGGTCAGCCGGTCGAGGGAGCTGCACCTAAAGTGACCCAACTAGACCTGTTTTCGTCCGGGGATCTCCCGCTCAATCTTCCTTGGCTCCACCGTCGCTTTGATTCAGGCATGGTGGGGTTCCTTGAGTGTCTCCGCCAGCTGGGGAAGTTTGTTGAAAAGACGCCAGCGCCAGTTATATCACCCCGTCGCGGCCAGACCGGCGCCACCGCACCGGGGCTAAAGCTGCCCTATGAGATTAAGCGGGACCGTATTGGCGATGCCAGCATCAAGTTGGGCTTCAACCAGAATGATGAGACATGGACTCGAGCCTGCAAGTACACGCTCACTTGCTGCAAGTTTCTCCTTGCGCATGCCAGCAATCTCGCTAGCACGGGGTCTAACAACTCAGCTGCTGTCGCGGCTGCAGCTGTATCAGCCGCCGACCAAGCCCGACAAGCAACGGCCCCGAGAAATAAACCCTGAAACACACCCCGGGAAATGTTTTTATTTTATTTTTTTTTAATTCAAAAGCAGCAAAAGGTGAGGCTGTACAGGATTCTAATCCCCAGTCATGTGGGCGCAAAATCGCGCAGATGGATGAAATTAAAGACCTGCACAGCGCATCACTTTTCGTACTTTGTCGATAAGCTCCAAGCACACCATGTACAGTGATGTACATTATAGGGGGGCGGAGGCGATGGCAATGACGTGCCACTGGGATATCTCAACCAAGGCTGAATCCCCCGCTCGTCTGATTGGCTTGTCACAACAGAACTGGAATGACGAGGCGGCCCAATCCCCTGACATATGTCGGCTGAGTGCAGGACTGGCGCGTGGGCCGGGAACAGACCTCCCCCACTCTCTCTCAATAACTCTCTCATTATCTACTCCGTATGAGCGCGGGAGAGGGAAACTGCCTCCGATGTACATTTGTACGCCCATTTCCAGTCTGCGCGCTACATCCTAGTACCTGCATGCGATCCGAGCCGGTGAACGATGGTCTGTGGGCCTATGAGCGTGTCGACGGCAGATATCTCCGTAAACAGGCGGCTCGGGTGGAGTGGGCTCCACGCGGGATGACCGTTGTGTTCCCTCCCAGGAAAACGCGGTTAATGGGGGTCTTTTTATATACTGTGATGTTTGAGATGTGTATTTATATTAGAGAAGATAACAAAGTACACCCCGCACTTTTTACAACGATCATCCATGTTTAAGGATTAGTTATTTAGTCTTGGGATACCTAAGATGGGAGAGGTATTTACGCACTGTTATTTTTATTATTTTGTATTTTTGTATTTTTGCTTTTTTTTAATCTGTCTCTTATTATACCCCCTTTCCTATATGTACCTATTAAATAACTAGTTATTGATTGTACTCTAGTACTTTCCCATCATCCATTCGGATATCATCAAAGCTCTCAGCAAAGATACCACCTATCCCTCTCGGGGACCAAGATTTTCGCTCCCCGAAAGACAAAACCAAAAAAAAACCCTGTAGATCAGTGCATCATCTTCAGCCTATGATTCCCAGCTGACCAACACACACTAGTTCCTGAGTTTTGCGCTGGGAGTTCTAGCCCTTGGGATATGGGCCACGCGTGCAGGTGATAACGGGGGGGCATGTGCACCGTTGTAGATGAGCGTAGGATTGAGTGGAGTTCGACTGAACCTTGGTAAAACATGAAGATGAAGCCACTGTACATAAACTCCATTGTACTACATCCTATCCCCCAAGAAGATGGAATATACTTTGTACGGAGTACTCCGTACGAATAGAAATATTGTACTTTTGGGTAGAAACTCCCCCAGAAAAGAAAAAGATAAAAAAAAGGTAGAGGTAGCACGGACCTTGCATCGTACGTTTTTAATAAGTCTCGGCCGGTGATGGATATTAACTATAAATACATAAATACAAAGACACTAAAGGGAAATTGGTCTGACAGGGTAACCTTGTCTCGAGACCAAAGCGCATGATATTTCGCCCCCTTGATGAGTGGATTACTTGGTTTAACGGGTTTAACGGCTTTACTCCTGGGGGTGACAGTTGAGATCTAGCACGTTATGGCAGGTGTCATATAGATAGTACATATATCGATCTCACGAGTCATGATATGTATATATAAATAATGTATATATATTACATTATATACAAGGATTCCCGATGTGACGTGGCTGATTGATCCACGGAACTGGGATCTTTAGAGGGGATTTTTAGACTCGGACAAAGACCTGTCAGGGAAGATTCGGCCCGCTCCCGGTCTTTTTTGTTCTGATCTGCAGGTTATGAGGATTGGATTGTTGGATGATAGTATTAGTACTTTGTATAAGAGTGTAGTGTACGGAGTACGGAGTACTCCATATAGAGTACTGTGTTCTAATGGATACTATCTACTATTTACTATCTCTATACCAAAAAAAAAAAAAAGAAAAGAAAAGAAAAGGCAACGGAAAATGCATCCAATTTGCGGCCAGTGCACTGCATGTAATAGTTCGCTTAGGCTGTAAAGGTCAAAAGTACCTTCTCCACTCATAGCAGTATTTAATATAAAACATAGAAATATATCCAAAAAATATATAAAAAAGCAAATATAAAATATAAAATTCAAAAATATCAAAAATACAAAGAATCCTATATTCAGACTCCTACCACAATCCGACTCAAACTCGGAGATATTCTCCAAGATATATACCCAAGTTGCCTCTAGTCCTTGATAGTCCTTGATGGTCAAGGCTGAGCTACTGGATCCCCCGTCAAATCTGATTTGTCCGGGGAAGCAGGGGGTCGTGCGTCCGCGTGCACGTCGCCGCAAAGAGAGAATTCCCTCCCCCTCATCTCTTGCCTCTTTGCTATTTTTTTCCTTCTTTTTTCTTTTTTTTTTTATTTTCTTTCTTTTTTTAAATTCCGTTTTGGATATTTAATTTGATTTGGATTTTATTTTCTAGAACATATTATGATTTGCATTCCTTAACCGAATTTATTATGGACTCTGTTTTGCATAATAATCCCATGAGACCAGTATGATATACAACCCCAACTCTATCTCTCTCTTATACATTCTATAATCTCTGGCTATAATCATGGATAATTACTCAACTCCCATCTCCCCTCAATCGCCAAGTGTCTTTCGACCCCGCCGATCCGATGACTGGCACGAATATCGTGAAATCATCGAACAACTCTACCGCAATGATCAGTTGAAACTACGCGATGTCAAACGCATCATGGAAAGAGATTATAAGTTCTTTGCATCGTACTACTATCCCTTTTCTTTTTCTTCTTGATCATCTTCTTTCGATTTGAATATGCTGGTTGCGTGTTCATCTCATATAGATTTCGCCCCCTCCTTGGTCACAGTATCACCTAACTCCAGTCCATTAGAGAAAAACAATACAAAGATCGGCTGGCAGCATGGCATGTGCGAAAGAATATCAAAGCCAAAGAAGTCCATCTCATGCTTCGCAAGCAACAGAAGCGCGCCGCCCAGGGCAAACAGACCGCATTTCGGGTAAACGGACAGAACGTCGATCCAAAACGTATCGCCCGTTTCGTGCGTCGCTATGGAACATCATGGGATACCAACCGCG